CTTGTCGCGACCAATCACACAGAAATACTTTGGAAAAGGATTGAAATCTTGAGGAATTCGCGCGCGCGCGCGCGTGCACACACGCCAATGTTGCCAACTACCCTTGTCACAAAGGAAAGAAGATCCGATTATCCTCAAAGTATCGATCTCGGACTCTTTGCCAAATCGTCTTCTAACTTATTGAACTTGTCCAAATGAGAGATTGATTTTGTCCTTATTTTTGGGCTAGCTTTTAAAATAAAGAGAACAAAGAAACGTAGGACGATAATAAATAGAGTGATCCGAAGAGATAGTAGGAACAGTCGATAGAGATTGGGCAACGGTATGCCCAACGTCGTTCTCAGGCATCTCTGCCATGCCATCGCACACATCCGCACACATCCGCACACATCCGCACACATCCGCACACCCACGTTCGAGGCTAACCCAGAAAAGGGATCTCCCGATTAGATCACCGAGCGAGCCACCCTAATACCACCCAACCACCGTTGGTCTACCCACTTCAACGCTATCGTTGGAGGATCCTGCGTGCGTTGGATTTACGAGCGCGTTCCCCCGATATTACCTTACCTGGTGCACGAATAGGGGCACGTAGGGGTTTGCGAGCTCGTTTATTACACTCTTGGGTGCGATTTTCCTCGAATAAGCTTTGCACCGGCCAAACTTTTTATCCAATCTAATCCGTCAAACAACTTTCTTTTTTTATTTGCCTAGTAGAGCGTTGATCGCTAAAAAAAAAAAACTATTATTCTTTCTTCATTCGAATAGGCAGAAAAAAGATACAATATTTATGGTGCGTCACTGGTATCACTCGCATAGAAAACAAATATTGATCTAGGTAAAGGCTACAACACGCGGCAAACGTAACGATCGATTCTAAGGAAAATACGAAACTAGGGAATGCGCTGCAACGTTGGTAGCAACAATCTCTAAACATGCACGATAGAAAATAGGTTTTTTTTTTTTCTTTTGCCTATCGATCGATAAACTTTACAAAGGATCCAGTGGAACGAAAGGGTCGTTTAGAGAAATTTCGAGAAAGAAGGTATGCGACGAGCGCAACTCCTTTCAAAGCGAGTTTTTCTGATTGGTCCTTTCTGGTGGTTCGTTTTTCCTAAACGAATATACACGCTAGATTCGCTATAGATCTAAACATTTGTCAACGTTTCGAATGAAATACGATGCGGGAGTATCGATGATTCCGAATCGATCCATCGATGGTGAGGTTGGAAAATGGAAGGTTACCGAGGCGTCCGAAGCAGAATCTGATTCTCGAGCAAACCGCAGGACCTACCGCATCTCCCCCTGACGAAACATCCTTTATCGATCCTAGGAGAACGTTCCTACGATGATATTCAAACAAACACATTTGAAGATGACGAAAAATAATGTAAAAAAGGATAGAAAGGGTAACTCATGACTTATGGATCGATCGAACTTGACACCTACATAAGTAAACAGCCCTTATTTGTCGAGAAGACGACGAATCGTCCTACCGCAGCCAATTTGTTCGCTCAACTTTCATGTAAACGCGGAACGGAGAGGATTCTCGATCTTTTCCAATTGTTTCTTTTTCATAAATTATCTTTCCGCGCGGAAAGCAAAACGAAACGAAACGAAACGAAAGGTAGGTTTAAAACGCAGGAGAGGCAAAGTACGATACGATTCCGATATTTGTTTCCGACATTCGACGAACGTCACGCGACATGCATTTACTCTTTCCTACGCGACCAATTCCCAACGGTAGGAAATTGCAATAGGTGAAGTTTGTTTGTTTGTTGTTTGTTTTTTTGCTCTCTTTAGGAATAAACGAACTCGACATTGATACGTCGGCGCCTATCGAATCGACGCGAATCGACACGAATCGACGCGAATCGAGGCGAAGCAACGCGAAGCGACGCGAGATTAAAAAGGTATTGGGTTGCGTCCAATCTCTTTTGCCTAACGAATAATCAACGCATTTGTTACATACGCTAAAAGATCCAAAAGGAGGACAGCAAAAGGAGGATAGCAAAAGTTTAGAAATCGTTGCTCAATTGCAAATCTCCAGAGGCAACAAAGTCTCTCGCGTCTACTTTTAACCCATTTGCTTTTTGCCCCTTTCTTTGTCCTTTGTTCAATTCTTTTTTTTTTTTTTTCCTTGCCATCTCGATTTCACCCTTTTACTTTTGTCATCTTACTTTCCCACTTACACATACTTTTCACCACCTTCGTCCACGTTCGAATCTTCTTTTTGTCCATTTGTTTCCTTTCATTGGAGCGCACTTCCAAGAGCGCACTTCCAAGAGCGCACTTCCAAGAGCAGACCGAGGATGTTCGCGCCAACCCGCAAAGAAAACTTACTTTTCTTCGAGCAACTATTTTCTTTATGCTCTTCTACCAACTTATCCATCTACCCATACGGATACGCATCGCTGCTTTCATCCGTGAAAAACTATCTAGTGCAGTTTCAGAATAGACTTTAATAAACGTAGCTTTAGCAAACAAAACAAAAGTATTATCGATCGCTAGTCAATTTTTCGAATAAAAATAGCATATTTTTCTGTTTGAATAATTATCCCAGTCGTCGCGCGGTTCGAACGCGAAAGCGCCGAATCCATCCCATTTAAAGTGTCTTTATTATCGATCCTCGACTTTAACACAAACGCGTGGCAGACGACTTTTTTAAAGCCGCTACTAACGAGCACCACCTTCGCCTGGATAAGAATAAGGGAGAACAATTTTTAATGAAAACGCGCGTTGCCAACTTTCGATCGGATAGATTAAACGAATAAAAGGAAAGTTTGTGCGGTAAGCTTTAACGCGGCTTTAGTATTTCTTACGAAAGTGGGCCGAACGAATTCTACCTTCAATCGCTTTTTCACTCCACGACCAACTCGACAAATTCAGTCAAATCTTGTTAATTCGTGCTAAAAGGTGTGTGTGTGTGTGTGTGTGTGTGTGTGTACTGTACTCCTCTCCTCGAGTGGCTAAAATATAGACGGTCTCGATGGATGATGGTTCGAGTGCTCCGCCGAACCACCAAAAAATACACCGCAAATTACCCTCTCCAATTTCTCCCTTTTCCTTTTCCTTTTCCTTTTCCTTTTTCTTTTCCTTTTTCTATTTATTTTCAACCAATCGTAATAATGCTTGGAGCGTTACGTTCCTCGCGTAATGTTTTCCAAAAGCTCGCGAGTAATCGGCAGAAACGAAAAGGAGCCTTAATCGATCTTACCCCCTTGTTTACGAATAGAAAAGAACGTACGGGATGAAAGGCAAAAAACAACAGTACAACTTTTCTTTCCTATTTTTCTTCTTTAAGTAGAGAAGGAAAGTACATTGTACCAGTTAAATATTACGATTGAGGCAAATTTCAAGGAAAAATCTAAACGCACGCGAAATGAACTTTTACAATAATTTGAAATTTTCAACGAGGATTCGTCGGCTTTTAAATGATGATCGATTAAGGAGGGTAAGAGCATTATTTCGTAATATTTTCCTACTATTTTCCTACTATTTTCGTACTATTTTCGAGCTGAATATAATTGTGATTAATAGCGCGAGAGAGGGAACAAAGAAAGAAAACAAAGTCCGAACACGAGCGTCCATTAAGGGGGTCGACGAGACAAATATTTGCGTAGAACACGACCGCCAAAACTCACCATCAAAACTCACCACCAAGGAAACGTAATTAAAGCGATTGCACTTTTACGAAGAAAGAATTTTGCCATTTTGTTGTTGTTGTTGTTGTTGTTGTTGTTGTTGTGTCGTGCACCCTCTCACAATTTTTCTCGGTAGTAAGGGGGAAAGACGTGCATTGTCTGTCTGTTGGTACAATTTCTTAATGGACGCGAGGAATGCAGTAGTACTCAGTTCAAGATATTCCATGATAGATCAGAGTTGGATAGAAATAAAGAAGGGATATTTATTTTTCATCGATAGGTCGGCTGTCCGCATTGTTTTCCCTTTACAATTAATAACGTGCGACGTAACGGCGATTCGACAGGCTAATAGAGCGAGAGCTTCGTCCCGTGTTACGGCTTTCGCCTTGATTAATGACCTATGATAAATGTGAATTTGGTTTATAGGACTAGTTTGCCGACGTTTGCCGACGTTTGCCGACGTTTTGTGGTTTGATCGTTCAAAGACGATTGTAAGGATTGTAAGGTTGCATCGATAAATGGACGTACTTGGTGCTCCTCGACTATTTTTACCAAAGGTTCGTGCGATATGGGAATAAACAAATGAACGCACTCACCCTTCATGCCGAGTACTTGCACCCTCTTCCGATCGAGGACACTCTCTGGCTCTTCCACGTTATTTGCGCGCCACTCGATGCGCAAGCCTCGAAAGGGAGTTTCGCGAGGTTATCGACGCTTCTAATTTTATTGCCAGCATGAAAAAGCGAGGGCCGACGTATGTATGAGAGCCACGAGAGAGCGAGATAGAGCCGGGAGCTTCAGGAAGAGCGCCGTCCGAACACTGAAAAACGGAGGAGGAGCATCATCACCCTCTGGTCTACGGGATCAACGATAATTACAGATAATTCAAGACAATTATTACAAATATGGCTACGATCATTCCCGTATCCTTTTAAAGTCGATTCAAGTTTAGTTCGAGCGCGTCTACAAAAGCTTCGAGTAGAAAAAAAAAAAAAAGGCAAGAAGAACGTGCACCCTCTCGGTTTGTAGAATGTAAAACGCCAAAGGAAAGGACCGATCTTTAAAGGTACGAGGTCTTTTGAACGTTCTTTAAACGTTCTTTAAACGTTCTTTAAACGTTCTTTATGCAAACGTATGAGGCAAACTTTACGAGAGGCGAGGAGGAGTCAGAGAACATCTCGAATATCGATTCTATCGATCGCTAAACGAAAATATTATCTTTACCGTTACGACGTGTTCCCCGATTAAAATACGAAAGGTTCAATTCACCGAAATTCAATCGAGTTATTGGACCAACCTGATGCTTTTCTCGATAAAATAAAAACTAGAAGAAAACTAAAAGAAAAATATTATTACCTGGGATACCGACAAATTTGCCGCAACCTTCCGCAACGTCGTTAAACCGAAGAACAGACGGAGCCTTGCTCCGACGACTCTCGGCACGAATTGACATTTCGTCAAACTTTTGCCCCCTTCTTCCCCTTCTTCCCCTTCCTCCGCTGCTCCTCTTCTTCTCTCCAAATTTATTTTTTCTTTTTCTTTTTTTTTTTTCCCCCACGATCACTCAATTATCTTTGAAATTCGTTAGAGATGCATTCTTCTTTGGATTCCTCGTTATCCTTTCGCGTACCTAAAGCAATCGTTCTACATGGAAAAAAGGGTCCAAAGAGGGAAGGTTGAAAAAATGCGCGCCAACTAGGAAAAAGAAAAAGAAGAAGAAGAAGAGCCCCTACAGCGAAAAGAGAAAAAAATGGGTTCTTTTTTTTTTCTCTAGTCGATCGATGAAGGAGGCTCTCCATCTTGAGCAAATGTTTCCGAACGCGAAAAGTTGGTCGTTAAAAGAAACATTATGCGAATGAAGGCATTGCGAAGGTCAGCTTGGAAAAGAGCACGCTTGACCTGGTTAAAGAGACCCGGCGGTCGGTCCATCGAACGACAAATGCCAGGGATGCAGTAGCAGCAGCACGCGTATATCTAGCTTTCGATTGCTTTCGATTGCTTTCGATTAAATTCGAATAACGCGCGCGCGCGCGCACGCGAGAAAGAGCGCTCCTTCGCTCAATCGCTTGTCGTCTACCAAAAGAGACAAGGATTGGAGAAAAGGAGCGATTAAAACGAACGATGAAAACGATTCCGAAGGAAAAGGTGCCAATTCTCTTACCTAATTATTGGGAGAACAATGAAATCGAATAAAAGCAAAACTATCTGCTTTTGTAGGGTAGAAAAAAAGGTAGGAGCGTGGCGGGAGTAGTTGAAAATCGTTGGTTTTCGGTTGGTGTTCGGTTGGCGTTCGGTTGGCGTTCGGTTGGTGCGCGCACGAGGGATTGACCCAGTTTTAAAGCAAGGACGAGGGAGGCCCGGAAAACTGGCTCGGCGCCGTTAACGACGTTTCCACGTCGACGTCGCGGTTCGCACTGATAAACCGACGAACCAGCAGCAGGGGTGGTAGCGGTCGAAGCGCCAGCTACTACCACCACGTCCTTGGATTGCGTCCGCCCCTCCATATCGATCAGTGCGCGTTGCTACCCCTCCGCTACCCTACTACGGTGGGGGATGTTGGTTCGAAGATGTTACTCCTTTCTCCTTTTTCTTTTTCTCTTTCTTTTTCTCTTTCTTTTTCTCTTTCTTTTTCTCTTATGTTCCTTTTCTATTTCCATTTGTCTTTCCCTTTCGGCTAAAGTGCATCGGCAACCCTCGGAAAAATGATCGAAAGCTCTGCTTGCCATCCGAGCGACGAAACATAAATCACGCGCGTTCTCGCTAATTGACTTGGCAGTGGCGACAAAGACTAAGACAAAGACAAAGACAAAGACAAAGACCAAGACAAAGAGAAAGATAAGCGCATGCGTTTAACAACGGATAAACACTTTGATTCTCGAAAGGCTTTATCCTCGTTTTAATTACCGAAAGCGCAGCAGCTGTCGGCGGTACGGTCACGTTTATTAAACGATTAAAAGCAGCGGCGCAACGGTGCATCCCCTAGTAGTAGGGGTTGCGCGCGGAATTTGAAAAGTTCTTACAACGTGTGAATTCCGCGAGTACCTAATGAAAACGTTTGCCGTGCCGTTGAATATTCAACGGGAATTTAACTCGTTCGTCTTCCTTCTGAGGTTTCCAACATCTCTCTTACTTCTAATCCTTTGGAAATTCTACAAGGCGATCAAATAAAAGGGACTTTGTTCATTTTGTCATTAGTTGTAACGCGTTTTATTATCTTGGCCGACGAACGGGGTTGGGCAACTTCTCCAGTTACACAATATGCTAATACGATACTGAAAATAGATAATGGTAGGACGAACTCGTTAGAGTGCGAATATCCAGCATTATGACGTGGACAAGGAGAAGATATCGCATTGGGAGAAAGAGGGAGGCTCGGTTTTGGGGCCGAAGCAGCCTCGGAACGAAACCGGGTCTTGCGAGCGTCAATCCGACCTACATACGATTCTCTCCCAAACAGTGCCGGACCAACAACCAACGTCCTCCAATTGAAGATCCTATAGGCATCGACAGATAAAACCAACCCAATTCTTTTTTGACTTTCTTTTATTATTTTCATCGAGGATCGTCGAGCGCTCCAACCTTTTTTTTTTTTTTTTTCTAATTATCCAACGAAAGGTTACGTCGACATTTTTCGAATATGTCATTAAAAAGAATAATGGCATCGTCTTCGATTCGGGGTACTCGCCTTTTGCGACACGATGTTGCTCTTACGTCACGACGTTCTACGCCATCCTCTTCTACCCCTTTCTTACGTCATTCAACGAAGCAATCCGTATCTCGCGACTTTTACTCAATGGAATCTTCGGGAAGAAAATCTCCTAGCAATCTAAGAGAGATCATTTCTCCAAATTCCATACTTTCGCGAATAATTGGACGATCCAAAAATAGTAACGAACCTGAATTTCCATTTGACGAAGCAAGCTCGTTTTTTCTTTTTCTTCTCGCTGGAATAATCGCGAACGGCGGTATTCGCGGTCCAGCTCGTAATTTCGAACGGCGCGAATCTCGCCCGTCGATATTGAGAAAACGTCAAATGGAACGAGCGAACGAATGAACGAACGAACGAACGAACGAACGAACGAACGAACGAACAACGAATGCCGGTTATTAAATTTCAATGTTACAGGTCGCTGCCAGGACTCTTTCTACGCGTCGAATACGAACCGCGAATTTATTTTTTCATCGATATTTCATTGGCAAGAACGATGCCCTCCTTTTTGTCACCAAAAATGTTCAACAAACAAATTAATTCTTGGAAACGTGTTAAAAACAAGTTTTTACGAGGAAAGAGATGTCTGTCTTTAATAAAGATCTTTGCGCGTCAAATACTCGGAGAAAAGTTTTCTATCGAGCTCGATCGAAGGAATAACGAATGGATATTGCTCTTCGAGTGCAACGGGTGAAAGTCGTTTGGCGAAAAGTACCGTAAACATCTTACCTCGCGAAACTTTCCTCCCACCTTTTTCCAAGGAGCAACGGCGGAACAGGCAAAAAGATCTAAGAGATGCGAGATATGTTTAAACTAGCATTTTGAGTACGGTTCCGCTCGATTGCCAATTGGAAATCTTTATATGCGTCGCGGGATGTCAAATATTTTCTACTTCCAGTATACGAATATCCAATTCCGATAAGGGACTTTCTCTCCCTTTTTCTCCCTTTCCATCCATTTCATTCGTCGCTGTCACCGCTAAACGATTTCAAAACGACCTTAATAGAATACGACGTTTTACCGATAGGAAATGCATTTTCCAAATGCATTACATTATCTGCCGTTGATAAATGATTTTATCTTTAATCGGTGCACGAAAAGATAAATATACCAAGTGGGTGTTATCGTCTATAGGTAATTACCTACGAATCTGTTCTTCATTTTAAATCATTAATCGTTCTCCATTCTACGAAATTAAAGTTTAATTGTTATCATTAATTATAAAAATATTACGCCTGTATGACTGCAACCCTTTAGACACACTTTGAAAATGTTGCTTGCGAGCGCCACCTGTTGGGACGGAATTTTTTTCTGCCCGAAAGATAGGCAACCCGTAACACATGCGTGTATAAACAGTTTTGACTGCAAAAAAATTCCGTCCCAGTAGATGGCGCTCGCAAGCAGCATTTTCAAAGTGTGTCTGGAGGATTGCATCCCCACAGGCGCACATTTTTATATAATTATTAAATAAATAATTATAATAATAATATTATATAATAAATTATCCTACTCCAGATACTATAGATTCGTCTCATTTCAAAACTTGTTTGTTCACGTTAAATTTAACTTGGATTATGAGATTGACAGATTATAAACCGGAAGAGGAAAATCTACGAAGGTCATCTACGAAACAAAAAACACATTCGATTTATATACATGTTATATAAAACATCATTGCGCAACGTAGTCGTATCTTACATCTCGTATTTCCAAACCATCATCAATTTTCTACTACATATACGAGGCCGATCTGATTTCTTTGATATACATCTTACACGTTTAATATTTCAAAATCGGCTTACGTTAGAATGCAAATAAATAATAAAATATTGGAAAGAAGAAATATCGCTGGTGCAAGAAATATATATTAAACGATACGTAAAAACATCATTCGACTTTTGGTCCCGACTAAATCATTTATTACAACAAATATAAATTGACATCGTTTTCGCAAATATTCTACAAATTGCGCATATATTGCACACTAATAATATTAGCCAAAAAAATTTCATAAAATTCTATATAAATTATGTATCACTTTTGCAATATATATTTTCGCGAATGGACTAGCTTAATAATAATTTCATTTCTCGCTCGAGAGAAACTTGCCGTCGATTGCCACCTATCATCTTATGATTATGTACAAAGTGTAATTTCATTTAATCTCGATTCCTACATTTTGCATATAAGTCCCTTATATATTATAATACACAATTTGTTTCATACTTATCTTACAAAACGTCGATATCATCGACATTTTTCTAAAACTGCCTAATTAGATACTTAAAGCGAGTAGACGTTAAAGTCTAAAAAAAAAAAGGGTAAACGAGTTAACGAAACTAACGCGTACAAATTGTGCGCGTACATATTTTCGCAGTAATACGTACGGCCTATTAATTATTACGAATTATTACGAATTATTACGAATTATTACGTGCGGCAAATAATACAAGGAAGGAAGGATATACTTTCTTAGAATTAGAATAATTATCGACTCGTTTACCGATCAACGCAAATCTGACCGACTCGAGATCGTTTTGATTAAGAAAATGTACATTCATTTCCATTGACGAATCTTCTCATTCGACGTTTCTTCTTTCGTTTATTAACTACTCTCTATTTGGTCCGTTAATGTCATCACCTGTGCGGACAATTCTGTAGATATGGGAAGAGGTGACAGTGAATGGATTTGAATCTGTAACAAACAAAAAAAAAAGAAAAAAGAATAATAGTTGATTAAACAAAATGTGCAATATCGTGCAAGGAAATAACGGCATCAATGTTTACAATAGCATAATTATTGTAAAGTTAATTAAAAGTCGTATATAAGATGCAACGTACGCGATCTCATCTCGATGCCGTTACCTTTCCTACATTTCTACCCATCTCTCACTTTGTCTTACATATTTCCAGCATATTCGCCACCAACAGTGGCACTTGGTCAATTACACAAATAATTGAAGCCTTTAACCGAGAAACGTCGCATTTGTCGCCTATTACGCGAGTAACTAATCGAAATAAAAGAATGTATCTACCTTTTCGGATCCTCCTTTATATCGAATCCATCGATTTTCAGAATATTCCACTCGTCTCGTGCACCTTTCGAATAACTGAAAGATACCTGTGAATCAAAAGAGAAACATCCTTTCTTAATCCAGGCAATAAATAAAAGTGCACGTTGGAAAACGTCAAATATTTGTCACCGAAACGAATGAAGCGTAAACGTGTGACTTGCGTTTTCACGATTGACCGAAACGAGAAAAATACAATAGTAATAAGTCATGAAACTACTTAGATAGGACGTCTAAAGAAATCTCGGAAGGAAGTTTTCCTTGGTAGTTGGATAAACCGTTTCGATAAGAAAAAATTACCTGCTCGTGAAAGGTGTCCTTGTTAAGGAACTTCATCGGTTCTAAATGCGAATGAAATTGCTCTATCACCGTCAGCTGCTTCTTCAAAAGGTACTCGATGATATATCCCATGGTTACGTCATCCGGAAGCCTGATCCTATCGCCTACGGTGATAAACTTTCCACCCCTGCAACAGATAAATGAATAATAAATAAATAAATTGTAAATATGAAATTTTCCGATTCGTCAATGTTAATTAGGCAAGATTCCAAGAGCATGCAGATTAAGGTTGGCGACGCACCTGCTGTTTATCTTGGCTTCCTAACCAGAGAAACTGGTTAGGGTGCATCTACTGCGAATGAAGAAGAAGCGAATGAAGAGAACAGTTGGAAAATAAAGAAAGGAAATTGAATCGTTTGGTAGAGCGGAAAAATCGTTGTTTGACCGCGAAGGACGGTCTACAGAGGGWGGTTAGGGAGGGAGGGAGGGAGGAAGCAAGTTCCTTGACCGGTTATAAAGCAACGGAGGAGAGTCGGGTTGGCGCAGGTGCAGTCGAGTAGGTAAAACAAGATAACGGCGACGGAGCGAGGAAAGGTGGGGGGAGAGAGAGGAGAAAGATGCGAGGACGGACGAGTGCCACTGAGAACGCCAAGGAAAAGAGACTATGGTAGAGGGTACTCATTAGCGAATACCATCGGTGGATTCTCCATTCCGTTCTGACCAGGCGGCCCCGGTTCTTTTTAATTGGCCAGATTAGTCCCGAAATCGCGTACCCTTTTCTCCACCCTTTTATCTCACTCTACCTCCCACCCGAAACGACTTGGTCCTTTCTATACCCGCCGACACGGAATATCGTCCTCGTTAAAATACCTGGCTCGACGAAAAGGAAATTTTCGAGGTTAAGAGAACCGGAAAGAAAGAAAGAAAGAAAGAAAGAAAGGAGACTTCTCACCGATGGACTTTGCGCGTCCTTGGGGGAGGGCCGCTTTTCGTCTTGCTTCGGCGTTAACTAACGAAGCAAATATTTCACTTAGACGGATTCCCTCCAAATTCTTCCTTAATAAGCTCCACCGAAAAGGATTCCTGAAAGATCTCTCTGTTTGGGACCGTAAGACATTTGCTCGGAGAAGGGCGTACGATCGAACGAACGAACGAACGAACGAACGGCGATACGAACCACCACCACCACCACCACCACCACCACCCGTCAAGATAAACCTTGACTATACACATAATATTATTATATTATTTGGCGTTGGATTGGACGACTTTAATGATACACCGGGATGAATCGTGAAAAATTGCTTGGATCGCATTTGGTATAGATCGAAGAGGGAGACCGTAGAGGTATAGAGGAATGCCCAAATTGCTTTGACGAGGTCCAGTGGGGATGCCAAGAGCAGGAATCACTGCCGATCGCCGGAAAGGAATCCAATTAAGCGAGCAATAATGGAATCGAACAGAACTCACTGGGGCCAGTTTGTTTCTTCTTTTACTCTCACGCATATAGAAACACGGCGTATAAACGTATTAGTTTGAACCAGCGAGCGAGCGCGCAATCGTAAACTCGTGGGTGGCAATCGTACGTCGTTGCTCGTCACGACGACGACGACGACGACGACGACGACGATATCGAAACTAAGAGTCCGCTCGTTCCTAATTAAGCGTGCCCACAGAGTTCCCGATCACGAGAACAACCGTCCTCCATTATTCCTTATATCCCGTGTCGTTTATTCTTTGTGTTTGCCGATTGACGCCCGATTTGCAAAAAAAGTTCAATGTCGGACGACAATTTATGCGTTTATAGAAATAATTGATATTACGTGCAAGTGGCTTCTTAGCTCCGGAAACTCGTCTCCTCCTCGCCTTCTCCGTGGAATTTCTCAAAGGGTGGTCGGACGCGCAAAAGATCGTAACTCGAAAAGATTCGTAGGCAGCTCCGTGACGAAGCATTTCCGCGAGCGTAATCGCCAGCTATTACGGACTCGGAAGGACGAGAGACGAAGGAACAACCTGGACAGGAGAAAGAAGCCAAAGGAAATAGAATAGAGAAAAATAAAATAAGAAAAGAAGAAAAGAAGAAAAGAATGAAATAAAAGACAAGGACTCGCTCCAAGAGGATCGCGTGTCTCACGCACTCGCGCGAGATCGTCTCCAACTTTTTTGTCCCTCTCGCGTTCGTTCGTTATATCTAGAAACTTAGAAATGATGATAGATCCAACCAAGAGAGAACTTTCAGTCGTAAATAATGATCTAGTTGATATAAATCGAACGCAAATCTATTTAAGGATAGAAAATATAAATGGACTCACCCAGCGAGCGGCGTCATTTTCAACGCTAGAGCCCTGCTGATGCAAAAGCCGGCACCACCCGTAGCAAACCAGAATCTGACCTTTTGCTGCAACACACAGAGAAATAAAGTGAGTTCGATCGGATCTCTCTATTGAGAACGTCAATAACGATCAAGCTCGATCCAAGCAGCGATCCGGAAATATCGGTGCTCCGATCGATCCGACCATAATCGCATCACGTCGAACGCTCCCTTCGGACAAATCACTCGATCATCTTTTTCCACATTTCCTATCGATTAATCCAATTTCCATGTTTCGAAGAAGCAACTGTAACGGTACTTTTCACCGATCGCGAAAGATAGCGGCGCGCAAGGTCGAGGCGGAAAAAAAAGAAAAAAAGAAAAAAAGAAAAAAAGAAAAAAAGAAAGGAAGAAAAAAAGAGCAAGACTCGCTTCCGATCGACTTGTTCCCGTTGACCTGGAAACTCGAAGTACGGTTTGTTCGGTGTGTTCGATGTGTTCGGTGTTCTCTCGCTCTCGATCCGCACGAGCCGCACGAATCGTTTCGAAAGAGTTACGAGTGTTGAGCCGATTTCCGAAGGATCGCCATCGTTGCTTGCCGGTCTCTCGCTCGGTCGCTCGCTCGGTCGGTCGGTCGGTCGGTTGGTTGGTTGCTTGGTTGGCCGGCCATTACGGCTGGACTCGTACAAGCGATACCATCTCTTTTGCTCTCTGGTACACCATACACTTTCCTAGGTTGGGTGTGGTACGACGATACGTAGCGTGCCCGCTAGCAACTTTCCGTCCCTTCCTATATCTTCGGCTTATACGTGTATGATCGTAAGGTCAATCGTGGACCGTTACCGTTACAATCCTTCTTTTATTATTTCTTCTTCTTCTTCTTCTTCTTCTTCTTCTTCTTTTTCGTGTTCTTTTTATTCGATAATCAGGGATTTTAGTCAAGTGAATAAGACGAATATATACGGTAGTTGTGTTGTATCGCATTCCCAAAGAACAAACGGACGGGACCTCACGGACGCATTAGATATACAAGAACGATAGGAAGGGTAGATAGAATCGGGCCGCTTTTACAAGGGGGCGCGAGTCGGTTCTTTGTTTTCTCTCCTCGGTTGCTCCGGTGCATTTGAATAACGCAAGGTCGCGCGCAAGCACACACACTCTTCTTTATCCTTATGTACGGATTTACTTTTTAATCTATACACGGTTTGTTCGAAAATTTCTAAAAGAGGGATCATCGCCAATCTCTAACGATCCTCATTGTTTATTACGTCCTATCGATATATAATCACGGTTATTAGAGGAAAACGAGCAAAGTGGTACACGGATTGGAGAGATTCGAAGGAACGAGTAATAATAAAGCGGGAGTTAAAGGCGCTCGTTATTAACGTATAATAATTACGGGTGGTGAGAGGCGGGTTCGCTCGTTCGCGCGTGCTCGGACATAGGCGCAGCTTGCTTATACAAGCAAGCGTAAATGTGTTTTGCCATGAACAAAAGGAGCGAACATGGGAAAAGAAAAAGCAACAGAAAATTTCGCTCGATTTAGTCTCTGGGAGAATAGAGAGAGATGGGAACGATCCGATAATTTGATGTGGCGTGGGTCGTCAATAAGCCCCCTTTACTTCTGTAAAAGGAAAATATAGACGATTCGATGGAAAGTCTTGAGAATAATTGAGAAAACGATTCCACCTCCGTTCTAATACTTAAATAGTAGTAGTAGCGTTTCTACCTATTCAATTATCTATTGATAAAAACACACGGAGAAAATACAAAAGCTTACTTCGAAGAGCAAAGATGGTGCCAAGAGATAGCGAAAGAGAGAGAGAGAGAGAGAAGCAAACAACTATAATAATATGGAAGTAAATGGAGAGGTAGCGTACGTGGGCAAGTAGGAATCGTAGCATCCGTTTCTCTCCACCTTGGCCAAAGGCAAGAAGGGATACGCATCTAGTGTGTGGTGTCGGTACACACTCGGCACACACTCGGCACACACTCGGCACACACTCGGCACATACTCGCGGAGGCCGTCACGGGTCACGAGCTAGTCTTCCCCCTCGCTCCTTCCTACCACATATGATGCTAATAAAGTATAGCGCGAGACTACTTTTTTCTTATCGTGCAACGACCCTAAAGAGGGAAGGAAAATCGCAAAGCCATCGCAAAGCCATCGTCAGCAACGAGATTCTTATTTTGTCGTTGTTCCGCTCGCACTTATGGTCGTCGTCACGGGTCACGCGAGCACACCCATTGTAATTCCGCTCGTTTCTACGAACAATGGCAGCGGTGAGCGCAATTACGAAAGACTTCGTTAACGTTAAAATCGTCTTATGTTAGTTGGTTGGTCTTTATTAAAACGTCCGGTTCCCCTCGTGCCTATGCAAAGTGAAAACCTAATAGGAAATGAACGATCCTTGGACTTTATGCGTCGCCACGAAAAAAATAATAACGGTAAAGACAACGAATACTGAATTTTCCGGAAGAGTAAACACGAAAATGCAACGAGCAAGCAAAGGAGGGAAGGAATCCGACTACTTCACGGACGTCTGCACCCCGCGAACAATTCCCACGTTCGTAACGCGTTCTGCCTTTTCTTTCCTGCAAAGCAGGAACAACTAGACGCAAAGGAGACGAGTCGCACGGTATTCCTCTTTTTTTTTTCTCAATGAACAATCGATCCATTAGAAAAATCTGCGAAGCTGTGTGAGGCCGTAAAGGGGGGGGGGTGGTGGTGATGGTGGTGTGGTGGAGTAGAAATGCATTCCGCGAAACGCCTCGTAATTACACGGAATCGCACGGCGAGCTCGATTTAATTATCTTAACGCAATTAGCCGCATAAAAGGAAATCTCCGTGTACTCGGTGCATTCCCCGTTAATTTCTCCTCGCTTTATTATTAACATTGGTGGTAGCGGTGGCGTGTTTGCTGGTCGTCGATAGGGCGCCGATCGAAGGCCGCCGATCGAAGACCGCCGATCAAAGGCCGCAACCGCAAACGAAAACCTATCTGCAATTTTCACTTGGAAAGAAAGAAAGAAAGAAAGAAGGAAAGAAAGACAAACTTTGGCCATTATTATAGCCGTTGAATCGACGTAAAAGCGCGATACGTGTCGCTATCATCTTTGAGAATGGATCGTCGGATGATTACCATTAAAGCTCTACCTGCAACTACTTGCTTCTATTCTTCATTCAAGTGTTCTCCATCGATCTGCAGTGTTCGTTCGGAAACCGCAACGATCGTAAGGGCCAAAGGGAGGAACGAGACTATCCTTGTTTTTCTTTGAAGAAAGCCACAGAAACGCGAGTCTCATGGAATAATAATAATTCTACTTTCACGTCAGCGGAATGACTTTGTGACATGAGAAAAGGGACATAATAAAAGAAAAATATGAGACGGAATGCACGCCATGTGTCACACATCCGCGTGTACGCACGAGTGCCTTGGAGTTACGCGGATACAGGGTGCGATTTTCTGACCGCATCGTGAGAGGTGTCGCACACTCCGAACCATTTTACAAAACAAATGTAACTACTAAATAAAGTCCGAACGTAATGTTCCAACTCTTCCTCATTTAAGCCTCTTACGATGTCCAACGAATATCGTCGTCGTTCCGCGTGACCGCCTACTCTCTGCGGTTTTCCATTAGTCCAAGCGGAAGGTTGTTCCATAAGTGGAACAACGTCCTCCACATCCTACTATTATCTTCTTTTATCGAAACATTTTCTCGATTACAAGACCGACCAGACGAAACGACCTTATTACTTGCTATAACTTTTATCAAACTATCATCATTTTAATTTTCAAATCGAAAGCAAACTTTTCTCTTTCTCTCTGCCTATTCGTCTGCCTGTCCATTAGACGAATGGTAGCCGATAATTATCGGCAGCGATCCAGGCCGCGGATTCGATAAATGACTTTAATAAAACGCGTCGTATTTCAAAAGATTGTCAGACCTTCTTCTTCTACGTTCTCAAATGATTAATGCGACCACTACCTTACCGCGGGCTTACCTTACCGCCTTCCTGCTGTGGCCACCTACCGTTCCTCCTTTCCTTTTTCCTCTCTCCTTCTCTCTCCCTTTTTCTCTTTCATATCCTTTCACGTCGGAGCTCCGTATCTTTGGCGTCTCGCTCCTCTTTCAGCTCGCTCCTCTGTAACTGTCTTTTTCTTCCTTTTCGCGACCTCTCGAGATGAACAGACCCAAGCAAGCACGGAAGATGCAACGCGCTCGCGACTAGTCGAGGACACGCCCAAGAAAACGCAAACGCAAACTCTACCACGAGTATGGAGCAACTTTTACAACCAAGATGCAACCTGGTGTGTTCTATCGATCGATCAAAATGCTCCTCAAACTTTTCATTCCCTTCTAATAAATTGAAACAAACTCTATTATAAAGTTGAAACCAGCCTGGAAAAAGAAAGTACAAACTCGAACGATTCTATAGAATAATCGTCATGAAATAGTCATCGATAACGAACGATGACTATATATCGATGATAGAACGCACAGAGAGAGAGAGAGAGAGAGAAGAAACGAGGAAGAAGCAAGCCAAGACTATGTCGATTCTCCGGAGCCAATTTGCTTTCTAAACCAAGCGAAACGTCGAGCGAACCATTATTACTCCAAGAGCTCCGGTACATATCGCTTAACGGCCATAAACGTACGTGTACTTGCAGTTACATATATATGCAAGGAAAAGACAGGACTTGGAGGGTAATGCTAAAAGGGACACGCGTTGGCAACGAGCATCGAGCCGTATCGGACGTTAGAAACGCCTAACATTCGTTTCGTCCTATAAGCGTAGGTAGATACATTTCTCCGTTTATATATTATCGCTAGTCGTAAGTTTATGTTTTACGGTTCATTGCCAGGTTATTTCTAAACTAAAATGAGCAAAGACTTTTTTCGTCAAAGACCAACTACCGGTTGTTCGAGTTTTTGTTCACCCGGAGATCACCCTTTCACCCGGGGCGTGGTGCCGACCCCGTTGTCCAAGGTAAAACATATCAAGGATCAGGAGGTCCGGTTTATTGGAACGATCGATAATATACGAAAAAACAAAACAAAATACAAAGAGGGCTTCGTGAATAATAAAAGACGCTACCGTTTCCGTTTGAACAGAAAAATGTTTGCTTCGCGTTTCTCCTGCAAGCGGGAACGAGCAAATATACCTTTCACCCGCAGTGACGGCAATTGCGGTTGCACCACCTTCCCGAAAAATGCAAACTAACGACGTTACGTTACGACGTACAAACGCTTTCAACGGACTTAATTGTCCCTAGGTTGTAAATTCATCAAGGATCATCGAGATGTCGAAGGATAGATTAGAAGAAAAAAATGGTGAAAAGTTTAGCGACTCGCGAGGCAAACTCGTGTGCAACTCGTGTGCAACTCGTGTGCAACTCGTGTGCAACTCGTGTGCAACTCGTGGGCACGTACGTACCCTGTTATATACCGCCTCCTTCTCTATATCTTGTGGAGATTTCTCGAGCAAATATAATATACGAGTACGCGAAGCCCGCGGGGAGTAGCCCGTCCTCGACGAAGGAAGACCATAATCTTGGTCCGCTTGGAAGATGGTACCACACCCATGGGGGGTCGCGGGAGATGCTCGACCGGCTGCTTCCACATCCCACAATACACGTTGTTACCGGATTCCAGCAAGGAACCGGCAAAGTGCCGCGATAAATATCGCTTGTCAAAAATCATCGACTATCTTTCAAATATGCTCTTTCGAGAGTACAACGGATACGAATAATAACAAGGTAGAATCGAGTTTTTTGCGCAAGATTATGCCTCGCGCCAAGTGGGTTACCATACGCGTCATCGATAGTCATGGTTCGTAGGCACGAACACAGTGTGTATGTATGCGCGCCGATCGACTTTCGAGCGATTTCAAGCAACGATACTGGACAGACCGGTATCGCAACAAGGTTCAATGAAGAGAGGAAACAAGGCCGTACCGAGACAATTTTTTAAGAGGAAACATTTCTCCCTCCTCCCCCCCCCCAACTCCAAGCCCCGTCTGTCTCCCTATCGCTTAAAATACACGACGTTACAAAGTAGAATTTATTTGCATATTTCCAGCTCGATTCGTACGAGAGAGACACACTCGTCGTTAAACAATTAATGTCGAGTAGCGTTTCGTAAGTCGTCTTGGCGTATAATCATTTCTAATGATAAAGTAGCGATGGAGTAATCACCGGTGAACGACGGTGATTCGATACATAAGAAACGAAATCGGTGTCGTTATCGAAAGTGTAAGAAGGCTGTGGTTAAATATTTCAAAGTTACCGGTCGTTTCGATGGCTCTGGTCCCGGCCTCATGATTTCCAGAGGGGCTGGTATCGAAGGCTTGCCAAGATACCAATCCTCCCGTGGGTTGTAATTGTCCAGGAGCTTCAGAAGGCGTGGTACGTTCACGTAATTATCGTCATCGAAGTGGCAGAACCACCTGGAACGCACAACCAAAAGAGAACTGAGTTAAGTTCCAGTCGAAAACACCAATTTTTATATTCGCCATTGCGAAGGTATAATAAAGATATTAAGGTTGTGAGTCATTAAACTCCTTCAATTGTTTGGTAAATTACGCAAGCGGCAGCGGCAATGCGGCAGGCGTGCGCGCGTGCATAGAACATAAATGAAATTTCAAGCAGACGGTTGGTCGTGATCGCGTCTAAATAAATGCTTAAATAAATCAACATTGAATTTCGATTGAAATCAAAGGAAGTAAATAAGCGAGAGAAAAAGAAGAAAACGAAGAAGAAGAAGAAGAAGAAGAAGAAGAAGAAGAAGAAGAAGAAAAAAAAGGAGAAAGAGAAAGGAATTGTTCGGAGCTGTCGTTAAGCTCGTCCGAAAGAAACTCGTTCCGGCGATGGAGTAACGAGCCGACAAATTGCCGGGTCAAACCGAACGAGGAGTCGTGGGTGTGGTGTGTCGTTAATTATCCGCGTAAACGAGCATTTAGCTCGCGGATGAAAGCCGGATGCACAAATTCGAGTTACCACCGAGTTATTCCTCCTTTTAACTCTTTCACTCTTCTTGTTTTTTTTTTTTTCCAACGCCTAAAACACTACTCATTTATACGAAAATATAAATATCGTAGTGAACGTTCTCGTAAGGAATGTATAGTCGTCGCGAAGCCCTCCGTAGACATCTCGTCGAGTAAATCGCACCTCTCAACCACGCAATCCGATCGTGCGTGGATTATTAAAGAAGCGTCCGCCTCGTAAAAACGTCGTCTACACGCGGCTACGTGCAGCCACATGGATTCTTTGTGGCATCTACTCGCAGGTGTATCCGCTCGTTATCGCTTGACTAGAATATTTTTACCTATAGAAGGACGTATTATACACAGAGGAAGAAAATGTACTCGAAAACTTGACCAAGAGGGTGCAAAACAAGTATTTTACACGAGTACCCCACGTTGACCAAATTAACGATGCATCATAGCCTCCTACCGTGGGAACCCTCGCTACCACTCTTCTACCACCCTTTTAACCACCCTTTTAACCACCCTTTTAACCACCCTTCGAGCACGCTCTGAAACACGTGGCACTCGGTGCACACGCGAGCGACACGCGTATGCATCGCAAGAGGCTAATGTCTTTTGTTTACATTTCACTTTCGACGTTCGATCGAACAGAGTGCATTTTAATTCAATAAAAAACACCCAAATGGAGATCTTTTTGAAACTTTTTGTAAACGCACTTTCCCGTAAGTTGCATTAACGCAATGGTTAAAATCAATTATCAGGGGGGAGAAACGTTTCGGTGCGATGTGAAAAAGGGTCAGGAGGAGGGTGGCTGTCGTACTCGTCGACCGATTGTGGGAAACCTTCCTAACTCGATTCCCATCCAAAGGGTCGTACCAGAATTAAATCTTGACACGATATTATTCCGGGAGATCGGCGTTGCTGCGATAAAATATAAATAAACACGATATTTACATATTACAGAATATTCTTGTCGTCAAATCATTTCCAGATCCGGCTACTTGTCTTCTTTATTTAGAAAGCTAGTAAAAAAAATGACAAAGTTAAATAAATCCAAAATTGATATTAACCATTTACAGTGGAGCAATAATGATGTTTATTTAAGCGTGCAAAACAACAATCTTAAATAACGTCATTTACATGCACCGTTAATGCACGTCGAACTCGATACTCGTGGTAACAATAGGAGTATTATTTTCATAGTTAGAAGAGGAATTTGATTTTTCCTCGATAAACTGGCTGGTCATTCTATTATCCTAACAAAGGGTTAACACAATAGTTGAGCGTTTTAAATGATGTTCGATACACGTAAAGAAGTATATATGTATATATTTAGTACGGTCGTGGAAAGAAAAAAGAAAAGACACGAGAGCGTCGATAATCACGGCTCGTTACCTTTACAAGTCGAATACGCGCCGGATGTGCAACAGGTGAAATTACACGTCGAGAAAATTGGCGATCGTCGATCTTTTCCCCTCGTTGTCACGTAAGTGATCAAGTGAAGAAGAAAGACGTTGGTCGTGTTCGACAACGTGTAGAGGATCGAAAGGTTGGCCTCGATAGCGTTTCTAGCGATTTCTACTAGTCAACGTTTTGATGCATGGACAATCATGGACAATCGTAAAGGCCAAGATCGTTTGAAAACCGAGTCAATGTACAATACTACGAAGAGTTAACGAGCAACTTGTATGGCGCGAGCTTACCACGCCCGTTTTTATTAACCACGGCACTAGGCGGCACACGCCAACAACCCTGACCTTTTCCGCGCGAGCCGCACGTTTTCTCTTTCTCTCTTTGCTTGCTTCCTCTTCCTTCGCATCTTTCCTTTTTAAGAGAAAAATAGATTAAACGAATGGGAAGTAAATTAAAGGACTGGACAGGTGTTCGAACACCTTACTTCCTACCGTCGTCCAAGCTAGTTTATAACCAGTTTTCATTAGGTATTCCGATTTATTTTTCAAATAAAATAATGCTCGTTAGAGCATGTGCTCGACCATATCGCGAATCAAACGCCTGCTAGCAAACGCGATCGGTATGCGTTTGCTGCTTATATTCAAACAAAATAAAAACCTACATATTTCCTTTGCCAGGTAAGAAGTAAGTGCGTAAAGATGCGATTGGATATCGGATAATGATATTTCAACTCGATTAAGAGGAATAGTAAATTGGTCGAACGGATTTGCTTTCAAGATTAGCGGTATTGCGAGTTATGCTCCTTAGGATATCTTGGAATTTGTTTTATTTCTATCTAACGCTTATCGTCGTCGTCGTAGTCGTCGTAGTCGTCGTAGTCGTCGTACTTTATTTCAATACCGACGTTGTCGTCGAACGGTATTGAAAGAGCAAACACAGTAATCGTCTTGATACGCCTTGATACGCCTTGATACGTCTTGATACGACGTCAAAGATAAAACTGTGGCCGCGCGAAAGAGCACTCGGACCGATTAGAATAATCTACGTCATTGCGTGAATCTAATCATTGCGATTAAAGGATTCTTTAGGAAGAAAAGATATCGGAGAATCGTGGTAGGTCGTAATATATTTTCATGTTCGATCCCAGCTGATGTAGCTAACGACGATAGGAAGGGGGAAAAGAAAGAGGCCTTGGAAAAATATCGAATGTCGCTAGACGTCGAACTTCTGGACACTCGATACACACGTTACCACGATGATAATAAGAAGAAAAAGAAAGGTTGTTGCGATGTTGCGCATCAACCGCAACATTTTCTTTCTTTTTTTCTTTCTTTTTTTCTGTCTTTCTTTCTTGCTTCGATCTCGAGAAGATTTGATTACGCTTACGAATACGATAGTGGTCGTATTACGAAAATTTCATTTTTGTCCTTTATCCGATCGACTAAGTGAGAAAAAAATACGAAGAATTGAGCCATATTTTCGAGTGTTATCGACTCTTAAAACGTACGTATTGTAGATATACCGGTGAACGTCTCGCCGGATGTAGCAATGAACGAGCGCAGCGAGAGCCAACGAGCCATTTCCGGGGCCTCCTGCTGCAGAATATTACATTGATAACAAAAATTGCCTTCCAAGTGTTCGCGATGGCGAAGCCAAGACGTTGCCGAGTCTCTTATTCTTCTTCTTATTCTTCTTATTCGTCTCTCTTAGGTTCTTTAACAAAACTATTGCGATAAAATAATACCTATAGGACGAAACTGTATTTCAAGGTATTTCTAATGATTGTTGTTTACTTTATATAAGAGATGAAAGGAACGATTGTCGTCATAGAATCGAGTTGATTAAGAAGAATCAAAAGTCGTGCAACGTTGATCGAGCCGAGAACCAAGGAGGAACGTCGACGCCAACGTTCGAACATCAGCGACATAAATTCTTAGAAAATCATTTGTCTGCTTTTTATTCGGTCGATCCACTCGAGGGGCAACACATGCTCGACTCATCGAAGAAACACACACCGCCGAGATGGCGCGAGAGATGGAAATGTCTTGACAAACCTATTAAACGTACTTTATTAACAAACTTCTCTCCCGTGTCGTCGATACCTAACATTACGAAAGGAATAAAAACAAAAAACAAAAAACAAAAAACAAAAAAAACAAAAAAAGACAAGAAGAAATCTCGTGATTCGTTGGCAAGCCATCATGGATGGGACTATGCCTCGAGAACAAAAATCCCAAGTACCTATGGAATTATCCTATTCAGAAAGCATGGCTCGAGGCTTTCTGGATCATCGTATCTCGGTTGAACGGCGCGCATCGGTGCAGGTCTCGTGAAACAAATCAAAGGGTCCAAGGGTCCAAGGGATAGAGAGGGGGAGCAAAAGGAGAAGGGTTTGCGTGTGCCCGACGTTCGTGAACCGCGAAAAGAAGAGAAGAGAAGAGAAGAGAAAGGCCGAGCTAGTCGAAGGGAGAAAGAGAGAGCGTGCATTGAAACGCGTCATTCGATCACGAAGCTGGTATCAGGTGCAAACCAGTTTCGATATACATATAAGAGAGCAGTAGAAACGTACAGCAAACTTTGGCATCGGCAGCAGCAACAGCAGCAACTCGGTAGGTCTGTTGAGATTCTGCAAATGGCGACACGCACTCTGTGTTCAAAGATAGGAAAAGAAGTTTTCGTCTACGCACCGCGACCTAAATAAATCTATCAAAGGATCGATCGATCGAGAGAGATCGTGATTGAGACGAGATCGCAATTAGTCCCGGTCGCTTTGAAATAAGAAACATCTCTCGAACAAGAGAAAAAGGCTCGAGCATTGGTGTGTCCACGTAAAGGCACATTCTTCCACGAAAGCAATTCGTGCATGTTCGCCTTCCTCGAAACGTGTCTTGATTTCTCAATTGCGCGACTTTACCTTTCCTCCTCTCTCAAAAATTCACCAATAATCCGTTGGTCTTTGTTGTCGTCGTCGTCGTCGTCGTCGTCGTCGTCGTCGTCGTCGTCGTCGTCGTCGTCGTCGTGTTCTCTCTACTACAAGCCCTTTATAACTTCCAATTCGGGGGACAAACAACGAAGCTACGATTGATGTTGAACGAAAACAAGGAGAGAGAGAGAGAGAGAGAGAGAGAGAGCTCTACGTGACAACGCGTCGCAACGCTGAACGAGCTCGATTAATTTCGATATGACCTCGGCCAATCGCGTGACTCGATCTCTCTTATAGGGTACACACAGCGTAGTCTAATTCTATCTTGACTATTTTGCTACATGTGAACGAGATGCAAGACGATCCACTTTGTCTTGATCTATTTAAACTACAAGTATATGAAGAAAACTGAGCTACTAAAGAAGAAAGAAAGCCCACGATATACGACGAGAGATCGTATCTCGTTCCGTGCTAAGAAGAATAAGTAGAAAAATGAGGAAAAAAATGAGGAAAAAAAGGACATTGGATTGAAGCAACAAATTCGAATCACGCAGAGAGAAAGGTACGATACATCTGCCAGAACGTCCGAGACGGGATTACAGAAGATTTTTCGTTTCGAGTGGGCATACCGAGATTAAAGTACCCCCTGTTCTTCCCTTCCTCTTGTTGTTCCAAAGATCGAGGTGAACGAGCCTGAAGCGTGAGTGCGCGCGTGCACACGACCTGTCTCAAACGAGGTGCCCTCTTTACTACTCCTACTATTCCATGCAACTGTTTTGCTATCACATTAGAAATAAATAAATATTTAGGTATTTGAACCGAATTGTTTTCTCTTGAATATCAGCGGCGATCTTTCACGTGGCACGTCTTTCATCTTGGACATCGCACGAAGAGGTCTTACGAAGACCGCAGGGTCTAAGAAAAAGGGGATGGAGTAAGTAACGAAGGAGGGTCCTATCGTCGTCCCTAAACGCTTATTATGCGGCATTACTGGTAGCCTCGTACATGCACATATAATACGCAGTCACGCGAGCGTTAACCGTTGCGAGGAGCTTCGCATACTCTCCGTGTACCGAGAGAGAGAGAGAGAGAGAGAGAGAGAGAGAGAGAGAGAGAGAGAGACCGGAGCAAGTTTTTTGCACGTGTTCCCCCCTTTTCCTGGCCGATCTCTATCGTGCGGTGTCGTAATTGCCGCACCTGAGGACCATCCGTTGTCCTTGATTATCGGGGAAGGATGGAGAACAAAATGAGTAAAACAAAATGAAACTTTTTTCGCCGAAAGGAAGGAAGGAAGGAAGAAAGGAAGGAAGGAAGGAAGGAAGGCTTTTCTACGCGGGTAATTTCAATCAAATATGACGACTTTATATCAAAGTATTTAACTCACGTTTGTTTGCTTATAGTCTATATGTATACGACGAGCGATAAAATATCTAACATAAGGACGAATATTTTACCGTTGGTTTTGTTTGAACGGCGCGATAAAGAAATACGCAAGCGGACAAATCGAGCGGCCAGGAAACGCGCCGAGATAAGAGTCGACGACGCGTGATATGAAATTTTTGAATAAATAACAGGCTGGAACATGTTCGTACCTTTTGGATATCTCACGTTAGAATATTTCATGAAAAAACGAGTCGTAGGAGCAAACTTAGGAACAAACTTAATTGGACCGAATCATTAGGTTGGTTAGAACAATAATAATAAAAATATGAAGAGGGAAGGTATGGTTGGAGGAAGATTAGCTGGTGGAATTCCATAAATCTTTGCTCCATTCGTTATCGGTAGCGGAGGATCCGTGCGTCCGCCCGTAAAACGATCGTATAATTGGACGAAGCGAGGTGTGAAATCGTTGGGGATTATTTGAACGGACTTTTGCCTCTGCAATACCGCAGGAATTTCGCGCTCCAACGAAAAACGATGCTCGATATCGTCGGCCACGAACCACGGTTAATTCACCGATCAAGAAAATTACTCTCGCGGATTAGAAATTAGCTTCTTCAAAGTGATGCCGCCGTTGCAAATGAAAAAAAAAAAAACAAAAAAAAAAACCAACAAATTCCGATCGAATAAACGAGCTTTTAAGATAATAAAGAGAACAATGCGAATGATAATAATACGACACATCGAAAAGAGGAAGACAAAGAAGAAGGACCCGCATCCGATATACGAGAGAGTATCTTCTTCTTTTTCTTTTCTAAGGTGCTATCGACTTACGCATTCACCAAGTTTCTTACCGAATATGCCTTGAAATAGAAATATTTAATAGTCGATGATTAATGTGACAAATAATGAAATAGTATGTTTAAAAAGAAAATGATAGAAACGTTCGAGGTGAGTAACTGCGTTAAAAGAAAAATAAATTGGAAGAAGCGGCGCGTAAGTTGAAAAAACCAGGAGGAGCCTCGGCCTCCTCGAGGACCCATAATAATTGCTTCGCGTTGACGATGGGGCCATTAAATGTGTTTTTCCAACATTCATTTTTTCAAGAGAGGAGTAAAAAAATAAAAGACAGCGAGATAATATTTTGAAGGGCTACATTTGACCTGCTCGATGAGTTCTCCCTCCCTCCCTCCCTCCCTCCTGCTCTCCCCTATCTAAACACGAATCTCAAAGATAACGTTCGGCTTGTAAAGAAAAGTAAAAAACGGAGGACTACTTTTCTTGGTAGAAATAGGAACGAGCAAATACAAAGTGTCCGATATATCTGGTAGAATATGACTCGATGCGATGCTCCGCTCGTTAAATATTGTAAAGACTTTATAATACTGTTACTGTTTGACTTGGGACATTAAGTTGAAATCTATTTGGAATCCCATTCGTATTTTGTCGATTTATTATCCAAGAGTTGGTTTCCCGGTGAACACCTGCACGAGGACGGTATCGAGAGGCCATCGGTTAAGAGTTGTTTTTTTTTTTAAAAGCAAGAAAGAATAACAAAGAATAAGTGCTCGAGACGACTGGGGAGATAAGAGAGAGAGAGAGAGAGAGAGAGAGAGAGAGAGAGAGAGGGAAGAGAAATTATAACGATGCTATCGGGATTCCGTTTGCACGCTGCATACCGCGAAACTCGGCGTAGCTAATGCGCTCGGAACATCCGCCGAGACGCTTCGTTGCATCGGATAATATTCTTTTTCCGTTCTCTCGGATCTTATAGGAGAGACTTTACGAATTTCTTCGTAGAAGAGAGAGAGCCTACAAATATGCGGAAAATCGATAGCCAAGTCGAGTGACCAAGAGGTTAATATTATTAGGATGATTCTGGTTGTTGGATAATCGAAGGTGGCGGCGAGCAAAAGAGACTATACCGATCAACGTAAGAAAGAGCAAACAATTAGGCGGAGCCTCACGGTCGAGCGTCGAGATAAGTATCTTCCTGTCGACCCACGAGATCTCACGTGCTTCGTAAATCCTATAGATGTACGGCTATATAAAGAAGCGTTTAATGCGGCTACGCCGATAATGGGACCCATCTATCTACCTGTCCGCGTAATCTGGCAGTTGCATCTCTCTCTCTCTCTCTCTCTCTCTCTCTCTCTCTCTCTTCGTTTAGCGCGCGAGCTCGTTTCTACTCATCCTCTTTGGAATTGTCATCGTTTCGCTTTCTCTTCTCTCTGTTGATCTACAAAGAGGCACTCGAGAGAGAAAGAAAGAAAGAAAATATAATAGAAACGAATAGAATTTACGTTCAATCAAAAATACATATCCTTACAATAAAAAAAGGATAGAAAAATGTTCATATAATGAGTAGTGAGCTATATGGTAGAAATGAATGATGGAGAAGTCTGCTATTATATTAGATTACCCGTTGATAAAAAGATGATAAAAAGAAAAAAAAGCAGATAGAGTTAGGTGGCATGTCGCGAGTTTGGATCATATCGCGACTACTATGGGATAATGGACCAAACAGGATCTCAAAGATTAAACAAAGAGAGAGAGAGAGAGAGAGAGTGTATCGATAATAGCCAGTATCGATATCAAAAGATACGATCCTTTTTCTTGGAGAGACGATAAGACTTGGCCAATGTTTTCTCTTTCTCCCTACTTTACGAACGGATAAATCTCGCAAGTTATTCCCCTGCGGCTAAGGTTCGATCGACCGAGAGAAACTCGTAGAAACGAGGAAAGAATGGGGAAGTGCACTTGAAAGTACTTTAACGATAGAAAAAAAAAAAACAAAAAACAAAAGGAACGAACAAAAAAAGATTCACGGAGTTTACGAACAAGTTTATGAGTCAGCGTATGTATTATTTCATGGCAGATTGATTGAAATTTATCTCTAGAAGGATAAATCGAATAATTAATTCGTATCAATCTATTAGGCTATACTACTATATATCCGTGCACGTGCTCCGATGGGCAATCCCATGACGCGAATAATACGCGAATAATATACGAATACGATCGAGAGTTAGCTCGATTACAAGCTTAATGCTTTACGGTTAATCATTTCTAGTTGTCGGAAGACCGTCGAATATTTTCCACCTTGGCACGCGTATGTTAGCAGCGTATTAGGTGTCGACGACATATTAGGTATATCTCATATTCATTGACTCGTACATACTGATACAACTAATATCTGGTCGAATCGATAAAACGTGTTAGCTTGTTTAACCGACCGAACGAACAGGAAATAACGATTAGCTTCTACGACATCCAGTTAATCTTCCTACGCAAGACGACGACGACGACGACGACGACGACGACGACGACGATAAGCGCGCGTTGGTAGGTAATCCAATTAATTGATCACACATTTATGCCTAAGCTGATTATTAAACTAAACAAACTTTCGAACAAATAATTCACATTAATTCAAAGGATTTACTTACTTTCGACCGGCTTCGAGAAATCTATCAAACTCTACGGACATCTTGCAGCAAAGGGCTCGTCTGTTGTGAGAAGATGAACACTTTGTATCGATCATGTGGCCGTCTGAAATCAAACATTATAATGTATGATTAAAGTGAAACTCGTTTTATCGCGTGCAAAATAATCAATTAATTTATATATATTTTCAACTTAAAGTCATTACTGATCAAGAAAGTTACAAAAAAATGTATTACATTTTAAACGACCTTATATACAAGAAGAATGCATTAGATTATTAAAAGAATTGTTAATAACGGGTATACTATTTGTAACAAATACAAATTAAGATAAAAACGTCCTAATTTTAGTATTTTTTGCATTATATTATATTAATCATTATATAGAAAAATAATATTATATAATTATTATATATATATATACAATATCCAAAAGTAATACTTTAAAATGCGACAGATGGAATATTATTAATATATGTATTATATATTTATACTTATATAATGTTAATAACAGACAGATAAGAAGGAAATCGAAAGAAGTAATGAGGTAAACGGTTTGAAGAAAGACGATGCGCGTGCCGAGGTCAAATGTCGAACGATCCCCGAGGGCTCGCGTGCTTCTTCATTCCTCTCCGATCATCTTCGATCCAATCACGACCTACCTTCGATTCTAGCACATCATTATAATCAAATGAACGATCGATTTTGTCGAGTAGACGACAATAGCAATAACAACCCGAACAAAGTTTTCATATAAATTTAGAAAAATATGCAAATCAAAGTAAATGTAAAAATCTAAAATCGCGATTGTGTTCCAAAAATTGTCTATGTTTTCGTGTGGAAGAAGCCCGCGGCTCTCTTTTCTCTTCCTATATCTTTCATCTCTTGTGGTTTTCTTCCTCGTCATCTATAGTCGCGTATCTGGCCAGAGGCTGCACTTACAGAATGCACGCAATGCCGGAACACGTCGCAACACACATGCTGCCGCTTGCTCGTCCATATCGCTTTAGCAACATTTCTTTTCTTTTTCCCCCTCTTCTTGTTCTACCCTCCGGTGGAAGGAGGAGGGTAGAAAACCTTAGCATGGAGCCTGCATTCTTATTCGCACTTTCGAGCCTGCTCCCTCGCATACCGACGAATTTGCACGTACAAATTACCAAACGGCTATGTAGAGCGTGTATCCCGCCGACCGATCTTACGATAATGACTACGATAATGACTACGATAAAGACTACGTGGAAAATCAAAATAATACTCACTCGTTTGATTCTGAAAGTATGGATCTTCTCGATCGGTGAAAAACCAGGTCTGCAACAAAAGAAGGAAGGTGTTACTCTGGTTATTACTCTTCCCTTTAATCTTGTTTATTCTTTTTCTTGTTCGAGTTTGCATTCTTACGATTACTACGAGAGAAACGTAAGATGAGTGGTGTGTACACGTGTTAAAATGGACGCCTATTTTTAGTTCAAGTTCTGGTGGAGGGGCAAAGAAAGGGAAAGAGAAGCAGACGCTGACAAACACAGACAGTAAAAGACGGAAGAGTCTCTCTCTAGAGGTCTAGGACATCCGACCATTAACGTTGTTGAAGAAAAAGAAAGAGGAAAACGGGTCACGTCGAGCAGACATTTAACATTTTCTCGAGGACTTTCCTTCTTGGCGCCAATCGTGTCTAACTAATTCGTCCAAAAGTATACCCACCGAGCTACTGAAAAAGTAAAGAATCGAGAAAAAGTACTCGTTGTCGATCATCGCCCTTCTTTGTCAGGTTCAAGTAGCAGAGAGCCTTAAGTCAACGGTGTTACCTCGAATTTCACTCAAGCTCCTCGTATTTCCATCCAACTCCTGACTCTACGTACGACTCTACTCTAGACCATATTTATGCATGATCGCTTTTTTTCTATACCTTTTCTTACTCTTACAGCATAAATTGAATATCAACAAAATGATGATTTTGTTCATCTTACAATTGTGCAAATGTTTGATTTGAAAAATCGTTACGTTATGTTCTACGTTATGTTCTACGTTATGTTCTAGTTACACTCGAAAGAGACTACGATAGGGAAAATTTATCGTGTTATCAGACGTAATGAGAGGCACTTTTCTCGTTGAAGAGACGACAACGAATCTCGTATTACGTTCTCGCGTTACGCGCTAAACGAAGGCTAGCAAAGAACGATTCGAAGTAACCAAACTACTCTCAAAGTTCGTCTCATTAAGAGCATGAAAGACAATTAAACGCGTCCTTGGTAACCATTTAACTAAATTAAACTTCTTTTCTGTGCTATAAGCTGAACTAATTAGAATTAGTAGGTCTTTCAACGTAAAACTTACTCTCGTTGAATATTATTTTCGAAGAAAAATGCGAATAATTCGAAATATTCGAAAAATTTGATGATGGACAAAGAATAAGATTTAAAATACAAAAGGTAAGAAAAATACAATAGATCTCTAATATATTTCTACGCACCTTTGCAGGTGCAAAGAAAAGAAAGAGGTCGAAAAAGCGAATTTATTCCTCTTTTCTTTGTGGTCAACCTGCTACCTCTACAAGAGATACACCTCCAGACAAGCTACCTTTGAGCAAGCTACTGCACTTATGTTTTTCGACCGTAAATCTCTCGATGTTGGATACAAGAAGGGCTCGTCTGAGGGCTCGTCTCAGGGCTCGTCTCAGGGCTCGTCTCTCTAGGGTTAAGACTGTTCTAGGAAACAGCGTGTGTAGCGGTGGAAAGCAAAGAGAAGCGTTTACAATACGCGTAATTAGCCGTTCCAAGATAATAACTCGGCAAGTAAAAAGTTTGTTGCGTTGAACTACTAATGGCTCGCGTTTGCGCGATCTTCTTTATCCTTTCCCGTTTACCTTTCAGTCTATTATTAACGACAAGTAATACAAATAAATAGGCGATCTATCGCGAAAGCGACGAGGGAGCATTGAAAATATGTACGAGGCAAGAAGAGGAGGCAAAAGAAAACGGTAGTCGTGGGAAAATGAAATGTTTATAACGAGACGAGCGACAACTCCTCTCTTGTCCGCGAATACGCTCGAGTACGCTCGAGTAAACGCACAAAGTACCGTCTATTTCCCTGCCCTCGTCCTCTGCCAAATATATAATATTTGCGAGAACAGACAAATTTCCCTTTTCCCAGCAACAACTCCTTGCTACGAAAAAAAAAAACAAAAACAAAAACAAAAAAACAACAAACCTACCTGATCCTTGGCAAATTGAAACCATGTGTCGATGATTGCCGGCAAACGGGAACGATGATAGTGCTTGGTAGTTTTGACACTGAAAAACACGTCATCCAGATTTGTAGAGAAGGGTACGATCGTAGCCGTAGCGACTGGTAGGGTCATAGTCGATCCTCCTCCTCCTCCTCCTCCTTCCTCGATAACGATTCTCCTCGATACTTCGATCACCGCTTCGTTTTTACCATTAATCTCGGTGTTTAACACTTCGACCAGCTGTAAAGAGAAAATGATCAATTGGCAAGTTATCAGAAAGCATTCGATCTTTCGGAGTAGGTAAAGAAAACAATTGAAAATGGTCCCAACCTGAGTTTTCCTCTGAAAGAGGAGAATGGTGACATAGACGGTAGCAAGGATGAAAATCAAAGCTTGCAGGGTTCGTCTCGTTGGAACGGAACGAGCAATCCTCGTTGCATCAACGATATTATTTATACACGGGCTTTTCTGCATTTCGTACGAGGGTGAATAACAACAAACACCTTGCGAGGAACCACCGACAACATCGGCGGCGCCCTCGCCACCCTCCTCACCCTCCTCTTCCTCCTCTTCCTCCTGTTCCTCCTCCTCCTCCTCCTCCTTTTTACCACCCTTGCCCTCGCCCCCCTCCGTCCCCTCCTTCTTCTCCACCACCAACACCTCGACGATGCTACTCCTTCGTTGTCTGCTGGTTCGGTCGTTTCTCAACGACAAACACCAGCCTGCATCGCGCTCCTCCTTTCGTCCCGTCGACGAAAGCACGCAGGACATAACACACTTTGAAAAAAATCACCTCTCCTTCTCCCCGACTTCGTCTTCGTCTTCGTCTTCGTCTTCGTTTTCCTCGTGGTCTTGCAATTAGTCGTGAAAAGTCCCATTATCTTATCTTGTTGCCGCCATCTCCTCCTTCGCTGTTTCCAACGCACCACTAATAACTTAGATTTATTTATGTTTACGCCGCAATTCAAATTCACACTTTTCGATTCATATAACAACTAGTAAATATATGGTACATAAGCACATGGTGGTCTTCTTCTGTCTTATTTTTTTCTCCGTTAATATTTCATCACGATAAACACATTATAAGTTTATTATAGAAAGCTACTAAAAACGCTCGCGACTTTTTTTTATCTCTTATTTTATTTCTTATTTTATTTCTTATTTTATCAGAAATAATGAAATTTGAGAGACACGGTAAAATGTCACAAAGCAAAAACAAATGACGAAAAGATGCACGCGGACTAAAAGTCCCCGACTGACTGAAACACATGACGGTCGTCCCCATGGCTAAACCGTAAACATCCCCTTGCCGCCGTCGCCGCTACCACCGTCGCCGCCGAAGAGGGGGAAACTTTCCTACATTGGTAGGAGGGGCCGAGCGCGCGCTATTTTACGATGATTACAAATATCTGTCTTTACAATATATCGATTTTAACAAGTTTCAAAATATCATTTTTTTACTATTTTTTTTTACATTGTTTCATTTCCATCATTAGAACATTTGTTCAAGGATTTCGATTACAATTGATTAATTAATATAACATTTTACTTATATACACATATACGCAATATATAGAATACTATAGTCAACAGTGCTGCCATCACCCTGTCAAGTTTTGAACAAAATCGCAATAGTTTGGTAATCGCGATAACTTTGACAAAGTTGTCGGTAATGTCGTGCTCTGTTATCGGTAACTTTGACGGATTTAAAATACAGTGAAAATAATGAAAACATTAAGGTCGAAATAACAAAATTAAGATGAATAATTTAGTCTTATTCTTATTATAATAATTAATTATTAAGATAGTTATATTTACATTTGTACATGATCGAATTCGGTTGGTAATATAAAAAAAATTATATTGGACAATTATAAGTACTAGTCATGAATAGATATTCAAATTGAGTATGAATATACTTGATACCCCATAATCGATCCAAATTGCAAGAATAAGATTCATTCGGTTTCTTTTCTTGCTAGTCACAGTTAAATATTTCAATTTCGAATTGTTTGTAAAAAAAAAATTAAATAAACTATGTCACAAATAAATATCTGTCAATTACAAAATGAAATGGAAAAGATTTGCTTAAAAAGTTGGGAAAACTTGATCAATGAATAATTAATTTCATTTAAACATCAGTTTTCCCTATCTCACTCTTTTCTTTAATAAGAAATATTTTCTTTGCCACTTCATTGATTCTTCTTTCGACAAAATATTCACGTGGCTCTCCGACGTAGCAATACTATACTGTTATATAGCTTTATTGCCGGTCCTAAGAGTAAACCTAACAACGATACCAAATCTTCTTGCGTCAGCATTAAAAATGCTTCTCCATCGATATTCTAAAAAAAGAAAAAAGAACAACAATTAATACGTATAACAATAATAAATAACAATTAAACGAATTTGAAGTGTCATTTGTAAGATACTTTAGAAAATGTATAAAATATACTTACATGTTTTCTAAAAATATTAGCAATTTCTTTACAATTTGGGACACTTTGAATAAACTTAATAACTTCTTCATTCGACCAGCGTCGAGGATTTGTATTCTGTTGAGAAACTACTCTGTTTAAGACGGTACTATGTTTTGCCCATATGTGCGGTGCGTCTGGTAGAGGATGATAACCAGGATCGTAGACCGATTGGTATAATTCTGTACGTAATTGTTTATCTGGCATAACAGCACCAAATTGTGTGGTATTTAATACCGTATCACCGTATGTAGAATTTGAAAGAGTATATATAGAATCATCAGAAATTTGTCGTCTACAAAAGATAGAATAAGATTATTAATAATTTGCATTAAACGATTATACATTAACTTAGACTTTAATGGATTTTGAAGAAGAAAATATAACGACGAACCTTTTTTTACGTTTCCTCGAAACTTCCTCATCGTCGGATTGTCCATCGCTGTGAAGAGTTTTCGACTTGCTTGATCTAAAAAAAAAAAAAGAAAAGTATAAGTAAAAAATTTTAAAATTAAAGTAAAAATTAAATATTCATGTAAACAAACGAAATATTTACCTTTCAGATTTTTCCGAATTTTCAGACTTGTCATTTTTATCGGAATCTCCATCCTCTTGTTTCACATCTTTTTCAGTCTTTAAGAGTCGTTCTTCAGAGAAAGAAAGTTTCTCCATTTTGTCTATTTTGTCTATTTTTTCTATTTTCTCAGGCTTCTCGAGCTTTTCGAGCTTTTCCAATTTTTCCAACTTTTCAGTTTTTTCCAACTTTTCAAGCTTTTCAAGCTTTTCAAGCTTTTCAATCTTCTCAGGCTTTTCTATTTTCACTTTTTCAATTTTATCGACTCTTGCTACTCTTTCCTGCGGCGACTCTTCATCGACGTCGCAACTGATTTCATTTTTTGTGATTAATCTATCTGATAAGGTCTTATTTTTGTTTAAATTTTGAGGTGAATAAGGACAGCCAGATGGTGAATTGTGTGTAGCAAATTTAGGACCCTTTACGTGTCCTATACCACGACATCCATACGTACCACATTCTGATTTATCATTCGGATTATCTGGTGCTGTTGAACAAAACAAAATTAGTATATAATCTTTACGTTGTGCTACAATGTTTATAGTAAACATAAAAATCATATATATATATAGATCTTACTTAATGGTGCTTCCAATGGATGTCCAGTTTTTAAACACCATCCCATCGGATGTATGTCTGGGGAATCATCGTCGACCCAATAAGCATGATTCTCTGGCCAACCATCAAAACGTATTTTCAACCTAGGAAGATAAGTTAAAGATTTAATTAAACGCTATCTCAAATGTTTAATTATTTCATTATAATAAAACAGACATGGAATACTAACATATGATCTTTCACATCTTCGACAGTGGCTACTCTAATAAGTTGTGGAACTCTTATATCAACTGCTTCTAATTTCATACCACGTTTAAATCCACAAGGTGGTCGTTGTTTGAAAGCTCTCGCCGGTGCTGCCATAGAACGAGTTTCTTTTAGATAAGTGTCCCATGTAAAGTTCTTGGGTTCTTTATAATCTACAAAATATCAATTGTTTATTACTATACATTGATGCAGACAAACGTGATATAAAAATAAGTATTATTTGGTATAGATATTTACTGTTGGGAGGAGTAAGACTGTGTCCATTATGATGACACCATCCCACGGGATGAATGTAAGGTGAACTTGCATCTGCCCAATAATCATATACCTCGTCCCAAGAATCAAAGTGAACTAATATCCGAGAATCCATTAAACCTGCTATACTTGCTACACAAACTAAAGATGAGTGTTTACGATCGACTGCTTCTAGTTTCATACCCAAACGAAATCCAGTTGGAAAAACGGACTAAAATAGTTAATATAAAGAAATATTATTTAATTTATTCCACATTAATAATAAAATTAATGAAACAAACGTGCATACATAAGTACGTATACTTACATTTTTATTGGAAAATATATTTTTTGGAGCTGCAGTAGCTTTACAAATTTTCAGATAGGCATTCCAGTTGAAATTAGAAGATACATAACCTTTTGGTGGATCAAGACGATGTCCATTTTTTTCTGACCAACCAATTGGAAAAATATCCATGCTATCCGCGTTAGCCCAAAAATCATAATTTTCTGGGTAACCATCAAAATGTAAACGTATTCTATATCCTGAAAAAATCATTGAAAATAGGTTGAATCACTCGCGATACTATTATTTATTAATTCAATTATAATTGTCTTAATTACTTACCTACTACTTCGACTACTGTAAGAACGCAATAACGAGATGGACGTTCAGGATCTATTCCCTCTAATTTCATTCCGGGTTTGAAGTTATTTTTTCCATATGGAAATGCATCTTTAAATAATTTCACTGGCGCAGATTTGGCTTTATAATGCTCAAGATACTTAGGCCAAGAAAAACCGAGTTTCCCAGTTTGCCATGGATACTGTATGAACAATAATAAAATCGTTTCAATTGATACTTAGCAAAGAAATGATTTCAAAGTTAAAAAAAAAAAAAGAAATGAATTTTAAGTTTTATTTTGTACCTTAGATTCTGAAAAATCTCCTTGGCATTCGTCATCCATCGCGCCAATGGTATCTTTTGTATCTTCGTCTGTTTCAGATTTAATCTTCTCCTGCAATTTTTCTTCCATTTCTTTAGCTTGCTGTTGTTCTTGTAACAATCTTTTTCGTTTACGTTTTACACGCAAATCTCTGTAAAAAAAAAAAAAAAAAAAACAAATGAAAAGACAAAGAATTAATAACAATGTGATTTAATAAATCGTTCAAATGATAAAATTACCAATATAAATTGTAATAATACATACTTAAGGTCTTTTTCTTTTCGCATTGAAGGTTGTTTCTTAGATTCTATTAGATCTGTACATGTTGGACTGCAAGATATTGGACTCTCAAATTCTGCAGCTAGGCCATAACAACCACAACCCTCGCAATGATAGACTGTATCAGCAGATAAAGTCCTAGTTTTCCGATCTTCCGCTGTTCAACAATTTTTTCGATTAGTAAACTATATCTTCGAGTAATAAAATTACTTTGACTTACCTTTTTTCTCACTAATGGCATTATTGGTTATAACAGGACTGGATTTTGAAGAATTTTGCATTAAACATACATTTTCCTTATCACCAATATTGCCATCTTTAGTCTGCTTAATTGTTTCACCATCTTCGACAACTTCAATTATCCCCAATTCATTCATACAAAACTGAGGAAACAATGAATACAATTAATAACATAATATTGAAAAAATGATGACAATTGAGTTATATAAGAAATGACTGTATAGAATAGAAATATTGTATTTATAAAAATTACCTTCAATGTACTTCCTGGCAAAGTTCCTACACCATCTTTCCAATCTAATACTTTAGTAGCGTCGAAATTGGAATCGTTTTGCTGAGAGACATTAAACAGCTCTTTCATATCATCATGATTCATTTTCATTTCATTTTTATTTTCCAACACGGGTTCGACTGTACAACTTGTAGGAGTTTTAATTATTTCTATTTTGATATCGTCGTCTATACTCGTCGTATTTAACTTCATTGATTTTTCTTCACTAGGAATGACTTTAATCAAAGTAATATCATCATCGTTCTGTACTTTTTTATCTTTATCTTGTTCTGATTCAGGACTACTAAGCGCATAAGTCACATCAGCCATGGTTTCTTGCGACGATTTATATTTTTTCAATCGCTTTTCATTAGAAGCTCTTAAAATATTACTTATAGTCTTTCTCTTTTTTTCTGGAATAATAGTATCGTCCTTTTTAGGAATAGGCGTAATAACTGCTGAATCTGGATTTTCTGTAATTTTGATACTATCTGTAGAATTGTTATTTCCTTTATTCGCGTTTAATAAGCTCATTTTTGCAATTGGATGTAACGGTGGTGGATGCGTTGCAGAATTGGTAGTTTTTGATTCTCGTAATACTAAAATATTAAATGAAATTGAAATCATGTATAATATTTTTCTAAATATCATATTAAATATAGGATCAAAATATAATGTTACCTGTAATCGTTCCCTTGCTATCGGTACTGATTTGACCATTATTGATCTTCAAATTAAACATACTGGATTTGGCAGAACCACTTTGTTGGGGAATGCTTACTGGTAATAGCAGATTTGTCATATGTTTAGATGGTTGGCTTTGCGAACAAGCAGTCGTGCTTGTTGATGTCTGCGCCAATTGTGATATAACTGGGGCAATAACTAACTTAGGTTTAGTTATTTGAGTAGTCGTTAAAGCTCCTATATTTTAAGAAAGTTCAAATTACATAAAATCAGTTCTTACACCCACGCACACGCGCACGCACACGCGCACGCACACGCACACGCACACGCACAAGCATTCAAATAAATAAGTATAATATAAAACTTAAAACTATATTAAATAAATAATCACCTGCTGGGATCACGACAGATTCGCGTGATTTATTTGGTTTGATAAGAGTCCCAAGATATGCAAATGTATGTTTTCCTGACTGCGAATTCGTCTGATTTCCCTGAGAAGTATTTAGGGGTACGATCTGCGCAGTAGATGTATTAGATTTTCTAAGCAATATATGTTTTTGTCCTTGTGCAGTGTTTGTAGTATTGACTGTATTAACAGGACGATGAATTACAATATGTTGCTTGTTTTGCGAAGTAGTAACTTGACCTGGACTCTGTATAAATACTTTATTTTGTCCACTAACAATCTGAAATATATTTAAAACTGTATGTTAAAAATACGTTCACCTAGAATTATTGGAATATAAACACAGATTTACACAAAATGATAGAAATTATGTAATTACGGTATTAATTATGTCTTACGAAAATTATAACTCCGTATATATGCAATCTTGCTTATTAATATTTTCAATATGTATTTCTTGTAATTATTTGATTTATTACAAAAAAAAAAAACATGATATAATCAAAATGTGTATATAAATATATAAGTAATTGTATGTGTAAAGAAATGAAATGTAGAACGCTTAATGCATAAATCTACTTATATAATATATCAATTACAAAAATAATGAATAATTTTGAATATTGAAAGCAAACGATGCATCTATAATAATACGTAATAAATTACCTGATTATTAACGGGATTAATGATGGCAGCCAGCTGAGTAGCAGTAGAAGAAACAAGCGTTTGATTTGCAGCTGCAGTCTGACCAGAACGCATTTTGCCCTGTTGAATATATAATACTGGCATAACTGATGTGGAAGAATCGTCCAATTGTTGGGACTCAGTTATACTATTATCATCACAGTCGTCAACTACTATTTCTTCTTCCATTCTATAATAATGGAAAATTAACAAAATGTTACAAACAGATAAATGTTTGTCAGATAAAAAAAAAAAATTGTGATTTTTGTTGATGTATATTAAAATTGTACAATCTGTTATAACATGTAAATTGTATTAATCACCTTAAATATTCGACTTGACTTTTAACCATTTTTGATAATGAGCAAATGATATTCAAACGAGGAACTGAATTGTCAATAAAAGTTTACAGTTAATAACACCCACTGATTTATCAATCTGTACAACATATCTGTAATCGGTTTTATTCGTCCAGTAATTACTTCAAGACAACTTTTTCAAGCACGAAAGAGTTAAATGAAAACAGGAAAATAACTGTAGAAATGATATTAATTGATTAAAAAATAAAATAACAATGAAAATATGAGTTAATTAACAAACGTATGATAGTGATGTATCACAATGTGACATACCTAATTATAATTATTGTTCCTATAAGAAAATTCGATTTTTTTTCAGTTACATAATTCCAATTAATTGTGATAAAATTGCATATGTAGTAAGTTTGATGTTGTGAAGAAGTAAGTACCGTTGTAACAGCTCCGTACACTTCATTCACAAAATTTTCTATTCAACAATATGTATGAACTGGGCGTCGGATCTATCGGTAAAAGAATTTGAAATACGCGCCCAATTATTAATGACGAGGAGAGTATAGTTACGTTTCTTTTACACTTTGAAATATCGGAAATATAATAGAAATCTATTAGTTTCTGGTGATACTTATAAATCGTGATTAATGTACTATCATAATTATTGTGTCAAGTGTATCTCTTCATTTAAATACTCAATGAAATCTTTGGACACGCTTGAAGAGCAATTTAACAATTCAATTCGCACGGATTCTATATCGTCCTAAACACAACGCACAATTTTCATTCCTGCAAAAGAGGAACACTAGCTAACAAAAGATATATATCTCTTTCTCACTAAAGCCTGATCTTTCCAAAAGTATTGCATTTGTAGATAACTAGCAACAAACTTATCGCGTACACCATTATTTTAAACTAAAATCCGTACTACCTTCAAAGGTTTTATACCATTCAAGCTTCGGTCTCTCTAAACTACTGCTACTTTCCCATAGGTTCGAACGACACTATCAATGGCGCTGCAGTCTAACGGTACCTAACCTTACGAACGCCAAATACCACGTGATGTTCCAAGAGTAACAGCCAATCAAAGAACTTTGGTCAACTCCTTCTCCTCCTAACTAACTTCACACATATTTATTGCAAGCAAAAGGACAATTTCAAGCCAAGTTCTAAATCATTTGATTATCGATGATCGACGATCGACAACGAATTGTATCTCTCAATACAATATATATCTATGTTAGTTATTTAACAATTATCTTAGACTTTCCATAATAAAACCGATTAAAAAATAGGACTTTTTCAAATATATATGTACCTATGTCTCATTCCATTAATTCAACTTGTTCCTTTATTCGCATTCGTAAATCTATCATCAATCCTATTCGCTCTCTTTCGATACATTATTATTCGTTATTATACTTTTATTCTTTTATTTATCCTAATATCAATAACTATATATTAATAAACAATAATTAAAAGACAATACATCTAATGAAAATCAAATGCAAAGTATTGACTTTAATCTAATCAATTGTTCATTAGACTTTATTCAAGATAATAAATGGAATAATAAATAAGATTAATATATGATTAAGCTATGTAAAGTCCGACTTATTGTAAATGTAAGATTTCTTATCGCGGTTTAATTGGTTGACCATAGGTCTACGTTTATCAAAATAAATTTGACTTTATTCAAGTAGTCGTACTTTTAAGAAGCTTTTCCGTCAATGTACAGTAAATTCTAAAGATCAATATTATACTTGGAAAGATATAATCACTCTACAAATAAATTCTATTGTATATAGATAAACGAAATCTAACTTGTTAAAATAATTTATAAGTATAAATGTCAACTTATTTTACGCGCGACAAACTTTGCTTTAATAACCTCTAAAGTGTGCGTTCGCCATTAGTAATAAAAATGCATCTATCGATTACTAGGTACCGCTGTAACCTGTATCGATAGTTGGAAATATCGCATACACGTGACTATAATATTATCCCATTTTAATGATTTCTCATAAAAAATATTATGCATTAGATGGCATACGACGATCTAGTGACTTTTGAAAAGGAAAAAATTCAACTAACATGTTAAATAAAGTAGTAAGAAAAGTATCAAAACTAAATTATGGAATGTTACAATTCTACATAATATATATATAGAATATATACAGGTATACGCACACACATACATGTGTTCACAAATTGCATATGCATTTTAACACGGGACCATGCAAGTATGCAAGTTATATATATACATAGGTATATATACATATATATATATAAAAAAAATGAATTCTATAATCAAGTTATATCGTTAAAAATGTTACGATTCATGAAAACAAAAGACATTCATATTTTCACCCGACTTTTTTCTCGAAAGAAAATTTCTTTAAGGCTATGTTTTTTTGTCTTTTTCTCTTTCTTTTTATAAATTTATATACATATAAAATATATAAACAAGTTGTAAATAAATTAAAATGAAATGTTGGAGTAGTCATAAAGGAATAATCGATCGTAATAATTGCAATGTTGTAAACTCATGGTTACGATCGTACATGCATGAACGCTGTTAAAAACAAAAAATAGATGCAAACACAAAGTACTATCGTTAAAGATGCAGTAGGAGGTAAAAAAAAGAAAGAGTGATTAAAACAAACATGCAAGCTTTCTCTTTTCTCTCGTTATGCGATATTTTAATGAATATTTTTACTTTTCAAAGCTCAATCTGCAAAGTTACACTAAGCTTCATATACGCATGTACTATACACATATACTTACGAGAGTAAACGAATGTTGACCTAACGAATCCAGTCGAAAATTTAACGTTGTATTTACCAATGCTCACGTTTCGCTCAATTTCAATAAACTCTATGAAATACTCAATATCTCATAATAGTAGAGCAATATTTTACACTATAACGACGCATTAATGACTGAAGAAAATGTATGATTATAAACTCACGTTTTAAAGTCTGTCGCCATCATCTGTGAGGAGGAACGATATTAGTTACAATGCGCATGCGCGCCAACCCATGTTGCTCTACGAAGGTTCGTTCACATTTGTGCGAGTTACCATCCACAGAGATGTAAAACAATAAGACCACAAGCTGTATTTTACTTTTCTTCAAATATTTCTCAAATATTAAATGTTACTCCAGTAAAATATGCTGATCTAGATGCTTTTTGTTCTAGGTACTTTCATCCTTTGTCCACTTTTTATAACATTATCGATTGCTATCCAAGATCATGAATTCATATACATCATTCAGAAAAATAAGAAAAAGCAAATAACAAAACTGAAATTAGGAACAAAGTCAAATGTATTATTTGCAATGAATATTTACTAAGATATTATATCGATTTTTCTTTTTTCTTATTCTAATATGTGCATGAGTTAAGAAAAGTAAATAGAAATTTTGATCGATATTTATCTATATCAATAAGATTTCAATTAAAATCGTGTACACAGCTAATTAAAATAAAGACTAATAGTATCTTATTTAACAAAAATACCCAATACACATACATACGCATTATTAAATAGATATATTTCTCTCTCTCTCTCTCTCTCTCTCTATATATATATATATATATCTATATATGTGCAAGTATATAAATATCGACCTTCAAATGCGTGCGCTTTTCAAATTTATCGAGCGCCACCAACGCATCATTTATGCACTATATATAACCAAATTAAAGCATAGAAAAAATCAACTAATTTCAAAGATACTACTTATGCAGGAGAAAAAAAAGTAAATAAATTATAACAGCGTTGAAAAGTTGAAATAATATTCAATTAGTATATGCATTCATATATATTCAAATTGATTCGTTTATTGTTCTTTCAACGTTACTAATAACTTTCTCTCTTTATAGTGTCATCTAGTATGGTTGACGCCTGCGCTTAACAATATTACATGCTTATAATAGGCCGATTAACATAAATGCAATTATTAAATTATAAGAGATTTTTGAACAATTAACTAGAAATGCAAATTGTCCGAAACGAATATCAAAATTGAAAAGTATCTTTTTTGGATTGTCTTGCATTGTTTTTTAATGTAAAGGTGAGAAATTATTAAAAAGAAAAAAAGACATTAATTTGAGGGAAGAATATTTGACGGATCGTCATTTGATTTCTCTCTCTCTCTCTCTCTCTCTACCTCGGTTTTCTCCCTCTCTCTCACTGGGAAGATAGAGAGCGCGCATTGGCGTAACTAGTATTTATTTTATTCCATCAGCTGATTCACGTTGTTCGCACTCATGCACCTTCCGCTTGTCAAAACAGCATAAAAGTGTGCGTTAGTATACACCAATGCATCAGTATAGCGCGTCTTGTTGTATAATACAGCACGAAGTATATTTGTTATAATATGTTAACGTTTAGATTTACACGACAGTCTAAGTTTTGATTTTTTCCTAAGTGACAGCTTCGACTCCATTATTCTCTCGTCATTGGATTGTATTCTCACTTTGGCAGAGGTAAGCTTCAACGAAATAACGTTAGATGTACGTTAATTATTAACATCGTAGATTCCTTTTTTTTCATGATATTCCTTTCAAAAGCAGTATTTTTAACTTTCCATTTAAAAAATAGATACATCTATTTTTGTTTTCTTTTTCGTTAAATCATAAAAGTATATGTATATGTCGAACACAACACAACAAACAAGTCCAAGATACATATTCCTGTTATCGTATAATTATCATTACGTCGATCGATAAAAAGAGAATAAATTTAGAACTCTATTAGTTTTTTTTTTGAACTCTATTAACTGCGAACCACATTGTTGTGGCATTTGATATTACATTTAATATTTTTTACTAAGCAACGCTTACAGACAACGCTTCATATTTATCGGTATAGTATATTTCATTTGTAAGGTTATTTTTAAAGATAACTTCTTAACGCATACATATGTGGTATCATGCTACATATAGAATAAATATATGTAATAGATAATATATGGACGTTTATATTATTTTCTTGTACTTTGGAAAGTCGTATTTTGATTATTGCTACAGTTGTACATTATTTTATATCATTTGATTAAGTCAGTAAACGATCATAACTTGAGAGCAGTTTTCTATTTTAAATTTGATTACATTTATCGCTTTATGTGAAAATATATATATATATATTATAACTTGTTACAGGGTATATAACATAATAATTTGATGATTAATTGTTAACATAATCTTTGTTAAACAGAAGAACAAATCTTGTCTTATCAAGATGGGAAGTGCCGTTAGTAGTGGACAAAACAATGATGAATTGGTAGATAATTTAATGACATCTGGTTATATAAGAACAAAGAAAGTTGAGCAGGTATTCAGAGCTGTTGATCGTGCTGATTACTTCCTATCTTTGTATCGAGAAAGTGCGTACAAGGATCTTGCTTGGAAGCATGGCAACATCCATTTGTCAGCACCATGCGTCTACAGTTTGGTAATAGAAGGTCTTTCATTAGAGCCCGGATTGAGTTTTCTGAATCTTGGATCAGGAACTGGATATCTTAGTACAATGGCAGGACTAATACTAAGTAAGAAAATAATGATATCACATCGACTAATTGTCATTGAACTTGTTACATTGTTTTATCTTTCTTAGGTCAACATGGGACAAATCATGGTATAGAATTACACGAGGATTGTCTAAAATATGCGTATGAACGTTTAGAAGAATTTAAACAAAAATCTTTAGCTTTAGATGAGTTTGATTTCTGCGAGCCATCATTTGTACAAGGTAGTATAATATAATAGTATATAATGATTAGAATAACGTCAATGAAATCTATTGTCTAAGACTATTTTTGATTTAATAGGAAACTGTTTAAGCATTGTACCTGGCAGACAATACGATAGAGTGTATTGCGGTGCAGCTTGTCCAGAAAGTCATGAGGCACTTATCAAACAGTATGTTAAAATTGGAGGAATTTTAGTGATGCCTTTCAAAGAGCATTTACTTAGAATTCAAAGAGTCGACGAAAATGCTTGGACACATCATACGATGCTTCCTGTATCTTTTGCGCCATTGATCATTCCTACGTCCGAGGAACAAAATTTATTTCATTTGCGTAAGTAAACAAAAGTTAAACGTTTGTGTCTCTAATAGATTGATATAAAAAATGAATAATATATAAAATTAATATTTTATAGCGGAATGTTATCCATTATCTTTACAAGAATTATGTCGTAATAGAATTAGACATAGATTGAGAGAAAATGTCTGGCAACAACATACAGAATTGGAAACCAGAAAACCTATACTGCTAAGACAAAGATCCAGTTTACCTGCCCGTGCCTCGAAACGTTTTGTAATACCTATTTTTGAAGAATCAGATGAAGCGGTTTTCGATGAAGATGCAGAATTTGCAGGGAGAGCTCGTTTATTGCTCAACGTAGATACTCATCCTGGAGAAGCCATTACAACGACCTTACAGTTATTAAGAGCTGTCATACAACCGCACCTAGGTGAAAATAGACAACAGAATCATTGGCAGGAATCGAATGATGAAGATAGTGACGGACAATATATCGTCGCGTCCGTTGATTTGCATCACGATAATAACGAAGAAAGAAAAGAGACCGAAAGCGAAGCGTTACTCGACGAAGCTGGAAGAGCCAATACTAGCGAGAATAATGTCAATTCAAGTTACGACCAATCTCAAGATCAAATGCAAAAGCAATCCAGTCAAATTCTAGAACAGCACTCATCTTTATCAGAGGCGTATATAAATATGAGCGAAAGTGATAGCGACAGCGACAGCGAAGCCGAACAAGAGACATCTTTTACTCAGCGTAAAAAAATAGCGAAACGTGAAAAATCCGATAGCGGTATAATAGAAGATGCTAATCTGACTACTGACGATGGTAGTTCTAGTTCAAATACAAGTCAAACAGATTCGAAGAATACCGACGATTTCAATTCCATGGAAGTTGATTTGTCCGATATCACGGTCAATAAGTCTGCAAAGAATATGTATAAATCTTATCCCGATCCTGCGGAAAGCATTCCAAACGAGAATGTAACATTTGGACATTACGTTGATGGCAATGCTTTTTCGACATATATGAAAGAAAAGATACATCAGTTACCATTGCCTTTCTCATTAAAATTGTACATAAATTATAATCGGCATCTATAATGTACACATAGAGTAGCAATTAGACTTAATCATTATTCTTTAATTTAAATATTCTAATAAATACATAATTCTCTTCTTATATTATACAGTACTTCATTGTCATTTATAGCTGCTCTCCAGCTACAGTTGACCTTCGTACGTTACTACATTAATTTTGAAAAAGATAGGCCTACGAAGTGTTACAAGTGATATTTGGCGGCCAAAATGTTCTTTCATGTAAATCATTTCATTTGAAAAATTATTTTATTAAATTCTTTTTTGTTTTAAACGAAAGAAGAGAACAAGTTGTTAGATATAAATCTTGTAAGGTAAATTACTCTTTAGATTTCTATATCATTGTGAATTGTGTCAACGATACTCTATATTTTTCATGATTAATATCATAGAAATGAAAAAGGTGAGAAAACAGCGAATAATGAGAAATTGCACTGTCGTTGATACTGTCTTATTGACCGAATATACATATTTCAAGTGGCAAAAATGACTGCCTTATCGTATGAGCGTGTATGCGTCTATTTATCTGTATGTACATATCTGTATCAAATTACTAAACTTGGTCTCTCTGCGAGATTCTTTAACAACAACAACAAAAAAAGAAAAAAAAAAAAAAAAGATAAGTCGTATATAAATTTTCAAAGGGTTGTGACAAACGTTGAATCGAAAAATGCATATATAAGGACTTTTTTTATTGACGCAGATTAAACGAGTAATATCGAAAAACACACGCTACTTAGGATAAAAAAAAAAAAAAAATACACGGAAATGTACAAAATGCAAAAAATATAACGGGCGAATAATTTGCATATACATATTTATCGAACTTCCCGATGATAAAGTTTAGCTGACAATGAGTATTGAAATTGAAATAGTATCCATTAATTAATTTACGCAATTTCATATGATAATAAAACGTTTACGATCGATGATCAAGATAATTAGGTTTTTAGTTTGAAGACTATCATAGAGTTTCTAATTAAAAAAAAATAAATACTATTTAGTAATAACTCGTTTTCTTTTATTTACCTCTACTATTTACCTATTAGATTTTAAAGATTGATGATTGTCTATTTGTGGTATTATTTTTGATATTAGCAATTAGTTAATTAAAAAAAAGATATAATTTAGATCGAATGATACGTTTGGAAAATGTCAAGTAGCATAGATATCTGTAGATTGATAATATGACTCGAATCGGAATGCTCGCGTCGAAATATATGCGAGTGGCGAGGGTAGAAAGGGGGATGCTTGGTCGGGAGATCGAAGGAGAGAGCAGGCGCACGGAAAGCTCAGAGATACGGAAGGGACTAACGCCCAGCTACCCGGTAAATTGTGTCTTCTTGTTCGTGGCTCGCATCAAACGCACCCCCGACCTCTAAATCCATTTTAAGCTTGATCATTATCACTGAATTTTTCGATACACCATAGAGATAACGTTCATTTACCTTACCTACGAAACCAATTATATTCCTACGCTTCTTTCATGTTCATTTACGTGGGATTTTCTGAAAGAGGACAAAATCAAAAATTATTGTCGTTAGCTCGCATCTTTCGTTTAAGTGCACAACGAAGTGGATAATGAAATAACGACAAATTACGAACTACATTCGGATTTGAAAGTGTAGACTCGAAAAAATGATTTACGACTAATAAAGTGCATCAAGCAATATTTAGATTATAATTTTGAAATATCTTGTCTGGTATTTCAAAAGAGCCAAGCAAAATTTGATTGAAAAAAAATATCAACAATGAGGTTGATCAAAAAAATGAAGTACCATCTCATCCTTTTCTTTCATCTCTGTTTATTGACTATAATCGAAGTGTCAACCGAAAACGCGGATTGCAATTATCATCTGACCGCTCCAAAAGGTGTTATCAAAACACCAAACTTTCCTAAAGCTTTTCCAGTACCCATAATGTGTAGATGGGTGATCGATGTTTCTGACATACCTTCGACGAATAGTTCGATAGTCGTCTATATGACGCAGCTTTACGTTTACAAAGGTCTCAAATTGACCGAGTACGCGTATTACGAGTCAGAGACGACAAATTATGGCGCGAGTTTGATCAAAGAAATAACGGAGGGTAACGTTTTCGAATATCGCTGGTTCAGAACTTTTCGCCCATTTCTCGTCTTAGAATTTGAACTTGATCGACTTGAAGGAAATCATGTACGTGTCTTGGACGATCTTTTGGACGTATATGGTTTTAACGTCACATATCAAATGACAGAAGAAGAACCAAATTCAAATGCTTGTTCCGTTAGCGAATGTTCTTTTACAGGAAATTGTCTTTTATCTGCAGATTATACGTATGTTCATTTATCCTCTAATGAACATTTTTCCTTTAGACATTTTCATTGTTATTGATTCTTTAAATACAGGACTTTTTCCTGCGAGTGTTTTCCTCGTTTTTACGGAGATAAATGTAACGAAGGACCACTTTGTTTTGACGATCAACAAAACTCTATTTGTCTAAATGGTGGCACCTGCAAGTATGAACAAAAATATCTGTATATTTATATATAAAAATGAAAATATAACTTTGCATATATCAAAGAACTTTTACATACCTTTTAGACATCTCGGAGCAAAAGCAGTACACTGTGATTGCCTTCCTGGCTACGTTGGACAAAATTGTGAAATTCAACTATTGGAAACTATGAATACTGGTAAGATAATTTTAAATATGTTTCCAATGGATACATCTAAATTTGGTACAATGATTTATTTATAGAATGCGGAGGAGAAAGTTGCATATTGCAATGCCCTTATTACAAGGAGGAGCAACGACCGTGTGCTTGTACAAATGGCAAAAGGATATATAACAGTAAATATCGATAAATTCATATTTCTTTTTTTTTCAGTAAGATATGACAGAAATATTAAAAATAACTGTACACGTTCTCTTGTTACATATATTTTCAGATCGGTCGAGATACGAGTGCAGAATAAAATTATCAAAAACTACTCCACTTCGTTCAACATCGATAGCTCAGCAGGGAAATTTAGAGTCTTATCTTACAAAACCGGTAAGTTTGTAATTGAGCATACTTTTACACATTTACAAGCGAACTAGTTAATGAATTGCCATACGCAAACATCGCTATATCCATTATTTTCCTTCCGCGTATTTTCCGGCAATTCATATTGACGTAATAGTTTAAGATATTTCTTCAATTTATCTGTAAGCCCATGCCTCCCAGGATCACCAAGAAATATTCGTGTTCCTTTCTTGGCTGCATCAAGTAGCCAAGGTATTAAAATCTCGGTTAATTCTTCTTCGTAAAGTAAATCTCCGATAAAAATAACATCGTAGCATTTTTCGAGTGGTCTATCCAATAAATTATCCCACGATACTTGAACGTCCACGCCATTTAATGTAGCATTCATGAGCGTGGCTATGCAGGCAACTACAAAAAATCAAAGAAAAATCAATTGGTGCATTCATTCACGTGCAACATATTTTTTGTTTTATTCATCTCTCGTTTATTGCTTTTACAATACTCTTTCTCTCTCTCTATATATATATATATATTATATATAAATTGACGCAATTTACGTTACTTACTACGTAAATAAAATCGAGACTATAAGAGAGAAAAAATGTTGTTATTTCAAGTTTGGTATGCAAGAAGGTAGTACCGAGAATGGACCACCTGACTTTCACTGACGCACGAGACTTTGTCTTCTAGCTTCACGTGTATACAGTCATATATATATATATATATATATATATATAGCTGGGGGAAGCCCAACAATATTGAGCTGCGCAACCGTTCGATCTAAGAGAATCTTTTCAATGTAGGTTCAATCTACAAAAATCATTCTTATGTAACAGGATTTCTATTTAAAAAAAAAAAAAAATTTAGAAAGAAAAGGAGAAAAAAAGTTAATGAAATTCCAAAAAATTGTGCAATACGTAACTCGGTTAAATACAACTTGTGCTAGATTTCATTCCATCTTTTTATAGACATGGTTACGAAGAAAATACAAGACTCTTATCGTTTGTAAAGAAGATACATATACATATATATATATATATATAACTGCATTGATAGTGAATCATTCTTTGAGGAATTCATTTTTATCTGTGTTTATGCTTGACCGGAAACGTCAACTTGACAATAAATAGAATCATTCATCTTTCTACGTATATACGATTATCAAAAACATGCAATAGATATACAACCTAATGCATTTACCAAAGAAACTTTCTTTCGCTGACGTTGATCAGATATTTAACAGGTATTTCCATCAAAGAACTACCTAGAAACTGCTCATAATTAAAATATTTTATACTTAATTATAAATATGCTACGCAAAAATAGTCTCAAATTAATTGAGAACATTTCTCGGATAATTCCTCAAAGTTTTCCCAATTTTTCTCTAAACATATTAAAAACATCATTTGACGAACCTTTATCGATGTCATTTGCCATAACATTACGAATTCCAAGTAGTTTAGCTGCTATAGCTGTAGCCCCGCAACCAGTTCCGAGATCCAATACGTTCATATCCTTCTTAGAATGCATAAATATATTTGTTTGTTTCTCGAATATGAACTTAACTAGGCCTTGACCACCCGGCCAGTATATGGACCAAAATGGATTGGTCAAAGTTTGTATTTCCACTTGGTCGAGTTTTTGTTTAATTTTATCAAACGAATCATAATATAAAGAACATCTAGGTGTTAAAAGAAAAAGCTTTAAATCAGGGGTCATGTGATCGTTAGTGATCTCCGTATACTTTAAAATGGTGTCTACAATTTTGGCTCGTTCAATGATATCTCGATCAACAATTTGCCAATTTCTATTTCTAATTGTTTCGATAAGATTTCCTGGTACATTTGTCGATATTGGTCGTTTAATCAAAGCGCGCAAAGCGTGCAAAGTCTTAACACCTCCTTTCATATCTCGAATTCTGAAAAATGCATTTCTTTTTAGTAAGAATAATTGTTTACAAAATCCCTGGTTTTGTAATCGAACGTAACGAAACGGAATGCCATTGACCGCCTTTTTTTACGCTTCGTCATCCCGTCTGGTAAACACACGGTTGATGTTCTTTAAACACGTTGGGAATCCCGCCAGTTCTAAAAATGTTCGCGCATAAATAAGCTTTGTATATGTATGGATGCATCATAAGCAGCACGAGAACGTATAAATTCTCGTGGCACGTTTTTACGAAGTACGATAGGAAATGAACAAAAGTATGTCGTAGACTCACAAATTTTATCGACAATCTATCTATATCGGAGTTTATCTAACGCACAGAACATACTGCATACATACTCTCCTAATTATCGATAATACTCTAAGCTTTTTGAAAGAGAAGAGACGAGACAAGGAACAAAAAAATATGACGAAACGAGAGAGCTTTTTATCATCTTTCTTGATATTTATCTTTGCACACATATGCTATTCGCGATAGACGTCGATGATAATGGGTGTGCTGTTATCGATTACACGCATACTTCAACGAAATGTTGTAACATGTGTAGCCTAGTATATGTACACAATTAATATATTGACTAGACGCAATCGATGATCGTCTCTCGTGTATCGTGGTCGTTTAACGCGTGTCGTATTTTCCTATATGATGAAACTTTTCTTCTACGATGCAAATTCGTTTTTAAAGATTTCCGGAGAGAAAGAGAGTGTGTGCTATATAGTGTGTAAAAAGACGAGATAAATTCGTCTTTCCTTGTTGATCAAAGTTGCGTGTCATGAAGCAAACAACGATTAAATATAATAAGTTAAAAAGTTTTCAAGGAAAGAGCAATTTTGCGATGTTTCTTTTTGTTTAGTTGGGTATGAGGAAAAATATTAATTAAAAATACGAGATATACATATACCTTGAGTGTTTCTCTCTTCGTTGGGATTTATCGATAAACCGTCGTGTGTTGTTCTGTGTATACAAAGGGGCACGGCTTATCTGGTATATCCATGGAAACATTTGGCGGTTCTCCACCGTACGGGAAGGAAAGAGAAAAGTGGGAGAGAAGATGGGTTTATAAAAGCGCGACACTCGGTGCACCGTTATCATTCTTTAGGAAGAACGAATCACGAGAGGAACATATACAGTGGTATAACATACGTTCGTGAGATTAATCCTCCCCTCCATTTTCAACTCCCATCATTGTGCGCGAGTGTGATAGAAGAGCAAAGGATTGCACAACGTTGCGTTTACTGTAATCCAAACTATAAGTGGACATTGAAATACTTGGACGAGCAGAGGAAAGAAAGGGAAAAGTGGGCTGTGTCCGTGACAAATCGACGTTGAAAATAAAGCACATTCGAAGCTCCCAGTGAAGGATACAATCGGCTATGATCGACGTGGAAACGCTTACCGATATGAGCTGCTATCAAGGATTACAATCTTTTCCTATGAGCACGATGGCGGAAAGGTAATTATGCAAATTCGCATAGGTTCGAGGAAATGTTTGCTTAGAGTCTTAGTTCAAATGAATTTCATGTACAAATCTCTGTAGTTTGTTCGATTACTTATTTCGAAGGAAAATCAAAATTGTTAGTATGGAGAACAAAAACTCGTGTTTCAGCGCAAAGCCAACGTGGAACATGAATTCTCGAGATAGTAAGTGTTCTCGCAAAAACAATATAACTTGTGGTATATTGCCGACTCTTCGTGCCCTGGCATCTCGAGAATGCAACGACCAAGGCAGCGTCTGTTTGGTACCACTCGACGTTGAAATGGATGCTGCTATTCATCTTCAAATGATCTTGCTCGAGGCTTACTGTCGTGAAATTGGAATAAGAGTATCGAGAGTACCGTTAAATACGCTGCAAGATTTACTTGGTCCAGGACATTCGGATCTCTCCTGCGTTCTTATCGACGATCCTTATTTTACGGATCCACCTGAATGAGCAAAAAGAAGAAGAACAACAAGAGTCGACTTTCTCTTTTCAGGTACGATATTACTTACGCGTGTTTGAACCAACAAGGTTCAATGAACCCCCATCCATCGACGATGTTCTTTGCGATGGGTCGGCGCCTTCGGATTGGTCAATACTTCTACTCAGAAGACACATGACCTACATTGTTTTGGCGAATCGCTCACGTTCGCGTCATCTACTTACGTGACTTTGATCTACGATTTAACAAATGTTTATACATTAGCAATGTAATTATTTTTTTCTTCTATTATGTGATACAATTTGTATAAATTTGTACGATCGATCGTTGTAAAGGAATTAAAAGATAACAATGTTATAATTAGGAGTTGACATGGACTAGTGTATTTTTTATTCCTACTTTCCTCCTTACCTTCTTCTAATCTTGCTTAATGAATTTTATTCATATGAATTTCATTCATTCCTTCGCAGCTGATCAAACATTTGAAGAGTTCTAATATATCTTCCATGGAGGACCTCGAGATCCTGAGCATGACGTGAGTAGGTATATTAAAGCAAACAAATCTTTAAGCATTGCAGCTGCAATGTCTTAAGCAACAAATTATATTACAATTAACGTAATTTGATTCCTCGTTTCAATTGAACATTCGTTCAGTCAATAATTTACCTTAATGCAGGCCTTCGTCGGAGATAACTTTTGAATTTTTTGCCAATTCGGATGATGGGGATAAAATTCGAGAATCGTTAAATCGTTTAGTTCAACGACGTCGTCTCGGGGATTTAGCTCTTGAATCTACGCACTTTACTTTTCAACAAAAACCCGCGTTTAGATTGCAGGTATGAAGAATTTTCCAAATTCGATGTAATGCAATTGGACGTAACGAATTTGACGTTATTGATTTTGCTTAGAATTTACGTTTGGATCGTTCGAATGAACACGAGGTTCATCTAGGCGATGAAATCAATCTCCATTGCGTTGCCCAGGGAAGTAATGGTATTCATTTTATCTGGTACAAAGACAATATGTTGATAAACGTGAAAAAAGCAAACAGGTAACTACGTAATAAGATTATAATATCATTTGGTTTTACTCTTTAACGAGGGTACCGTTTATTCATGTTCATCCAGAGGAATTCGATACGAGGATCTTCCTAACGATGGATTGGATATGTATGCGTCAATATTAAGAATCGATAAGGCGACCACATTGGACGGTGGTCAATACACGTGCCAAGCTATTGATCGAAACGTACAACAATGTAAAAGTCTTTACGTACAAGTGAAAAATGATCCGGATGTAAAGGTCACGCCAATGAGTATTACTGTAGAAAAGGTACAAATCTTTTTCCAATTCATTTGAAAAGAAGATATACTCAAACTCGTAGTATATGTCAAATGAAAGTAAGATAGAAAGAAAATATACAAAAAATTCCAGGGTAGTAATATACAACTGACGTGCACAACACCAAATATGCACAGCACAGGTATAGGATTTGGTTGGACGAAAAATCGTGCGTTACTTAAATTGGAACCAGGTAGTGAAATTTGGGAAGACCTTTATCCAGACGGTAGCATTTTAAAAATTACAAACGTTCAGGTAGAAATGTCATTTGAAATGGAATATTGTCATCGACAAGAAATATTCAATTTGATTTATTATTGAAATGAAAATAATTGTAGAAATCGGCGATATACACGTGCAACGTGGCACATCGATCGATGTCCGTACGAGTAGAATTGACGAATCGAACTTTGGTACGAATTTGTCCAAAGGAAATATCTTGGGCTGAAAAATGGCCTGACACAGCTCCTGGTTCGGAAGCTTTGATCGATTGTCCACGACATTTTGTCGGACCTAAAGTATCGAGACTGTGCTCGATGAGAGATGCAACAACTCCCGAATGGTTGATGCCAGATTTTTCCAATTGTCTTTACGAGCCCTTCATTCGTCCTTACAATAAAGTTAGTCTCTCCTGCTAATATTAATCATCGAATTCTTGAGACTTTATTTTGTTCCTTTCGCTGTTCGTAGTTTCGTAGCTTGACTCTAGGCTATCAAAATACAACAGGCTCGGAAACGATTCTAGCCCTTTGGGAAGTACTAAGATCGCGCGAAATATCCCTCTATCCGAACGAAGCTGATGGTATTTTAAGCATACTCATAGAAATCGAACATTACCAACGTAGAATCGATCCATCCGATTTGCATCGGTCTGCCGAAGCTCTGACGCATATCGTCAATCACATATTAAACGACGAAAATTCCATTTTAAATCCACAGGTAAAGACTTTGACAATTACTGTTATTATTATTTGTTATTATTATTATTGCCCTGACTGTAAAAATCATTTTTTAGAGAGTATGGGTATTACTGCAAATGGTTGAACGAAACCTGATACATTGGTCGAAAAAGTTAAATCAAGGCTGCTTTCACTTGTCCCTGTCATCGATGGTCGTCGATATTCAACCCTTGCAATTTCATAGCAATGAAGGCTTCACGCACTCTCTTGAAATTCCAACAAACGATGACACGTATGCATTTATGCAACGCATATCCTTAACAAATACTGGAAATATTGAAAAATATATTTGTTTGACAGATATCCTGATTGGTATAAAGACACAATCGGTATACGTTTATGGAAAAAGAGATTTAGAGATGGCAGAAGCAATACTACGTACAAAGGAATCGTCATTGTCTATAAGACTGTTTCTAACTTTCTTCCAAAAGTATACATCAAAGAGTTTGAGTAAGCACCACGTGAATACTTAGACGAAAATACTAGAATACACGAACGTTATTTAATGCAGTTTGTTTTAAATTTTAGCAACGGTACAGAACTAGAATATCGAATTAATTCTCACGCTATCACGGTAACCGTGGCTTCCTTCAAATCTGACAAAAATAGTAAAATTTGGTTGGATCTAGAAATGAAACAATTAGAAAATCATTCTGGCCCTTGGAATGTTTCATGTGGTCTTATGGATCATTCAGGTTCTTGGAATTTAAATGATTGTATATCAAGTACAATTCCAGACGATCTTACGACCCATTGCTTGTGTCCTAATACCGGCACCGTTGCTCTTTTTTTAACTGCTAGGATTGTAAGGGTAATTATTTTTGGAAAGTTTGAGAAACCTTTAGATAGATATATTCACATTTTCGTTTGCACAAAAAGAATTGTTCTTTTACAGATGGTATTACCAAAGAAGGAACAAACAACTTCTATCGTGATACTCGGTTGTGCAAGCTGTCTGGTTCAATGCTCCTTAACATTATTCTTTCTTAGCGTACATTGGTGGAAAAATCGGAGTTGGTTAAATTTTTTGAAAGTCCAATGTTGCGGTGCTCTGATCGGCGCAATGGCTTTGTTCATTTATGCGATATGTGGTAACTTTTCTGATGTACGAAAATATCAATGTATCTTATATTTGTTCATTATGCGTTTACCACATTGCTTATCTGACAACTTTACATTACATTTGTCTTACAGAGTAATTACTATCTCATTGCAATAGGATTAGAAGCATTTCTTTTAGTTGGCATGTCGACTCCTATATCCGAGGCTCTCATAATATATTCTCAGTTTGTTCATATACGACCGAATCAGCATCTTCACATGAAGATCACAGTAATCGCTGTTATTACAGGTATACGATGTATTGCAAATGAATTCAAAGAGGCAACCAGCATTTATAATAAAATACTTCAATAAATTATTTGTATGTTTTGAAACGATAACTTTGTCTAGGGGTACCAATTTTGGCTGTACTTGCCACCGAACTTACTCGCAAAAGTACTGGCTGGCGACACGAATCTTGGTGGCTGATTCATGGAAGTGGAGTATATAATATATTCGTAACATGTACAACCATGATGTCTTGCGTCTTTGCGATACTCTATTTGGGTGTCATTCATGAGGCTCGTGCTCTCGTAGAGAAAAATTTGATGAAGAAAGAAACCATAAAATCGAGGTAAGAATGGTGGACAAGTAATATTGATTGATTAAATTATATCTACAATTATTTGACTATAACAGAAATAAAGAAATTTTCTTTATCTACAGGACGCGGTTATTGCATCGTGCAGCTGTAGTTATATGTGGCATTATTGCCACGGAAACGTCTTCAATCTTCTACATAAATTCGACTTCTATAATTTATCAATATATCTTTGCATCGTTATCTACCATTTTAGTAAGTATCTGAATTTTCTATATCGTTTATTTGTTGATTAAAAAAAATGAAAATGAATAAAATACCATACCGAATTTATATACAGGGTTTCATCATATCAATAGCATACGTTTCTAGCAGTGACATTAATTTACTTAGACCAATACTACCAAAACTTAAATGGAAATTGGAAACGAGCAACGAACGAATTTCAGTGCCGATCAAAGGTATCGAATGTTTTATGTTAATGCATCTAATAAATGAATGAATGAATGAGTGAGCGAGCGGATGATATAAATAATAAATAAATAATATGTAATTTTGTTGGTATGCAGTATGTTCAAAAATTGAGGCAGAAATGCAAAACGACGCGATACCACCACCTCCGTCATCTATATTGGCCGAACCCTACATAGAAATCCGAGGAGTAGCGGCTGGTAGCATAGATACGAGAGAATTTACTACTGAAACTTCGTCTTCCGTTGCTGGCAGGTACTTGCCTGAAATTCGAATTGATCGACCAGACGACATCAATCTTGAAAACTATAGTACTAGCCCGCGAAAGTATCAAGAAGCATTCGATAGTGCTTTTGCTAAGCGAACTTCTCAATGTCTCGCCGAGTCTTATGGTGTTAGTGTTACAGATCGTAATGCTTTTCGAGATCTTGCAATTCATCAAAACATTCCATCGGAATGTTCAGCTAAACTTCTTTGTAGCGCTGACATAGAATCACGTTTGGGTGCAATGCCAGACGTAACGTTGGCAATCAAAACGGACGTAGAACATTTAACGAACGTCGAATTAAAAGCGAGAGAACATGTGAACGTTATTCCCGACATTGCTAATACAACGGAACGCAAACAACCCGATGGCGAGGAAAAAATGCCAGAAATTCGGATAACAAGTTGCGAGACTACCACTTCTGGCATGTTGGATCGTATCTCGCATGATCTCGATTATCTTTTAAATCGCACGCACACCAAAGAAGAAGTATAGACTTTTTCATGATTTATTTGTAATAAACATTTTCATGAATTTTCCTTTCGTCTTGCGTTTTAACGGCGCGCCACTTCCATCTTATTAGAAATTCATTATATGTATATTTCGAATCGAGCGTATTTATTTTTCGAAAATTCTTCTGCCAATTGCAACGATTTATTGAACGATAAGACAGTAATGCTTGCCGCTTAAATTTCATTTATTTAATATTTTTATGGCATAGTTATTAGATTCCAAATTATTCGTTTGATTTCTGCAAAAGCATAAGTCCTAGAGGAAACTCCATACAACATTGTTATACAATGTATCATGTTGCGTAATATTATATGCGTTCTGTGATTTTATTTCTATAAGAAAAGACATCGTGAAATTTGTATTATAAAAAAAAAAAAAAAGAGAAAAATATAAATAAAAAATAATAAAGGCGCGCTTAAGGTCATATTTGAGATCTGAGTAGTAGCCTTCTATCGTGATACTCCATCCATACACCAGTTTTCTATAAATAATTCAATAATTCTCTTTAACTGTAAAGATCTAAGAATAAAACTTTATAGCACAATTGTTCGCTCGAAATAATTGCTCTAATCGCCCATCCATCATGATATTATGAAACAATACGAAATATATGAGATGTATTTTAAAGAAAAAGAAAAAAAAGAAAAATCGTAAAAAATAGAAGTTGTTAATATAGTTCGAAAGGAAAGAATTCGGAATTACATTATTTATTTCACCATTGTCATCGTACAGTCCGATCATAATATCCACGCTTCAGTCATCGCACTTTTTTCATTTTTTTTTTTTTTTTGTATAATTCGAATTACAAAGCTATACATTGATTTTAATTTCGATAATCTACTTACATATTTAAAGTCAAAGTTTATGTTGTTGGTAAGATTACCACTAATGGTTAGTCAATTGCAAAGTGAGATGTGTCACTGAAATCGATTTTTTAATGAGGTATGAAATTGCAGCAATATGTTTTTGCCAAGCACATATTTGTGTTACAAATGCAAAAGACATAACAAGGTTCGGTGTTAGTTTGTTAGCACTCAAATATACCTATATGACTAGTTTTCTGTTTTTTTCCAACAGATTTTCTTAAAAATATAAATTATTTACAAGGATTTCAGCTAATTTTACCAAGATTTAATAATGTTGATTTAATCACATCAATAATACCTAAGTATAACAGGGCCGTGGCATCCTTTAGTTTCTTAAGAAAATCAATCATAGGCATATCCACTCGACAAAATTGAATACAATAAAAAGAGGAACACGCACGCGCGCACGGTAGACGCCACGCGCCACACCATAATATCTACATCCTAACTTATCATATTGTATCGTATCGTATCGTATCATATCGTATCGTATCATCCTATCCCATCCCGACCCACCCTATCTCGTCCCATCTCGTCCATCCCATCCCGACCCACCCTATCTCGTCCCATCTCGTAAATTTTGAGAAATTTCTAAGATCTACTTTCGATTAGAACATTTTTTTTACTAAATTTAATATATCGTATCATTATCGTATCATATCGTATCGTATCGTATCGTATCGTATCGTATCGTATCGTATCGTATCGTATCGTATCGCGCGTAAACTCGAGCAACAGCAATGGCAGCAGCAGCAGCAGCAGCAGCANCGTATCGTATCGTATCATATCGTATCGTATCATCCTATCCCATCCCGACCCACCCTATCTCGTCCCATCTCGTCCCATCTCGTCCCGTCCCGTCCCGTCCCATTCCCACTAAACTTTCATAAAAAATTAAATATTCATTATTAGAATTTTCGAACAATTGCAAAATTTACAAAAATTCGCGTTGCGTCATTTATCAATCCGGAATGTTTAGATTAAGTAATTTTTTTACTTTTATTTTTTTGATATATATATATTATATATATATAATATATATGTATGTATGTATATTAAATGCCATTAGCTTTTTATTAGCACCATATTGAGCATTATTCATTCTTGAACAGTTACGAAATGTTTAAATATAAACGCATATAAGTAAATAGTGCTGATTCATAAAGAGCAGTTTTGTCTTACTAAAGAAGATATTTGATGGCACAACGCTTATTCGTACATGTATTATACAATAAAGCATTATTCGTGTACATTTGAAATGTAATGGCCATTTCCTTTATGATTATATCACAAAATTTCAATTTATATTCGTTAATTTAAAATATGTAAGTAAAAATAATATAATTCCAACTATATATCTGTCCATATCGTTCGTAACAAAGATCGTTGCTACTTTATGAAATTATTCACGCAGTTGTGCATAAAGTAGTAACACAGATCGAGCTTCTACTTCAACGAATACAAGTATACCGGAATATGAGAAAGACATGTTTCGACAAACATATTTGTCTCGATAAAAAAAAAAAAAAAAGCATCTCATTTAAAAGGAAATATACTTGCGGTGACCCTTAATTTCCAAATAAATTCGAAAGAAGGCGTAAAAACTTTGAAAAATGTTGTTAAAAGTTTGGAGGATCGTTAGTATTTGACTGTCATGAAATGCTTTGCACAAGCGTACTATTCGTTCGTACTAGAGCTGCTTAGATTAGCTTAATGATTCAGCCAGCCACGGCGCCTCTTCTCCTATACTTTCAATCTCTTCTTCTCTTTACTTAAATATAAAAATACATAGCCAGTCTATACATAGAGCGTGCAAAGTGGCACAGTGAACTGATTTACCAAACGTCCTGGATGGTTAACTACCACTTTCGGTAATCGTTGGTGGTTCTACTTCATCGTGACTCTTATTTGTTTTATTACTTGACACAGAAAGACCTGAGATTTTTGGCAGCAAATTATTTGCATTATCACTGTTGGATGTGGTAGCATTGCACATAGCATTATCAAAGTGTTGTAAACAGGAAAATTCTGGACCAGGCAGCAACAAAGTAGTCTGTGTAGGAAGATTGGTTAACGATACCATTCCTGGCATCATCATTTGCTTATTAAAACAACTCCTCAATGCTTCTTCAATTAAATTGGCTATTTTGTCGCGATCATTCTGTAACATTGTTCATTCTTTTTCAATCGGTTCATTTTATTCTTTTATAAAAACTTCATAGATAAATACATACCTCGTTAATAAATCCAAAGTGTACAAGTTCCTGTGCAAGGATTAATGAAGTATCTGATTGAGTCACAGGGCACGTCAATTGCCTATTCATCTTATCATCCATTCGTAACAATATTGTCATCTATAAAGTATAAAGAAATATTTATTAACGTATGCGCGTAAATAAAAGAAGACATATTTTTTTTGTTTTGATTACTTACAAGTAATTCACAACTTTCTTCTCTAGGTTTAACATTACACATCATATTAACTACTCTTCGTGATTCCACATCTACTGGTTCCGGTGTTACAGATTTAACAGATTCTGTTACTTCTGGAGATATAGCTCTTGGTCGAGCAGGTGGAGGCAACTTTGCCATAAATGCAGTTAAAGGATATATTCCATATCTGATAATATAGATAATTTTAAAAGGGAAATAACAAGCATATTACATTACATTTGTATAAATGTAATGACAAAATCTTACTTTACATCTTCAACAAATTTCTCTAGCTTTTCAGTAACAGGTATGTCACTTAAGCGAATTTGTTGTACCGATCGACCCTGGTATTTTATTTCTGCGACTACTGTATCTGGACCATACAACCTTTGCAAAACTTCATCCGTTATCGTTTCTGAAATATTTGCTGTAAGCAAAAAAGTTACTATAAATAAAAGAGTTTTACATTGAATGCACAAGTTTAAATATCAGAAAAAACGAACTTGAAGGATACAGTGCATCCAACATGTACGTTTACCTATACGATCAAATAAAGAAGGAGACTGTTAAGCTTACTGGCCGAGTTGACCAAGGCATGCGCTGCTAGGAGCTTTAGAGAATGTACTTCAAACAAAACCGGATGGAATAACAGTTCTCTTGCGCTTGGCCTACACAGAGGATCCACTTCGAGACACTTGCGTATAAAATCTTTTTGTTGACTATCATCTAAAGATTCGATTGTTTTCCTGATGTTTTCATCTGTTACAATTGTTCCGCTATCACCATTCCCTTGAATTTCAAGTGCAGCCATTTCTAATGCGCACATTCCAAAAGAATAAATATCAATAGCGGGTGTCACAGAATCTAGAAAAAATAAAAAATGAATATCTCATAATACATAGACGATAAACTTTGTTATTTATAACATATAAAATATTTGAACAATAAACTTACTTCCATATTCTGGGGCAACAAAATGCATATTCTTCATGTTTGCTCTACAAGTCTTGACATGATGATGAATTGCATCAGGTGCAACTGAAATTATACAAACATCATTTTCATTTTTTTAAAATGTCTCTGTAAAATAAATATAAAGAAAATAGAACAATGTTAACATTATCAATGAGTAAATGAGTTGAAATAATAAGGCAGCTATTAAACAGAACCAGTTATTACATTTATAATTACATAATTACCTTTTTTATCGCCATAATATAACAAGCAAAAACGACGATACACTTGCCTATTTTATTTTCTGTTCTGTTCTGTTTGCTTGCTGCCCATTTAATAAAAAAAAAAAAAAAAAAAAAAAACGCTCGATTGAAATTACCTTTAGAAAAATTGTGTGTATATAATAGAAAACTGCCCTAAGAGTAACTTGAGCCCTCATATAATTCATTATTTTTCGCATATATATACATATATATATATATACAATACATAAAGGTGCTTCTACAAGAGAGGAGCAATTTTTTAATATTTTAAAAGATTGAAAAAGTATGAAAACTTTTAACAATGAATAACATGTTATATGTTTTCATAATACATTTTAGACCGCTTATATATATTCAAAGAGCCACTTTCATTGAACAAGATTAAATTGAATTGGAAAAAAAGAAGGTCAAGGGGATTACAAAATAAGGAAATATAAAAATACAAGAGAGAGAGAGAGAGAGAGGAAATATGTGTGTCTCATAATCGCATGGGAACAAATAGGAATTTTATCCTCTTCTGTTATATGTGCTTAATAACTGAAATAATGAATAAAATAGTGCAATAAAGTGGCATTAACATAATAAATGAAACATTGCACATTTAGAGTGAAACTACTTATATTAATAACATAGAAATAATAAAGTTTACCTCTCCATGCCTACATTACTTAGCTGGCAATAGTCGTTGATAATCTGCATATTGTTTAATCTTCAAATTGTCCATCATGATAACATACACTGATTGAAGAATGTGGATTCCGATGCATATAATCCTCTGGGTGGATAAAAGTACAATTGTACCTCCTCCCCTCTTTCTCGAAGGCTTTGCTGTGTTTTTTTCATTATCTAGATTAGCCTATTTGCTACAATTAAAAATGAGGACTCAAGTTACTCCTAATATGAAAAGAACTTTAAACACAATCTTTCTAATGGACTCATCTTACTACAATAATATACAATTATCAAAGATGTACAGATTACCAAACCATTCATATCCGTTATGTGACTACTCGGATCTAAACACGGTACAACCAAAATATTTTTCAGAGTATATATACTGCATGTATTGTATATGTAATAACAATACTATTTTTTTGACCAAGTTTAACCCCATATAGTCACAATTAATATTTCTATTTGATATCCCAATTATTACAATAATATACATGATATTTATGTACAATATAATTATAATACATAAATGTGTGTTTCAGTCATCTTTTCTCAAAATATTGCATGGCAAATATTGTTTAACAAAAAAAATGTTATTCAATTATTTTTTTTTGTATCTTATTTCTTAATCTGCATTTAATCATATTAATATTATGATTTTCTTTTTTTTCTACATACATACTAAATTATGCATATAACATTTTGCTAATGTAAGAAAATGTAAAAAAGAAGGGGAGAAAGAGAGAGAAAGAAAAAGAGAGATAGAGAGAGAAAAAGAGAAAGAAAGAAAGAGATTACTAATCTTAGAAAATCAAGTCATCAATTATCGTATAAAAATATTAAAAAAAAAAAAAAATAGTAAAATGAATATATATTCCTACACAAATTTATACGCACTATACACAAATAAAATTTCAATTACTGTTTCATTGCATTGCGATGAGATGATTATAAATTTAATCCATGATAAATGCTGTAAATTTACATGCTATATAAAATAAAAAAGAAAAATTAATTCTTCTTGTATTGTGTTCCTCTGTTACGCACATAAGTACTAAGTGTATAATAATGGTGTACTTATGAAATATTTCAATAGATACAAATGACTTGATGCTTATAATATACAAATGCTTCACACCAATCTTTGCTTCGGAACATTATTATTATGAAGATATAATGTATTAAAATATATCTAGATATATTCTGTAATACCTGAATTAGAATCATTGTATATTTCTCTATAGTACCTACCTGAACCAATTTTTACAAGTCCATTATGTTGGATAAATATCGTATCGCACGTAAGATTCCCATGAATAATAGGAGGAGAACAGGAATGCAGATAGCTAAAACATTTTATATGGTAAATATATTTCTTAAAAAAAAAAATGTATATATAAATAAATATTTGTAGATTTGTTATTTACCTTAATGCTGAAAGTATTTGCGTACACCATCGTTTCCATGCTTGAAGAGGCAATTTTTTTACATTACGTTTGGTTCTTTTTAGGAACTGTTTCAAGGATCCAGATGACATATATTCTGTTATAAATATAACCTGTAAAATAGATAAATAATATTATATATATACGTGTAAACAAATGCAAAATAATAAAACATATATTTACTTGACGTATTTCATAACTTACTCGTGGTTTGTCATTATGGGTATCCGTCCAGTACCTATGGAATTTGACAATATTAGGGTGCTCCAATTGCGTGAGATTCTCAAAGACAAGTTGTATCTTTTCTTCTTGTGCTTTGAAATTTTTTCTTTCTGAAAATTGTACTTCATTCCATACCACTTCTACACCTTCTTCTGTATCCATTGCTAAATAAGCACAGTCAATTCCTGGAACATCTTGTTGCTCTACCTACACAGACATAATCCAATTATTTAAGACAATGTTGCATTACAAACTTTTCTTGACTTTCATAAAAAAAGAAAAAAACAAGTCAAATAATTTAAGTACAAATATTATGTAATCCATCTTGTATATCTATATTATTTTACTCGTCTTGTGTTTATTATAAAAGGAAAGTGAATTTAATTTACTTTTATTATTATTATTATTATTATTATTATTAAACATAGACATAAAACATATCAATAAAGTATATTAATAAAAATACATTATATTATCATGGCAGGTAGATGTTATGTTCTTTAACAGGGGACTAAATTTAGACATGTGCTATAACACATTATTGTAATCATCCATTTAAAGCTCACTTGAAGTACTAATACTACTGCTACTACTACTACTGGGACAATTTCATGACAATGTGCCATTATATAGATATGACTTTGTCAAGGCCAGAGAAAAAATAAAACTGCTCAAAATAATAATGCAAATAATATAGAATAAAAGACAAACAAATGCGAATATTAAACTTATTAATATTAATGATATTTATTTTACCTCCATTTCAGTTGTTTCGTTTTCGCTACCTCTGCTTGTACCAAAACTGGTTCCTTCAGTTGATGATGGTTTAGAACCTACATATACCTACAATAAAAATCTATATTTATTTACTTAATATATAATTATTCGTATGTATAATAAAGTACTTACTTTATTCAGAGTTAAGATTTAATAATATATATTTGATTATACTTTAATATCAAACTAATATTCTTATAATTGCTTATGAAAGTAATCAAAATTAAGATTATTGTTGATTCTTATAACTAATTATATATCTTTTCTTCATATATAACAATTTTGATATTCATATTTATTTTAAAGCAGACATTTGAAAATAAGAATTACGAAGATCAAAATTATTGAATAGGAATCTATTAGCCAAACCAAGTAAATGTATTTTTAGTAAAAAAACAACTAACTGTTGGTAAAAGATATATACATGTGTAAGCGTATGTGCCAAAATTTGATATCAGATTTAATCTGAATTTAGAATACCGTACAAATAAATTCCTAAAGATATCTGTAATTAGGAAATAATCTATTATTAATCTGTACGCATAAAAATATGTTCTCAAACAAACTCAATCATTTCAATACCATTAGACATCTCTGTCTTGATGTATATTTCAAAATCTAACTAATCTTAAAATAAGTTGCATCCTAGTAATGATAGTATTTGATAAGTGACAACGATATTATGGGAAATGAGTTCTGATTATATACAGATAAATAAAACATCAATTTCTGGGTGATGCAAATGTTGGATACAAAAGAATAAAAAGAATGCAATTTTTATACGCTCTCTTTATATATCTTTCTATGTTATATTAAAGATAAGTTACGCTTTAAATTAAATAAATTGAAATATGTACCATGAATATCCTACTGTCAGCAAAACAGTAGGATAGAGAGACATCGTATCGCATGACGTGCTTGCCTATTCCTTTACCTCGTTAGGAATTATCAAAACCACAGCGTTATATTCTTTCCTTGTAAATGCACAATGACTCGGGCAAATGAAATAAGTAACAAGAAAGACGTGTAGCATGCGGCATCCTAAAGAAGTGCACTTAATTCCTCTATTATGAGTATCGAAGAGAAATATTATTCCAAACATACCTCCTCCCGGCGTTTGAGCCACCGCCCACAGGGGCTCTCTTCCAGGATCTCGCTTTCATCCTCGGAATCCTCACCACTTTCTCGCGGTGACTTATGATCTGGGTCCGTGCTGGAGCGACTCCCGGGCATCACACACGTAATTAGTAAAAGGAGTAGGACCGAACACAACGTAACACGGCCAAACTCATTGGTAGTTTGAGGAATCTTCAGTCTTTAAGATTTGTAGGCCTAGTCGTCGTCGTCGTCGGTCTCGTCCTTACCCTTGTCTCTTCGTTTTCGTCTTTGTCGTCGTCGTCGTCGTCGTCGTCGTCGTCGTCGTCGTCGTCGTCGTCGTCGTTGTCGTCTTCGTCTCCGTCTTCTTTGTCGTCGTCGTCGTCGTCGTCGTTGTCGTCGTCGTTATCCTAAGCGGTTTTGTCGTTTTTGTAACCGTTGGTAAATATTAATCGTCAAAAATATTAAGAAAAATAAGAGTCAGGAAATAGGCGCGCACGCACAGAAGTAGCACTCGTTGTGACACATGCAGAAACAGCTAGTCGTTTAAGAAGTCGAGTTCCGATATTTCTGATCTTACGCTGTTCCCTCAGCGGATTAATGCTTTTCAGTATCCCTCAGTTCTTCAACGGTCCGCTGTACATCGCGCCAGTTGCTAACGAATCTCACTGTCAAAATAAAACCTCTGTTATGAACGAAATAACTGCGACATGACACACACTTGAGTACTCATTTTCGTTCTGTCTTCGGTCACGTTCGCCCAGTATGGCGATCGCAGTATCGTGCGCCGCACCCCTTTCACCACGACTGTGCTGCCACCTATCGACATTTACAATCTTTAAATTTCCATTTTAAAGCGGGAAAATTGTGCATAATTTCAAATGTTTACCATCAATTTGTCAACTTTCCTTACATTTTCCCCATTTTTTTTACGTTTTCCTTTTTTCCTTATTTAGGTTTTAATCACAATACATGTATATACTTACTTTATATATTATATTATATACTAAATATTAATAAAAATGTATAAAAACATTATATCTTTGTGACGTTGCAACCATAGAATAAAAAGTAAACATTTTTATTGTTCATGTGCCAAATACGGGAACTAAAATATCTTGACCATTAATATAAAATGATTTATATCCCTATTTAGCCAATCAAAGTAGAATAGCTTTAGGACGGTCTTTATTACTATATTGTAAACGGTGTCCGTAACTGTATTGTGTTGTAGAAATATGGTTAATTCGAAGCCGTTAGGTGGCAAATGATTGTCAATTCCGACCGAAATTTCGTCGAGGATATAATATATCCTTTCAAATTTTTAATATGGAGCTATAATATTTTCATTATGTGAAATAAAAACCAATGAGGATGAGTTAACAATATTACAGGGAATTCCAGTAATGTCAAAGATGTCGGGTGCTATTGAAAAACATAACCTAAAAGTAAGACGAAGAAACGTCAACGATACAGTCAATCTTTCTAAAGATCATGACAAAGATATAAATTTCGCGAACGAACGTATTCCACTCGTGTTATTGTCAGATTCGACCGAAGCTTGGTACGATGGTATACCAAGACTACCTGATCTAACAGATTTAACAACGTCCGGTAAACAGAACGGAGTGCTCGGTCAAGACAGTGATTCCATTATGGATAATTCTTGTGATAGTGTTGAAGAGCGTAAGAAAATAAGTGTTATACGAGGTACCATCACGAAGCCGGATTTATCATTGGGAGACTTTAAACTACTTGGATCCAGTAACGGAGGATTTATCACTGGTACTCGTTCTTAATAATCCTCTATTATTGTCAATAAGGAACCCTTATTTCACTCTTAATAGGAGAAAGCATATACTTGACACATTATCTTATTTATCTTCTAATATTTTGATTACACTTTTATGCATTAATGGTGCAAGAAAGAAAACAATATAATTAGTCAATGCAATAAAATAATCATTATTTGATATATTCGAATTTTAGAAACCATGTCTGTATATGTAAAATATTGGTTCCTTCTTGAAAATAATCCTATATCTTATAATTAAGTTGCGAAATTATAAAGATGATCTGTAGATGGTATACGAAGGGTGCTATGGCCAAAAATCTTAAGATTATCCAAGGAAAAAATAGTACCAGTAGATGAACTAGAAACAATACATACTAAAATTCCTAATGAAGTTTATCAGCAAATACTAAAAGATGTAGCACGAAGTGGAAGCCATATTTCTCCAACTGCAACGGAAGAAGAAACTGAACATTTTCAGAATCAATTAACGCAGATTATTTGTTGGGTTCTTCACAAACATCCCGAATTAAAGTTAGTATTAATATTTGGAAGATTTAAAGAAACAACAAGATGCAATCATATATGACTGTGTGACATTTTCTAATCAAATATTAATCAAAGTATAATAAAATAAAATAATGCATACTTAGTTACTACCAAGGCTATAATGACGTAGCTGCAACTATTTTACTTGTTATGGGTCTACAAGAAGGTTTATATGTACTTGAAAGTATTTCCGTGGAGTTCCTTGAAAGATTTATGGAAAAAACAATGGAAAAAGTCAATCAAGAACTGTTTTACATATTCGCATTACTAGAACGCGTTCATCCCACTCTTCTTGAACATTTAGAAAAGTTAGTTGCATAGATTTTTAAATATACAAAAAAAAAAAAACCTATTTTGCCTATGTATATTTTTAAGTAAAATTAATCTTGTAAACTTGATTTCAGTGTAGAATTGTTTCCTCATTTTGCACTAGCTGAATACACAACATGGTATGCGCACAAATATGCAGAAAACAGGAAATTGTTACATCGATTGTATGATTATTTTCTTAGCAGTCCACCTTTAATGCCCCTCTATCTAAGTTCCGTTATTGTGGCGCATCGAGCTACAGAAATATTTAATACTACACCTGATATGGGACATACTCATAAAGTTTTATGTACGGTAAGTACGAATGTTATCTGTTCAAGTATAAATAATAATCTTTTGAAAGAAGAGAGAATAATGGGCCATTTTGTTGGCGCAATAGTAATAGCAATTACGTGATTTTAGCTGCCTAATGATTTGCCTTTTGAAACACTTCTTATTGATGCAAAGAATTTATATCATCAATATCCCCCTGAATCAATAAATAAAGATGTCAAAGATTATGATTCGAAAAGACGTTGCAAGGAACAAGAATGGAAATCAAAAGCAGAAGCAAGTCGTCAGGAAAGAGAAAGACAACGTCGACTTAAAATTGTTAAAGCTACTCCAAGAATACCTTATCGAATTAGAAGTTACAAAACTATAACCGTTGTAACAATTTTAGCCCTCGGATTGTATGCATTTTTGAAATCTACGTCAGGTCTTAACTGACATTAAATGTATCTTTCCTGCTCAAAATTTAAATTTATATACATGATTTATAAATGAAAATTACTAATTCCATAGTAGATGATAATTGGTGTGAAATATTGAATATTGGTAAAGCTTGAGCAAAAATGTCTCGTAAAAGAAAAACAGAAATGGATTCAAGTTGAAAGCATTCCTAAGCTGCCTTTATGCTGTGTTCTTTGAAGGCGCTGACCAGAACTTTCTATGCACATACCATAAAAGTCATTTGTAGATAGGTGCCTTTAGAAAATGGCAACAAAATTCTTTTTAAAACAAACAAGAATTAATTGTTAAGAATTAATGAAAATACAAGCAAGCGTGCAATGAAATATGTATAGAAGTTAAATGAGATTGAGTTGGTGAATGTATATATGCGTATTGCGTGTATTTATTTGTCATATAAATTGTTTGCTTGTTGTATAAGAATTGTATATATAACATACACATACATCCAAAATATAAAAGAAAATACTATATGTGAAACCATATATAAAAACATTAGTATAATATAAATATACCAAACATTAATAAACATTTTTATTTTTCTAATGTTATTATTCATTATATACTTTTCATATTTAATTTTCTATCATTTTCATAATTTGTAATAATCATCAATCGATTTCATCAATTGATAAAAAAAATCACATGAATAATTGCTTTGGATGTATTGTAAAAGAGATCGAGTGTAAATTGAAATCTGTGATGTATATAATGTATCGATAAAGGGAATATGTTTCTATGACCTATTGTTTTGATCACTTTTAATCTCGAAATTATACTATAATAATTAATAAAAATATTTCTTTGTGTACGTATTGAAAATTGATCTTTCCTGCCGTTTAATAGTCAACTAATAGTTATTTTTTACAAACTTATTCAATATTACAATTAAAACATATAAAAAATAATGAAACTTACAAAATAAATATAAATAGATTACTTCTGTAAATGAATAAATAGTAGCTTATGTATACAGCAAGATTTAGCGGATGTTTACTGTTTAATAATTATCGTTATTAAATAATCCTAATAAATGGATACTTCTAGAGAGTAGAACTAATACCTGAGATAAATTCTTAAGAGTAAATTTTTCTATTAATTCTTCATATATATAATATATATATATATATATATATATATATATATTTCTTTAATACTATTTGTTATATTTAAAAATATAGTTGCCAAAGATACACGAGCCATAAATATTCTATGAAGAATGTGTTTAAAGAATTAACTTCTTTTTTTGTATGAAAATATATTACATTAATTGGACATAAACAATTATTCAATCGAATTATTCGATTATTGCTAATTATTCGAATATCTTTTGGCAGCTATTAGCAAATGTGATGTGATTTTTATTTATAACTTTTTCACATTCAATTCATAAATGTTAATAAAGTTGTTATTTCCACTTTGTTAAATCGCTAAAACTACCTTAATATATTCCAAAATATCTGGGTGTTTAAGAATAGTCATATGATTTATTCCAGGAAAGGCTTGATAATAAACCTTTTCTTTTTGTTTCATTTGCCAATGAAGGCAACCTTCCAAACTTCGTAAATTAACTGTACCATCACCATCTCCAGAAATAAATTGAGGATGTCCATCAATCGACATACCTGGCTTATAATATAATCTGTAAATATAAAAATATTTAAATTTTAATATTATCAATATTTGTTGACAGATATACTTTAGTTATAAATTGCATAAATAATATGAATACCTCTCCAAAGTGTCTATTTGTTTTCCATATAAACAGTGGACTTCGACGCCTGGTGGAGTAAAGTTTAATTGATACTTTTCATTATCCTTGCGAAATTCCCATCCATTAGGAACATTTATATCTCTAGAAAATATATTGATAATATCTTATCAAGGAATATTATTTTCACTGAAATTGTCCTAAATACATTATAACAATGAACACATTTTACATGAGAAAATCTTGAAGATTAGCGAGCGTATAATTTTTATTTTCCGTTTCTACCAAAACTTCGTTTTCTTTCCAAAATAATTTAGAAGGTAAAAGCCAACCTAAACTTGGACTTGTAATTTGTTCATCTTTGAGTACATTTTCCCGGAGTAAATATGCACCCAAATCGTCACCTAAAAAAATATTTATTACGACCGTATTGAATTTATGCTTGGAACATGTTTTTATGCATAAATATTCTACTACCTATAGCAAATACTTTGATCGCTTTAACCGATCCTCCCCATACGCCTGCTAAAGTGATTAAAGAATTGATATATTTATTTTTCCATGCTTGAGTTTGTTTTTGTAAAAATATTAGCGCCATGGGTGCACCCATACTATGAGCTATTAACGTTACTGGTAAATTCTTATTCATATAATACGTTTCTTCTATTAATGATTTTAATTTAACAAAATATTCTTCATTTTCATCTGGAAACAGAAATCTTCGTTTTAATAGAATAAGCAAAAAAAAAAAAAAAAAGAATGGAAATGTGAAAAAAATGTACATCACTTACTGGGTCCTTTTCTAAAGTCATACGGAGCTCCACGTAAAGAAATATTTCTAATATATCCTAAATCATTAACTAGCATATTCCCAATATCTTTAAAATATGATCCAGGAGAAGCTTTACTTGGATCTAAATATTCGACAACAAAGGGATCTCCCCAGCCCGGTATACGAATATCCACTCCATCTGGACTTCTCGTAGTTCTTGTTTCATTGTCATATATCAATCTCATATTGTCGATCTACATAATAAATTGTATCAAATAATTTGTTTTTAATTTCAATAGAGCACAGTAATATCTTATACGTACCCAACAATCTATGATTACTGGTACGAGTAATTCCAAATTTAACCAGATATTAAAATAATCTTTAGAAACTTTTTCGCAAAGATAATGCACAGCAAATGTTTTATTAAGTTTAGCTTCCACTTGACTACCTCCATCTCCAGGTACTAAGTAAAATAATAAATAATGATAATTATTCTTCATTACGTTTCAAAAGATTTCAAATGAGGTGTGTACAAGAAAGGTAAATGATAATAATCTTTGATAAAAAAAAAAAAAAAAAAAAACAAACAAAAAAACAAAGAAATAAAAATATTTACTTAAGACAACAGGGGATTTGCCTCGTTCTATAAAATTCCAAAGTTCGACGAGTTGTAGAAATGAAAAAAAAACACCAAACAGAAAGACAAGACTCGATCGCATTATTTGATAAATGTAGCTGATTAAAATTCAATTTATTGATAAATTTCACACCACTTTTGCTATCACATTGACGTAAACTACTCAGACGAGAGATATTCACACACTGACTTGTAGCTAACAGCGCGACTAAAAGTGAGTGAGCGTTATACAAATATCGTTCTTTTGTAGATCGTTTCGAACAATGTTTTTTGTTAGCCTTACATAGTCACATTTCATATTTGTCTAAATTTGTTAACTTTGTATAAGATATGAGGAGACATGACGACCACCAATAATTTCATCCGTTGCGTGGTTATTATCAGCTGATAGCACATAACAATCTGATTAATTGTATTAATAGTTCCAAGAAAATGCATCATGGCGGTAGGCAAAAACAACAAGGTTACTAAAAGGCTAATTATTTTTTGTTATTGTTGTTGTTAAAACCATTCATTTCACCATGCTTTAAATAACAGATAATAATCAACGAAAGAAATAATTGTTTAATTTATTACCACAAAATATGATACTATTATGCTATGTCATCAACAATACTGTTTATTTCAGTCAAAAATAAGTTTCGATATTAGAAATACTTGTTTACTGTTATCGAAAACACTTAAAAACATAAAAGAAAAATAAGGCAATTGTGTGTAATAAATACTTTAAAATATTTACAAGATAAAACGCTTGTGTAACATATATGTATGTATGTATATTTATATATATATTTATGTATGTATGTGTTAGGTTCCACCTAGGTCTAACAAGTAGATGTTAGACTATTGTTCGACTTTGTCTCCTAGATAGTACTAAAATAAACATTTATATTGTAGTTTGATCAATGAGATTACATAGCGGTCGTCGTGGTATTTCTCCAAAACAATAGTAAAGCGTCGCTTGTTAGTTACGCGTGAAAAGATCGAACTAAATCTTTGTGCGGAACTGTCAAGAAAATTCAGTTGGATTGCATCAGGCATCGCCGTATCGCTTCAGTGATATTTACATTTCATAGTTAACCAAGAATGGCAGACGTCAAGCAAGAACATAATAAAACCGATGACGTTGACGCTTATGGCATGGGCAATAGTGCCGATCCAAAAAATATGCAAGAACTAACGCAATACGTAAGTTTATCTTTTAAATCCTTGAACTTTACAATGACTAAACGATGATCAGAAAAAATGTACACATTATTCTTTTTAGGTCCAGACTTTGCTGCAAAATATGCAAGACAAATTTCAATCGATATCTGATCAAATTACCGGAAGAAATATCCTTTTATAAGTTGTCTTTGTATATTTATTTTCCTTTTTTATTATTTAACCTCACTAATTTTTAACAAAAAGTGCGCACGCATCGCAGGTCAACGCGCCATATTCAAATTTCGAAACACTTTAAAACATGCGTCACAGTATTAACGAGTGAAAAATATTTATCACGATATGTTATTTGTTTATTTTCAACGTATGTAATCTAATCTTTTACATTTATTTATAAAATATCCTTAATAAAACTTACTAGATGAAATGGGAAATAGAATAGACGATTTGGAGAAAAATATAGCAGATCTCATGACGCAAGCTGGAGTTGAAGGAGGTGAAAAATAATATGTTATGCATTTATACAAAAAATGAAGAGACATTTTTCGTCATAAAATAATATATATATCATTTATATGATTATTAAATTATATATATATTTATTTATATTCAGTTATTTCAATACGAACAAACTTGCACCTTCTTTGTACTGCTATGAATGCAAATTCTTTCATACGTTTTCCTTTTAAAACTTAATATAATAAACATTAAATCTAAGTTTATTAGAATGTTATTCGCCACTATGAACATCTATACGGTTACCACACAGCAAAAGAAACATAAAATATTAATTAAGCAAAAGTTAATGCTTCTTGATAATGCTTGAAGATAGTAAATACTTTAATGGAGATGTCAAGGATTTTTGATATGCAGGAAAGGGGGGTACTGTCTTGAGTATAATTTTTTTTCGTATCTTATTTTTTGAATTCTTTAATATTTGTATCTAAAAAAAAAAGTACGTAAAAACAATTAGAAAGATGAGTGAAAGCTTACATAGATTTGTGCCTAGTTCTCACTGGTGGTTTTTCTTGAAACGATTCAGAATCCGTTTCTTCCGAGCTGTTTCCATATTCTTCCACTTGTATGGATTCGGAAGAATTAGTAAAACCGGTTTTCAGAGAATCCTTCAAAAATGAAATTAATTATTTACAAGGATTAATGTATAACCTCGAGGTATTTTTATTTACGTACAGCTAGTTCTGTCGTTCGATCGTGAGGAGACTTTTGCGGAATCTTAGGAGAGGATGTAAATCGACTTGCCAAGTTTGAAAGAGAATAAGCTTGTCGAAAAGACATTCTTCGAACAGTATCCAATCTTGTAATAGAATCGGGCACGCGCATAGTTTCTCGAAATTCCTGAAATATTGTATTTCATTTTTTTATATATATGAAAAGAAAGATTTTTTTTTTCACGTAGAGAAAAAAAGAGTTCGTTAAAATATTACATATACAAGTGATAATTGCTAACAATGTTACCCCATTCATATCTCCTCGAGCATTTTGAAAGTCCTGTGCAGGAGAAATGTAAAACAATATCGCTAGTATATTTTCGAGAGTAATTAAATCAACAAATATTCGTTAATCTTACTTCAAGATCTTTAGTTTCGTTTATGTCAGCAATATCCTGATACGCCTTAGTAAGAAGTTCAATAGCTTTCGTATGAAAACTCATTTCGATCGTAACAAAATCCAAGAGTATGCTCTTAAGATCGTGTAATTTTCGTCGTTCGAAAGAATCGATTTGTTCTTCCAAGCCTTTAATCACCCTGGAAACCTCGACGGCTGCTTTCATCAATTCCGATTCCGCTTGTGACTAATAACGTTTCTAAGGACTTTAACAATGGATTATTGATCGATACATTTTAAAAGGAAATGGCATGGGTTAGAAAAAGGATACGATCATCTGTCGATTTCTTGGATTTTTTTCTCTAATTCTATCCAGTTGTTTTCTCTTTGTAAGTTCCTTATCGCGTGCTGCAAAAGTATTCTTAACGTCATCGCGCGCGTGTTTGCAAATCGTTGCATACTGAGATAATGGTGCTGTTACTTTTGCATCTAGTCTTTGAACTTGAGCGTCCCTATGAAGAATTAACTTCTTTTATTATTTCGAGTTTTGAAACATTAGTAATATAAGATTAGATAGTACAAAATAATATACCTGTAATCACCTATAGCGGATAATGTTGCGGAAAAATTTAGAAGGCCGTGTTTTAACGATCGGTTTATTAATTCTGATTCGGCATAAGTATGGATCGTTTTTGCAACTTCGTCGTTTTTGTCTCGTAATCTAAAATGAAGTTGATATATATATAGTATATACGGGTAATAATAATAAAGTGGCGTGACACAAGACATGAGTAAAATAATCGATATCTTTTAATGCTTTTACACGAGTATGTATATACGAAACCTACCTTGCTGCTTTTCTGATGAACGCCGCAAATATTGCACATAATTCGGAAAAATGTTTTTCAACGCTTGCTATTCGATCGTTCACAAATTTTGCTTCCTGTTCGCTATCGAATTATAGAAAATAATTATACGATATGTTGTTAAAATCAACAGACATGTGCGAATAAAAACGTTGACAAAAAAAAAATACAAAATTAATAAGAAAATTGTACCAAATGTTACTTTGAGATCTTGCGCGCAACATTTTTCTTCAAATGCACTTTGAACTACCTTCGAAACGTCTTGTTTTCAAGTAATTCTTTGACGCTATGTAAAATACTTATTTCATTCGTCCGTATGCAGTTAGTGACAGTTGTTTACTGACAGGTGATACATTCTAGCAGCTGTGTTCGCGCCACTCTTCTACGCTACCTTCGATCTAACTCCATGAAAATATTTATATACTTTGTTCTATTTCTTCTTTTACTGTTATATGTTTTTATAATTATACTTTCTATTAAATATACATTAATAAAATTTATTTTTTAACGAGCATTGTTTTTAAAATAATAATATACATAAACACGCGTTGCGTGTACATATATATATATATATATACGTACATCGCCATAATAGCATGAATATCAACTTTTTTTTCTTATTACAGCGAATGAATGTCCTGCGCCAGTTCCAACTAAGATTCCTTCTGAATTTGATGGTAATGAAACTTGTCTTGGTAATAGAACATCGTTAATGTCCCCGGTTCCACAATTTCCATGCTCATTCCAACCCCAGCACAATACAGTTTTTTCATCTGTATAATATATCGAAATTAATTTGATATTAAATAAAATAGTATATATTTTTAATTACCGGTAAGAGCTATATTATGCTGTGAACCAACTGAAAGTTGATGTATTTTAGGTATATTTTTTATTAGGTCTGCTTTCCAAGGGTTCGTCCTGTTTTCCCCTAATTGACCGTAGGTATTTCTACCCCAAGCAAAGAGCTTATTATCTGCAATAATACGAAGAATAAAGACTAAATGTCAATGCAATTTTTATGCTTAATCAATCTTGTTTGGTTACTAAATAATTGTTACCAGTCAAGATAATTGTATGCGTCCATCCTGTATACGTTTCAATTGCCAAATTAAAATGTACAGTAGTTAATTTTGTTGGTGAAGATATAGTTGAAAAAAGTTCATTATCAATGCCCAATTGTCCGTAATTATTCGCACCAAAGACATATATTTCTGCTTTATCTGTGGCTACCACAGTATGATGTTGTCCACATGAAACATCCGCTACATTTTTCAATTCTGAAACTTTTAATATGATTCCATTGTATTACTCTGTTTTACTGTTTTACGAACATTATCATTGATATTAAAGTTAAAAGTTTATCTTACTAAGTGTAAAAGGATAAAAATTATGTTGGTTTCTCCTGTCTATGCTCTCATTCGAATTATCTTTAAGACCTAATTGTCCTTTGCCAGCAGCACCGCATACAAAGATTCGATGATCTTGGGTTATTACAGCAGTGTGTCTTAAACCCATTGCAACTCGCTTAATTTTTTCGCAAGGCATCGTTTCAATAGGTTCATAAGAATGACGGAGGGTAGAAGGATCGATTCCTAATTGTCCAAAATTATTTGAACCCCACATATATAATTTGCCTTGGTTTGTTAATGCTGCGGAAGAGTCCCATCCACAAGCGATATCAACAATGATTTCATTTTCTAATATTCCACGTATTCTCTCGAAATTTAATTTATCTTCTTTTTCAGGCTGACCTAATTGTCCTTTATTATTCCATCCGCAGGAATAAACGTGTCCATTTTTATTTAAAATCAACGAATGTCCAGCACCGCCAACGATCTTTTGAATATCCTCTGGTTTAAAAGAATACGATGATAAATCGATTTCTTGTGGAAGGATACATTGTTCCGATTTCATACCATGTCCTAATTGTCCGTGAGAATTAGCACCCTAAAAGAGAACAAAATTAATTACAATGTAAAAATGCTTTTTGGAGTTTTCGTTACATTTTCTTAACATTCAACATTCAAATTTACCGCGTATAGAGTGCGCGCGCAACATGTGTATAAAGAAAAATTGATTTGGAAAAATATAATTAAATATGTCGGTTGATACTATATGAGATCTTAATAATATTTAAGAATATTTATAAATACCACTCAACATATTCAGTGAAGCTCTTTTTTTATTTTATTCAGTGGTATCAGAATCAACCTTTGTTTTAATGTACATCCGCATGCCATATACATATATACATACATACATACATACATACATACATAGATGCATCATATTTGCTCTGTCCTTCTTGAAACAAATATAAATTGATATTTAATTTAAAAATAAGTATTTTATTTACCCACGACAGTAGATGATACGTTGCCATTATTGGAGGAGTGTTTGCTAAGATATAATTGTAGGTTGGTTTTTCATTATCTTCAAATCTAATGTTTGAATTATTCTTAAATCATATATGAAAGAACATATGACTAATTATTTCATTCATTCGAAACACGTGAAACCGATTAATCGTATTTGGCACAACCATAGATCTTGTATACTTGTAGATCGGCTCTGTGGAACTTTTAAATTCCGTTACGAGAGAGTCCAGGGTAAAAGTAAAAAAGTTCTTGTCTTTTGAGGTTACGTTGACTGACGTGAAAAGATCGTCATCTACTGCAATATTAAAAGAATTCTTTACTAACGCACTATGACGTAAGTACTATTATTTATTATATTCTTATAATCTTTTGCAAATTTATTTTTATTTTTATATATTGTAAAATATTATGCTATAATATATATATATGATCATAATACACTTATCTTATAACATATGTTCAGCATGTCAGACTATTGATTTTTATTTATATTGTTCAAAGTGTATAAAATATGTTATTAATAAAATGCATTTTTTTTGCAGATCCAAAGTTACTTTTAAAATAACCCTAACTTCGGATCCCAAACTACCATTTAAAGTGTAAGTAATGTTACATATTGTAATTGTTTATATTCAGAAGAGTGGTAACGAGGAGACAAATTTACAATTGCTACCGATATGTCAGAATCCTATTTTTCTCAAATATTGCATGTATTTGACATATTTATTGAGTTATTGGTAAATCCACTTATAAGTACACAAGTCACAAAAGAAACCGTAATTAAAACTTTTGAATGTGCTGCATTTGTTGAAGCAACAGTAACTAAAGCGTATAATGAAAAAAAAGAAGATGTATTGGAAAAGTATCTTCACCAACATTGGCTTAAAGAAAAAAGAAGTAAAATATATAAGTGCAGTGACCTGAAATGTGCTTGCGATAAATTATTAGAAATATACATGAAAGACATTTCGATTCCTACTGCAATTGTCGATGACTTTTTGAAATTGTACATTCAATCTTTTGGGATAGATAGATTTAATACGTTTTTACTGTCTACACTCAGGAGTTCTATGTGTACGAATATTATATTAGAATCTTTAGAAGATTTAGATTTGCCCATGTCTAAAGTAGAAGATGAAGCTTTGATTATGTCATGGGAAAACGATCTTGAGAATGGTCAGCAGATTAAGGTTTCTGAGAAAATAAGTAAAATATTGGAAGATGGTCATCTTTCAAGAATTTTCTCCCTTATTATAAATTTACATAATGAAAGCAAAGTAAAAATGTTATTTATAAAATGTTTAGTACGTAAAGCCATTGAAAATGATGTAACGTTTTGTTTGGCATTATTAGATATCGAAGAGAAATTTTTTCTACGACTTTTAAATGAAAGTCATGAATTTTGTATCAATCTTGTTGACGCAGTATTTTATTTTGGACGAAATATGTCACTAATAAATAATGAATGGATATTAAATTCAACATTTAATTATAATAATTTACTTAAAATTATATATCAATTATTAAATGGTCCTGATGCTGTTCAAGAGATGGTATATAATAGACTACAGTTGGCTAAGATGCAAGCAAATAATACAATATGGTATAGCATTGAAAAAGATATCTCACAATAATGATGTGTATATAAGTAATATGTATTATTTATATATAATAGTAAATATTAATTAGCAAGAAATATCTCTGGATTTTATTAATATACTCTCTTACATTTATATTTGCTTTGAATTATATGTTATTAATAAAATGTACAAAATAAAAGTGTGTATTTAATTTGTACATTGGAAATATTCGATCTAACCAACATCTTACAATTACTTTATAATATAGAGCTATATTTACACTTCCAGACTGAGTGTACCAGAAACTGCACCATTTACTGCTGTATTGAAATATGCTGCTGAGGAGTTTAAAGTAACAGCAGCTACATCAGCTATTATAACTGATGACGGAATTGGTATTAATCCGCAACAAACTGCAGGCAAGTATTTAAAAAGAACAATAACAATTTTTTAGTGGGATTATGCGCTTTCTGATTATAAATTTGTAATTATAGGTAACGTGTTTCTTAAACATGGATCTGAACTAAGATTGATTCCTAGAGACCGAGTTGGCGAAACTAGATGATTTATAACATCGAATTGTAATTGCACTTAATTCTTTATATAAAAAATTTAAATAATAACAAATTGAAATTCAGTTTAATATATGATATCTAAATGAAAGTATATGCACTGTTGATAACAATAAGTTTTACACGTATTTAAGCATAGATATGCAATTATGAAAACATTCCATCGTACCATTTGTTTTTAAGAATATAAGTCAATCCCTACATATAAAGAATTACACACAATGTTATATTATAAAATCGAAAATATAAATGAAATGAAATGCTGATCATTATTTCAAATGTAATTAACAGTTGTTACAAATTCTATGAGATTTTAATTATAATAATGTAAATATATAAACACATTGTTTAATTAAAGTGCAGATAGGTCAACATTGTTTAAATATTAGTTAATTATATCACAGTAATAAATACACATTATAAATAAATGTAAAATAATTGAAAGTATTAATTATTTAAGTTTAAGAGTAACAAATCGGAGAGAGTTGATATGTTTACAGATTGAAATATGAAAAAGGAATGATTTGTTATCTTTTAAAATCAACTACGAATGTGTTTCTATTTATATATTTAGATAAGAAGGGTCATTGTTCTCTCTTTCAAATATATATTAGAATTCAATAATTAATTAAAGTAAATTTCTGTATGTTTTTTAGAATGCATAAATACAATATACGGATTTAAAGTTCCCGCCACATCTATGTATTTTCCATTGGTTATTACTCACGTCAAAAGAATAATAATAATTATTAAATTGTATTTAAATTTATTTATCATACATTTCATTTTCATTTAATTTCTTTTTATTCGATCTCATTAATCGATTTAAAATAATCGATAAAAACATTTATTATTTCGTCAAAATTATGATATCGATACTAGCGAACCTATCGATATAGAGTCGATATTCCGGAATTCGCTTGATAGTTACTGTCTAATAAAAGTGAATTTACGTCAAGCTCGTTTTAAAGTAGTAAAAAATCATGTCAACTGTTCTTGCACCAGAAATTCCTGCTCCAGGATTTTCTTTTGATCTCTGTCAACGGTAAGAAAATAATATTTTAACTAAGAAATTGTTGGTCAAATTTCTTATAAATGTTTATTCCGTAGTTTACCTAACCTCACTTTGAATAATATTGCTGTGTCATTTTAAACTTATTACATTTTCTAATACATAAGAATGCTTTTATATATGCATTTGTTTATTATAATTTTTATATTAAATAAATTTAATGTGTAATAACATCTACAAATTTTTATTACAGAAACAAGTTTTTATTGAAGAAAGGATTCAAAGCTCCGACTGCTGTTAAGACAGGTACAACTATTGCAGGAGTAATTTTTAAGGATGGAGTGGTTCTTGGAGGTGATACACGTGCCACCGAAGATTCTATTGTAGCAGATAAAAATTCGAGAAAAATTCATTTTCTTGCTCAGAACATGTAGTAAGTAAATGTTTATAATCATTATATTCAAATGATCAATTGTTAAATAGATTAAGATATAATACAGGTTATTTTTGTATATCTACAGCTGTTGCGGAGCAGGAACAGCGGCTGACAATGAGATGACTTGTCAAATGATAGCTAGTCAATTAGAATTACATCGTCTAAACACAGGCCGTACTGTACCTGTTTGCACCGCTAATTCAATGTTCAAGCAATTTTTGTTTCGTCATCAAGGCCATATTGGTGTAGCTTTGGTGTTAGGCGGTGTTGATATAGACGGTCCACATTTATACGCTATCTATCCTCATGGATCTAGTGAAAAATATATGTTCACAAGCATGGGGTCTGGATCGTTAGCTGCGATGGCAGTACTCGAAAGTAGATGGAAACCTGATATGACAGTATGTAATTTTCGTTGTTTTCATTCGAAAGATCATTTTTATGTAGTAACTGCTTGTACGCTAAATATTAATATAATTTAATAGGAGGAAGAAGCGAAGCAGTTGGTAGCGGATGCTATTCGTGCAGGTGTTTTCAATGATTTAGCATCTGGATCAAATGTAGATTTGTGTGTTATACGTAAAGGATCTGTCGATTATTTGCGACCTTACGATGTTGCGAATGTAAAAGGAGAACGCCAAGCATCTTATAGATATAAAAAGGGAACTACTGCAGTTCTTGCTAAAACCGTACGTCCTATAATCGTAGAGGAAAAGATAGTTCGTGTGGTGGAAGCTGAACCGATGGACACTTCTTCTTGAAGATAGAGCCTGTTCTTAATTTAATATTAAGTTGATGAAATTTGTGAATTTTCAATAAAATCTTACACATAATATATGTTATAGGTGAGGAATTTTCTAGGTTTTTAAATTTTATTTTTAGAAAACATTTGAAAATACATATTTAAAATCTAAATAGTAAATTAAAATCAACGTAATTATTTAAATGGATTTTTAATAAAATATTCACGATGCGGGGGAAATTGAAATTTTCGTAGTTAGAAGAGTCCTGCTGATTGTTTCAACCTTTGCCTCTTCCAAGCAGGAAGTTTCTCAAATTCAGCAGGCTCCATTTTAAATATCGCAATAAAATTGTCAAAGGTAAGATGCATTTCCTTTTGTGCAACATCGACACCAGTTGGTAAATTTTCAGCGTCACTTTTCAATACTGACAATGGATATTTAATAAAGTTATCAAATTCTGTTGTAACTTTTCCACTTGTTTGTATTTTAATAGACAATTCTTTCTCTTGTAGAGAACTGCATATCATTTCAAAAGATTTGTAATCTCGTAGTAAATTATGATTCCAATTTTCGAAAAGTCCTATGAACGTTGGTGGCTCCATTCCTTCCAAAAATGTAAGCAAATTCCATCATTAACAATATAATATAAAATTAGATTGAAATAAAGATATAATATACCTTGCTTGATTATGGAAATAGTTGTATTACGATCTCTGCCTGCCGGATGACTGTATAGGAATATCATTGCATCTTCTACGCACTGTTTTAAACATTTAGGAGTTGATAGTTTCCCTAACCAGATCCAAATCATATTTCCAGCATCCAGTAGCCACGTAGCCTCCGGAATAAGTGAATTTTGTCCAAATCCGAGAATTTCTGCACCAACAAAAATATTACCTTCCGTTTGACATCGAAAGAGATGTTTTTCCAGTTCCTCTTCGCTTTCAGCAACCTCTGTGCTGTACATTCCACGACCTTGTAAAAAATCAAAAGTAAGAATATCAATAGAAATAATGAAAATAATGATTAATTTGAAACTATTACCTCCTAGCTCTGCCCAGAAGTCGTTGCCTTCTTTACCCTCTAAAACGAGTGGTGCATTTTTCGGTGCAAGACGTCGAGAAGCTTGTCTGGCATCACCAGTGCTTCTAATACCACACCAGACAACTGGGCTTGACGAGAATAATATAAAGACTCCACTGGAATCTAAACTACTGGATCTCGCGGGTCTTTCAACGGCTTTCGAAGTGTACGGTGTTGATCCAAATACTCTTACAAGATATTTTTCTGGTGCTGAAGCGAGAACAGCTAAATAGTGAAATTGATGAACTATCTCTGTTGCTAATATTTCTAATAATGCTTACGAAAATCACGATGACGTCCTGCAAGTATCTTCAATGTGCCATTATATATTTGTAACATATGTGATGGCTCCCTACCCTGAGAAGCTTTTATCAGTTGACCAGATTCTTCTTCAGCTATACGACAAGCTGCATCCAAAGCAGCTTCTCTGTCCAATTTTATAGTATGAACACCTTCCCAACAGTATACCTTTAGAAAACATAATATTATATATTTTTGAAGTAAGATCTTCCATACAAATTTGGAAAGGAAATGAAGGGAGATACGCACTATCGTTCTGCATCTACGACCCTGTCCATATTTGTATCTCATAACGTAACAAGCCTCGGCATAGTAAATTCCTTTGTCAACGACTTCGATCATACCTTCCTTTTGATTTACTTTCCATAGAGTTTTCTCACCAGAACCATCATCTATCAATTGACATTCAGCTGCCATCCTAGGTCTTTCGTTCATGTAATCAGGTTCAAAAGTAGGTGGCAATGTTAACGGTCTCATCTTCGAAGGTTCCCATCCCCTCAACAAAGCTTTCATTTCCATTGGCTCGTGGCCTTGGATAGCTCTAGCAACTGGTATCGTCGCGCTATAATTTTTCTTTTTTACGAAACCACGAGCATTTCGGATAGCTTCTAGTGTTTCTTTAGTGCCAACTTCTCGTCCAACCCAGGCCCAAACACCTGTCTCTCCACGATCTATCAAATACACGGATCCAGAAGTGAGATCGCTACGTAAAATCGGGCCAGATTTTAATTCTAAGACCTTATATTTTCCAGATTGTTCGCAACATTTATAGAGTTTAACAGGAGCAGGTATGCTAATTCGATGAGGACGATCTGATGCCACTATTCTATTTGAAGGATCTAGCACAGTAGCGAAAAGTTCGCTGTCTCCTTTTGGAAGGGTTTGTTCGTAGCCATCCTCGACGATAATCACTCGAAGATTGTTGTTATTCTCTTTCCTTTTTTCTAAAATCACTGCCGCGTGTCTCTTGTGTAAAGGATCGGCGGATGATCCAAGCCACAAGAATACTGTGTCTCTGTTCGGTAAAAAAAAGTATTATTCTATCTAATGTAAACATTGCAATAGTGTATGCAATAGTGTACAATATAATATAAATATACCTTGAATAAATATCAATTAGGATGACATCCTTGGACGTAAAGTTTTCCCAACGAACCTTATCGAGTTCGATCAACATCGGAATAGTGATTCCTGAAACTCTGTGCATCGTACAGGGCGGTGTTTCGAAACGAAAATACTCAATGACAATCCTTTGACGAAAATAGGAAAGAAATCTAGGACTCTCGCGTTCTTGAGCTTCTCTTGATAGAATCGTCGCTGAAACCTGAGCATCTAATTCGTTTGCACGTAAGGCTGCAACACCGGAAACCGTAGCATTGCAGTTGGATCCAATCCAGAAATGGATGGCACGTATCGAAGGTACTCCTTTTAATTCTTTCATCTGTTCGAAACGATTAGAGTCCATGCGATATTTTTGTTTAAATGCATTTTGCAGGTCGCGTATAAGTTATTAATAATAATTTGTAGAATTTAATTGATACAATTACCGGCATTCCAGGATACGGCAGGGGACCATCTTTGGAAGATATCGCATAAATAATATAAGCCGATTCCGTTAAGAAAATTCCTATTTTATTTGTTGAAACAGGTGTTGTACGTAAACCTTGCTGCAGGTAAAATAATGTTGCATTATCAAATTTATATTTTCTATAAATTTATTAAATAACTAACTATAACTTATACTATAAGTAAAAATACCTCAATTTTCCAAACCCGAAAAGTACTGGTGTCCTTTGGTACGTTCCTGAAGATATCTTCAGGCGAATCATCGAAACGGTAACTTCTGTCATCCTGCGCGGACATATTTGATAGATCCGGATAAACCACAACGACATTCGACATATTTAACAAGGATTACGGTGAAAGTTCTCCGTGGAATGAGTCGAATGAAGAGGAAACAGGTGATTTTTTAAGCGGTACAACGAAGCGAACCAAAGTACAGGAAGTTGAATTGTTCACCCTGACTATAATTAGTAACGGTATGTTTAGAAAAGCGTGCTATTAACTGGTCAACAGTCGGTACCAAACATTTCATATTGTGCTTATCGTTATCAGCAATAAGACCTTTCCTATCGCAATAAATCGACTTTATCTCGAATAAACGAACTATTCCGTCGATCGTAGTTAATTTGTTATTAAAATATTGTTAATCTACGCGCATAGATCTTTTAAATCACTTTGGTTTAACGACTCGAACATTTTCTTTTTAAATAAATCTTCGAATTTTGTTCATCGAAAACATTTGTTTTTTGAAATTCAACATTCGCTTGGAGATTTAAATGACACCAAAAATGAATTATATTTTTTGTTTATTATTAACTTTTTGTGTGTGAATCTTTTCGTACGATCTGATAATACTCTTACTCAGTCCCGTTGAATATTCGTGCGTTTTACAACGCGGAGAAACGCCGACCGGTATCCGTATAGTACGATCGCTGTCAGAAAACTGGGGTATGAGAACTCACGAGAGTAAGATCCTCTAGCTATGATCCAAAGAGTACGTTCTCAGGTAATTCGTATCGCGTTTGTACGTGATTATATGTCCTGTCGCTTATTTCTTCTTACCTTTTCTAACATTATTATTCATAGAAATCTGTATCTATATACAGGACGTTTCTAAAGTCTTTAATCAAATGAAAAACATTTGAACAAAATAAATAATACATTTGAACGTGTCAAGACTCTTACATTTTTATATTGAAAATAGAAAATTTAATGTCAATTTATCAATAGAATTTAGATAGGTTTAATAAGATTGTAAAATCTCGTAGAAACACCTTCGTATATCGGTGCAATTTACATAATGTAAGTGACATCGAACGAACGCATTCTCTCTCCAGTTGACGCCAGTCAAGCACAAATTGGTACTCTCACTCACACGCATAGCTTAGTTCGTCGCCTTTGCCTTCCTGCGTATTCAAAGTTTTCATTCATACCCGACGTGTGACATGTATTTCCGCGAGAGAACACGTGCACACCTTATACAACTGTTGCTAATGAATATAATTAGCGTCGCATCGTTATTTTACTTAACAAATAAATCAGTTTAGATATTAAAGATTGTTACCGATACTTCTATTTATTTGCTTTACTTCATAGCGTTAAATAATGAACGTAGCTAGTTGAAACTTTCGAAATCTTGTCGTCATTCTTTAATTAACGTCTTGTACGATTCTGATCTTTGTTTAACACGACAGATGCTCGATGAGCGTGCCGCTGCGAATGCTTGACACACATGCATTGTACCTTACATCCGCTTGTGTAAACTTTTTAGTACTATTATTGCATTTTATGTGCGACCGATATTTTTACCTTTTTTTTTTTTTTTTTTCATCCTGCAGGCACAATTGTTCGAAAGAAAATCAGAATGGTTTCGAGATATAAATTAAATTAACACGCGACTCGAATAGCTGCTCAACGTTAACATTCATTTGTAACGTTAGATTTTCTAATATGTACTATTATATATGCATACATGCATATGTAGGTGCATATATAAGTGCATTCACTTATGCACTTAAATAAGTGCTGTTTAAGCATTATTCGCGACAATCATTTCTGGCAGGAAATAACGGCCATGTTGTACGTACCTACTCTACCTACGCCTACTACATCGTTAGCATATTACTTCGTTCTTCTTTGGCATCGAGTTTCGCGAAAACATAGAAATTCGTGTTCTCTCAAGCTCGACGAAGTTAACGCGCATCCTTTCTTTCCCAACAACAAAGTTACTTCAGTCAAAACATCATTTTATACTTTTCTTTATTTTTTTTTTACAGATAAAAAAAAGCATTTTCGTCAAGAAATATTTCAAACCAATCGAGAGATAAATCATTGTCGAGATTAACAAATAACGTGATCCTGGAAATGTTCGGTTTCTGTTGCCATTTCTGTTCCTTATTTTAGATTTTGTTGGTCAATATATTACACTATTCAATTGAAAAATGTTAATATAGGAATGAATATATCAATCGACAAGGGAAATAAATAGAAATGCAAATGATTTGTAAATAAATTATTGATCTATTTTTTTCAACTCACCCATTTGTTGTTAGAGAAATCCATATTTTTCTTCTTATGTTCAAGGCAAAGCCATTTAATATTATTTTTGGTTTGAAAGATAAGTAAAATCAAAGGATGATTGGTAAAAGGCGCGAAGAAGGATAATAACACGAAACGACGCTTAACTGTACGCAGAACAACCGATACTGCACATTCGTGGCTAAAAAAGAAACCATACCGGTACGGACTCGTCCGGAAGTGGGTCCGGAACTCTGATCGGCCAGCCGTAACACACTGCTAACTTAGTGAATACACGCAGAACCATGCGGGCATAGCCAAAGACGGCGTCGGTGCATTCATTCTATCTCAACTCACCTGAACGTACCTGTCCGACTTTACATGCCTCATATATCATTCAAAGTCTTTTTTCAAATCTTTTTCAACTTTCAATTCAAATTACTGCACATGTTATCTTTATTTCTATTTACATGATAAAAACATTTGTATAATTCTTCTTTTAATATATTAATTAATTATAAAAAAAAAACATGTGTGTGCAAATCTTACAAGTAAGAGGTGGAAACTTCAAAAAAGCAAATTCTGAGAGAATAAGATAGAGTGCATAATATCAGGAGTAGAATAATTTATTATATAATATTATTATAATTATTTATTTAATAATTATAAAAATATGCGCCTGTAGGGATGCAACCCTCCAGACACAGTTTGAAAATGTTGCTTGCGAGCGCCACCTGTTGGGACGGAATTATTTTGTCTGCCCGAAAGATAGGCAACCCGTAATACATGAGTGTATAAACAGTTTGGACTGAAAAAAAATTCCGTCCCAACAGATGGCGCTCGCAAGCAACATTTTCAAAGTGTGTCTGGAGGGTTGCATTCCTGCCGGCGTACATTTTTATAAATAATAATAAAAATGTAACTTGCTGTTAAAATTTAAGTTTGCTGTTAACTAAGCGCCATTTATTGGGACGGAATTTTATCACTCCTGTGCAATTGCTAAAATTAGAACGTTTTTATCTTAATTTGTATTTGTTACAAATAGTATACCCGTTATACACATGCGCGACTTTCGAAATGTCATATAAACAACAATGAATAAAAGTATTTTGATAGAGGGTAACGTACCAGTCTGAAGGTGAATTTCGAAGAGGACGGTACTCCGATCATATACTTGGTGATTTTAAACAACAATACACATTCCTTTCGATTAATTAACAATTATTTTAATGTACTAATGCTTTTTAATTGTATTACAGCAATATTTTAACAACGAAGTACAAATATTATCTTCCTGCCCCTTTCCTTCACCCAAATCTTCCCTAATTCCTCCTCACCACTTTTCAACTTCCTTCTATTTCATTCACTTTTTTAAAACAAAGGACAGATCTTTAAGCGATTTTGTTGGTTCGATTAATCGAACAAAAATTCGATAGAAAATTAAATATAAAAAAAGAAGAAACCGTAGAATTATTTTATATAATAATAATAATAATAATCTGATGATAAAAAAAGGTTTAATTAAAAAAATATAAGATGATAGATTTGAATAAAAAGAAATGTATCTGCGGATTGATTTAATTAAAATCGAACAGCATCTGAAGTAGGGTCCAATGGACTCGCAAAACGAAGAAAACGATTACTTCGATGGTATTACGATAACGTTAATGTTTCTTCTTTCTTTAAGAACAATTTTTAACATAGTAATATTTTGTCCTTTGAGAATAGAAGACAATTTTTCATGGAGTGAGAGTAATTTTTTATCCAGAACAAAAAGTGAAGTGAGTTTGGCCGGTAATATTGGTCGTAGCGTTTCTTCCAAAGAAGTACAGGTTCGATCAATCTCGGAAATCTTTATTATTGTATATTTTAATTATAGATTTAGATAAATTAGACAAATTGTTTTTTACGATGATAGGTAAGCTTTATTAATTGTAAAGAATCCAGAAGCTTTACTTCTGCTTTCGAACAACTGGACTTGGATGTTAATTCGAAAGATAGTACGGAATTAGTTCAAAGAACATGCGACGTACAAACTGTTCCATCATATGATCAAGAAGCTGAAAACATGATATCAAGTTTTCAAACTAGAGAGATCCCATCTTTTCGTTTGGTCATTCAGGGTCCTGAAATTTTAAAGTTTCAGGCAATATTGTTATACATATTTAAACTTATTTATTTTATTTGCAATGAGTAATTTATAAAGATATCATTTGATAACAGGGTACGAAACATACAATAAAAGATATTGCACGTTATTGGAAAAAAGATTCACGAATGTGGCTTTGGAAGTCTGGACATCATAAGAATAATCAACAACAGCCAGAATATTCTATGTACTTGTGTAGATCGGAGCAGAATTTCAAAAGATTTCAATGAAATAACAATTTACATTTTTTTTACTATTTCTTTTCTATAAGAATTATCTGATAAAAAGCATAATATATATTTACATATATATTTACATATACATTTTGATATTCATTTATATTCTCAGAAATAACGAACTTGATGATTTAATTTAATATCTTCTTTATTTAATATATTGTAGTATATATTTAGTATACTTTTATAACATTTATACATTTGTTCTACTTAAAAAAAAAAGAAAAAACATGAAGCATTTTGTAAAAGTTTTTATAATATGATGGTTCCTATATACATGTAGATATTCAATTAATTTTGAATTATTTTGTAAAAAGCAATATAATGAATGGTAGAAAAAAAACAATTGTAACGATCGTCGCAAACAACATATTGTAGATTATGACCAAATTCATATTGACAAAGTAGTATTCAATTTCAACCACAAACTTCAACGGAATCTAGAAGCTTATCACCATTCAGTTTTTCACCTAGTTCGAATCGTGCAAAATCTAAGACTTCTACTTGAGCATCCTTTAAAACTTGTTGCACGGAAAGACTAGGATCCAATAAAAATTCTTGATATATTAAACAAGTTTCGTTATCCACATCCAGAATTGGTTGGTCCACTGTATTATCTCCTACTTTTAACGGATTCATACCTGTGAGAGATAACAAATAATATATACATGTATTTATTATGGTATTTACTTGATTCGTTTAATAAAATATCTATATAGCAGATGTACTAACCAATGATGTGTTGACAAAGTTGAGTTCCAAGTATCATTTTATCTTCTTTTCCCTTAACGGCTACTAATGCACCATATCTTCCAAAGGATATAGGTATTGGATTCATGGGAGCTGGATGCGTACCTCCAAATACTACAGCATCACCTTGAACTCGCATACATAGAGCTCGTCTTAAAGTTATATTTTCACCGATTGAGCCTATAGTTAAGGCAGAATGATCAGCTAATGATTTGCCATCTTTTGCAGGCAATGATTTCAAAGTTTCCATATCCAATAGAGTTCTCTCGACTTCGTCATTGCTATTCAATGTCGTAGCATGATTCAATGTAGCGGTTAGCACAGTTTCTGCCAATCCATGAAATTTTTTGTTTCTCGCAACAAAATCTGTTTCACAATTTATTTCTACCAAGGCACCATAATTCTTGTCTACGATGACTGCAATCAAACCTTGGGTGGTACTTCTACCCTGTAGTTTAGCCGCTTGAACCCATCCATGTTGTTGAGCTTGCTCTTTCAGCCATGCTTCTGCCTATGGTAAGGAAGATCTAACAAAATTCTGTTGTAAAGTCATGCTCGATGAGCATCAAAATATTTTCTATTTTTTTTTTTTTTTTTTTTTTTAATAGAGTATAAATACCTTTTGGATATCATTGGAATTGACTTCTAATGCCTTTTTACAATTTGCAAAGGTAAATCCAGTTTTTTTCCTTAATTTGGCCAGAAGAGATTTGTTTGAGCTTTGCCATAGCAAATTGTTTGTGTGAAAAAATCGAATGATGCGGCTAGAAATCATCTGAAATTGAAGGATTAAAAAAACAGTTTGCATGATATAAAATGATGTAAGAAAAGGTAGTAGATGGTATAATGGAGTAACTTAACCTACAAAATCTTCTAAGATATTTACAAATTTATGAAATATTTCTTTAATGAAGTAATTAAAGGATACAAATATAAAAGTATCATTTCCTTAAAAGACAAATTAATCAACTACTTTATAACGGATCAATGATTTTCGTTGCTTGGAAACTAAAATCAATCAATCAAAGTCGTTACTTCTACCTATGTTCAACATCGAGTTTCTAAGAAAGAGAGAAAGATTTTTAATAAAAGTAAGAAATTATCATAATTTTCGATAAATGATCATGCAACATTTGCAAAAACCTATCTTGAAATTGTACATTTTTTACAATGATAAATTGATATTATATAGATTTTAAGACTTACCGTGTTTTTCCCGTGATAAAAATACTAGAAAGCGTATTCAGCGCCCTCGTACAGTGAGTGTTCAAAGTTACAACTAAAATGATCAATCGTACGAACATTTGAAATTAAGTTATTCATCGAACGAATGAAAATATAATTTCATTTACTATTGGAGATTATTATTGTTCTAAAATATATTATGAAAAAAGAAAATGGATTGTAAATGTTCTATTGAAAGAACCGATGAAATTGGAGATGCGAAAAGGAGAAAAAGACTTTCGAGCGAATTTTTTCAAACGTCTACAGTGATGGATAGCAAAGTAGAACCTTTGTTTCATTTACCCAAAGAATTGATCGATTGTAAACAATTTAAAAAGAAAAAAAGTACAAAAATTCATTTACGAAAGTTATCAACGTACACGATGCGTCGATCCGAAAAAGAAGAATTTCGTAGGTACGTTGATCAAAATTGTTCGTCGTATCAATTGTTCTCGTTTACACACCCTTGTTCCATTGACATTTTCTTTTCGTTGTAAATTGTTTGTCCTATTTATTCGTAGATATATAGTCGACTTAATAACGAAACCAGAATTATCAGCAACGAAAGAGGATTTGAAGATTGACAATAATACGAATAGATATTATTATTACATTTACCACGGTGTCGATACAACTCGTATCGCACGAATTCAAGAGGATGTTTTGAAGAAAATATTGAATTTGGTACCGCGCAAATTTCGAGATAAATTTATCGATTATACGAATCAATTATTAAAGGAAATAGAAGAAGATTTTTCGCGTAATATAAAGAGAGCTGTATTAGAATCGGCATTGTTAGATCCTTACGATGAAGAAGAAGATTTGCATTACAAGGTTTTCGAATAAATTTCATGAATACTGGGATGTTACGAGAGAAGCATTAACGTTGAAAATTGCTGACGATGATTGTATTGTAGGATGAAACTCCGGTGGTTCGAGTCGATACTCAATGTATCGAACGATACAGGTATATTCTGGAAAAGAGCTTACATTTGATAAATCCATGCATGAGAATGACTTTAGAACAATGGATAGCCGATTACGAGTACGTAATTACGGATTTGCTTCCCTCTTATTTTCCCAATATGTTTTGCTAGATATTATATTTCTTTTTTTTAGAACATTTCGTTTGATCGACTTCAAAGCCATTGCCTCGCGCAACGAGAGTTGGGATTTAATAGATTTTCAAAATTTAATCTTTCGACAAATTGCTAAGGCAAAGCGCAATTTGTACAAGTCTTGGTACGGTAGTATACAGGATATATATTTAACGGTAAGAATTAACGAAATAAACGTTCTTCAATTAAATATACACATAACGATTCTTTTATTCCAATCTAAATGTCTTTTTTTTGGTTTTTTTTTTTTTTTTTTAGAATAATGGGAAAAATGTAGTGCCTAGTCCTTTGCAACGTAAACGTTTTAAAAGATTTTTCAATTGCACTGCAACGTTGATGGAGTCTCAACTGTTGGAAGTGTGCGAAAAAACTCTTCAGGATTTTATGAAATACATCGTTACGCGCGCGGTAAAGTACATCCTTTAAACTTTCAACAACGTTTATGCAAACAACTATCGTTCATTACTAAATACTATCCTAACATTTTCTTTTATTCAACAGCCTTACAATCCTGGTTTTAAAATTAATTTAATAATCGATTCGAATGATTTGATATTCGAACCGAACTTTGAATTATTTAAGGAAACACTTTGCAATATATTAGACAATATTTGTGAAACGGTGAAACATTTCGAAAGGCTCGAAACTCAACTTTATCTCGACTGGGGAGGACCACTAGAATTTCTTAAAGTATACAGAGGACAGATTGAGAGAATTATTTAAACATTAACATTTATAAAATGATGATGTGATTTTTCCTTTTCAGCCGGAAATATCTGAGACTATGATCGAACAATTGAAAAGACAAATTAACGATTTGATTGAACGGTTGAGGCTTGCTCCAGAAACAAAATTAATGAAAATGAAAAAGTAATTAACGTTTCTCTCTCTAAAAAATTCATGTTTTAATCTTTTGATATCGTAGGTACGTGCATCTGTACGACGGTCAAGAAGAAAAAGTTGTCCATCTTTTTTTGGAAGATCAAACGAATACCTTAAAAAATTACAAAGAGAGAATTAAATTTTATCACGAATTTGCAATAAAAATACCATTAGAAATTGAGAAGACAATATTTGAAGAATTTTTTGAAATTTCTCTCAAAACATTAATCGAATTTTTAGTTAATAAAGTTGTTGGCTTTAAAGACACATTAATTAATCGTTTAATTACCATGTATCAGACTATTGTGGAAAGGTATGGATGGCGTTCTATTCTATGTTTTATGTATACGTATTAGTTATTTCTTTACAATGTATATTAAACAAAATGTGAATTGGAAATGTTTGAATATTCTTTCTAGCGTTATAGAAGAATATAAAAGCATAGCGGATCGAGCTTTGAGTGAACCACCAAACACAGCTATTTTAATGGAATTAATTGCTTATGTAAGAAAAGTCGACGATGTCACGTTAGCGAATGTAGAGAATAAATTGCATATAATAATGAATTATATTCTCCTTCTTACGGACTATTGGTTATTGACCAATGAAGAAATAATTAGAAATAACACTGCCTTTCAATGGTATCATAAGATTCCTGATATTCTAGATGAAAGTCGATTGATGTTAGAAGATAAGATGAAAGAATTTCAAGACGCTCTTAAAGGTAGCACTTTTAATTATCCAACAAATCTTTTTCACATAATAATTTTCAGTTATTTTCTGTTGGTATCAGTTAGGTATCAAAAATTCCAAGAAGAATTGGATTCTTACGCCGAACAGGTGGAGGAGGTTCAATATTGGGGAGACATAGATGAGGTGTTTCGATATCAAAAGAAAGCACAGAACTTGGAGAATAAGTTGATCGCCGCTATGGAGAAGATCGACAAATTCAACGAAGAAGAAACAGCATTTGTTTGGGAGATAACTCAATATCCATTTCGTAAAATAATCGCGGATCGATTGGCACCTTTTAAGAAACTCTTCGATACTGCTTGCGAATACTTGAGCAAATACGAGCAATGGATAAACTCTAGGATCGGTAGTTACGATCCAGAAACTATCGAAGAAGAAGTAGGCCAAGCTTACAGAGCGATTTATAAGCTGGAAAAAAGTTTTCAAGAGCCTGACTCTAGAAATTTGGCTGCTACGGTACTCGACAAAATAGAAGATTTTAAAGATCGTATACCTGTTGTCTTGACACTCGGTAATCCAGGAATAAAAGCTCGTCATTGGGCTCAAATATCGACGATTACTGACATTTCTATTCAATTTGATGACGAACTAACTCTTGGAAAAGTACTCAATATGCATCTGGACAGATATATTGGTCAGCTCGAAGGTATATCCGAGGCTGCTACCAAGGAGAACACTTTAGAGAGGGCTATGGATAAGATGGAAAAAGAATGGTCAGATTTGGTTTTTACTATCAATCTTTATAAAGACACTGGTACTTATGTGGTTGCTAGTGTCGATGAGATACAATTATTGTTAGATGATCATATTATGAAAGCTATTACTATTAGAAATTCGCCTTACATTAAACCCTTCGAATCAAGAATTCTGTACGTTCGATTTTTTTTTTTATCTATCTCTGTTTTTTCAATTTGTCTATAACAATTTTGTAATTTGATTTATCCTTAATAGGAAATGGTTAAACAAGTTACATTTATTGGAAGATATTTTAGATCATTGGTTGAAAGTTCAATCGATTTGGATGTATTTGGAACCGATCTTTTCGTCACCTGATATTCAACAACAAATGCCAGATGAAGGTCGAAGATTTTCAGCGGTCGACAAGACGTGGCGTGATATTATGAAAACTGTCGAGGCCGATCCTCGCGTATTGACCGTCATCGAAATAGATAAAATGTTGGAAAGGTTGAAGAAAAGTTTTGTTTTTCTCGAATTAATTCAGAAAGGTCTTAATGAATATTTGGAAAAGAAAAGACTTTTCTTTCCTCGCTTTTTCTTCTTGTCGAATGACGAATTATTAGAAATACTTTCGGAGACGAAAGATCCTACAAGGTAAAAAAACATTTGAATACACGATCAGTACATGTCATGTAACATTGTAATATATTGATCATATGAAATGTAGAGTTCAGCCACATTTGAAGAAATGTTTTGAAGGAATAGCCAAATTAAAGTTCAACGAAGAACTCGAAGTGTTAGCAATGAGATCATCCGAAGACGAAGAGGTTCCTTTGACAAATGTAATATCGACTATGGCAGCAAGAGGACAAGTTGAGAAATGGTTGATCGAGCTGGAAAGGATAATGCGAGAAAGCATACGCCAAGTCGTAAAAGATGCGATAGATGCTTATTTCATAAAGGAAAGAACTGCATGGGTTTTAGATTGGCCGGGACAAACGCTTCTTTGCGTTGGACAAATGTATTGGACTCAGCAGGTCGAAGAAGCAATGTTACGAGGCGTTGACGGACTACGCGAGTATTTTGATCAATGTCAAACAGAATTAAATAATATCATTGTGTTAGTAAGAGGAAAGTTATCCAAGCAGAATCGTATTTCATTAGGTAATCAAATGTATTTAACGTTATTTTAGTAATATTTCTCCTTTTCTTCGTTAAACTTGATCAATTTTGGATGTTTCCTGAATATTAGAAGCTTTGGTTACATTGGACGTTCATGGAAAAGACGTGCTAGAAGATCTCTGCGAGGAAGAAGTTACGAAAAACACCGATTTCAGGTGGCTTTGTCATCTTCGTTATTATTGGCTGGTAAATAGAATTTGGATAAATATTTAAATACAATCATTTAGATTGACACACGTATATCGTATCGATTCTCTTTGATTAGACCGAGAACATGTGGGCTTATATGATAAATTCGTATCTACCATATGGTTACGAATATCTTGGAAATACATCGAGATTAGTGATCACTCCGTTGACCGATCGTTGTTATCGAACATTGTTCGGAGCTTTGAATCTTCATTTGGGTGGGGCACCCGAAGGACCGGCAGGAACTGGAAAGACTGAAACTACGAAGGATTTGGCCAAGGCAATGGCCAAACAGTGCGTCGTTTTCAATTGTTCCGAGGGTCTCGATTATTTAGCTCTTGGTAAATTTTTCAAAGGTATTGCTTCTTGCGGCGCTTGGTCTTGCTTTGACGAGTTCAATCGTATCGATCTCGAAGTTCTTTCTGTCGTTGCGCAACAAATCTTAACGATACAACGAGCCATCCATGCCAAAGCTGAAAAGATGATCTTCGAGGGAACGGAGATCTTTTTAGATCCTACCTGTGCTATTTTTATCACGATGAATCCTGGCTACGCCGGAAGATCGGAATTACCGGATAACTTGAAAGCTTTATTCCGACCGGTTGCTATGATGGTACCGGATTACGCGCTCATAGCTGAAAATACTCTTTATTCTTATGGTTTTTATAACGGAAGACCTTTAGCAGTTAAAATCAGTACTGCTTACAAGCTATGCTCCGAGCAACTTAGCAGTCAGCATCATTACGATTACGGTATGAGAGCTGTCAAGTCGGTCCTAGTTGCTGCTGGAAATTTGAAATTGCGATATCCCGACGAATCGGAAGATGTATTAGTATTGAGGAGTATCTTGGACGTTAATTTACCAAAGTTCCTCGTCCACGATCTTCCACTATTTCAGGGAATCGCTTCAGATTTATTTCCTGGCATTGTGCTACCTGCTCCAGATTACACGCACATCAACAAGTGCGCGAGAGACGCCTGTCGCGCAGCAAATATTCAATGTACGGATTTCTTTCTCGAGAAAATACAACAAATCTACGAGATGATGATCGTTCGACACGGGTTCATGATCGTTGGTTTACCCTTTGGTGGAAAGACTTCCGCTTACAGGATGTTGGCCGATTGTCTGGCTTTGCTCGAGGATCGTGGACTGATGGATGAACATCGAGTAGAGATTACCGTCATCAATCCCAAGGCTATCACGATGGGTCAACTCTATGGTCAGTTCGATCCTGCCTCTCACGAGTGGAGCGATGGAGTGCTCGCTGTTAGTTATAGGGCATTTGCGGTTTCTACTAACGAGAACAGAAAGTGGTTGGTATTTGACGGTCCCGTAGATGCACTTTGGATAGAAAATATGAATACCGTATTGGATGACAATAAAAAGCTCTGTCTCACCTCGGGGGAAATTATCCAGTTGGCACCCACCACAAATTTGATTTTCGAACCCATGGATTTGGAGGTATTTCAGATTATACGTCACAAATATGTCCACAATAATTTAATATTTATATGTTTTTTTGTTTAGGTTGCCTCTCCAGCTACCGTATCAAGATGTGGTATGATCTATATGGAACCGATCAGTCTTGGCTGGAAACCGCTGTTAACCTCTTGGCTAAATACCCTACCTCCTGCGATCCACGAACATCTTAAAAATCATCTCAAAGAAATGTATATGAGATTCTGTCCACCTCTCTTACACTTGATACGTCGTTGCGGGGCTAAGGTAGATATTAGTTTTATATATTTTCCTTCCTATTTCCGATCGATCAATAACTTGATTACCTTTTCGTAATAAGGAAATGATTAATATGCCGGATGCCAATTTGACGAGATCCGTTATGCATCTTTTTGATTGTTTCATGGACGATTTTTACGATGAAAATTATATGCAATCATTATCGGATTTGGATGTTAGAGCTCAAGTCGAGGTAATATTTTTCGTGTGACGTGGCGTGGCGTGTTAAAAAGAAAATGATTAAAATATTATTTCATGTTACAATAGGGTTGCTTCTTATTTTCGTGTATTTGGGCGATGGGCGGTACGCTGATGGTAAATTATCGAGAATGGTTCAACATACTTTTTCGAGCTTTATTAGCTTTAGAATTTCCAAATGATGTGAGAGAACGTTTTTCCATAACCGATGAAATTCCTGATTTAAAAAAGCCCTATGTCACCATTATACCAACCATTGGATTAGTTTACGATTATAAATTTGTAAAAGAAGGTAGAGGAAAGTGGAAACCGTGGGCTGACGATCTGCAAGATGCTCCAGCAATACCAAAAGATATATCAGTAAATCAAATAATTGTTACTACCATCGAGACAATAAGATATTTTTATCTTTTTCGAAGTTTGATATGTCACCATAAGCCTGTGCTTCTGGTTGGTCCGACTGGTACAGGAAAGTCGGTATACATTATGGATTTTCTTCTTAAGAGGAATAATTCGGAGATATTCAAGCCACTACTTGTAATATTCTCGGCACAAACTACGGCCAATCAGACGCAGGATATTATTATGAGTAAATTGGATAGAAGGAGGAAAGGGGTATACGGTGCTACACCTGGTTCTCATTGCGTCGTTTTCGTCGATGACCTTTCCATGCCGCAAAAAGAAGAATTTGGTGCTCAGCCACCCATCGAATTGCTCAGACAATTATTGGATCATTGGACTTGGTACGATTTCAAGGAAATCGTGCCGATCAAGCTGATGGATGTCCAATTAATTTGCGCAATGGGACCACCATCGACCGGTCTCGATGTTACGCCCAGATTCAAGAGGCACTTTGTTACCTTAGCCGTTTCCGAGTTTGACGATGATGTCATGGTTATGATATTCAGTAAAATTATGTCTTGGCATTTGGAAAATCAAGGTTTTTCTCCTCTTTTCGATTGTTGCATTGATTATATCGTTAATGCTACGTTGGATATTTATAAGAAGACAAAATTACATCTTTTACCTACACCTACCAAATCTCATTATTTATTCAATCTGCGTGATTTTTCAAGAGTCATTCAAGGCGTCTTACTTTCCTCTCCCGATTCAATCACTAGTCCCGTAAGCGACAATGAATACTATCATTTATTCTACACTTATTACATTAGTGTATTAAATGTTTGACAATGTTTTCTAGGTTGCGATGAAACGTTTGTGGGTTCATGAAGTTCTTCGTGTTTACGGAGATCGTCTCGTAGATGATATTGACACTCGATGGTTGGTTACAGAATTGAAGAAAACATTGAGCGATCATATGAAAGATACTATGGAAAATCTTTTCAAGGATCTACTTGAAAAATCTGAAACTGAGGTAAGTTAAGTTTGGCAAGAAATTATAGTCGTATATACGTTTCTAATTTATTTGTATATCTCATCAGATAACGGAATTGCATCTACGGAATTTAGTTTATTGCGATTTTCATGATCCATTAGCTGATAAAAAATTATACATAGAGGTTGACTTGGATGAACTTACTGTCGTAGTGGAAGATTATTTAACAGAATATAACGAGTTATCGAGAACGCCCATGAATTTGGTTCTCTTTAGGTTTGAACTCTTTTTATACTATGTAGGTAAGATTCGTTAGGGGTTTTGACGTAAGATATTTTCATCAGATTCGCGATAGAACATCTTTCAAAGATTTGCCGAGTAATGATGCAGCCACGGAGTCATGCATTGCTAGTTGGCGTCGGTGGATCCGGTCGGCAATCGTTAACGAGGCTAGCTGCTCACATCTCGGATTACGATCTTTTCCAAGTGGAGATGTCTCAACAATATGGTCAACACGAATGGCACGAAGACTTGAAGAATATTTTGAGAAGAAGCGCTGCTAGCGACTTGCACACCGTATTTCTTTTTATGGACACTCAGATTAAGGAGGAAACTTTTCTTGAAGATGTGAGCAATTTGTTAAATTCCGGCGAAGTTCCGAATCTTTTTACCAGCGAGGAGAAATCAGAGATATGCGAGAAAATGCGACTAATCGATAGGCAGAGAGACAAATCGATGCAAACCGATGGAAGTCCCGTAGCTCTATTCAACTTTTTCGTACAGACCGTTCGCGAACATTTGCACGTGGTCGTGACGATGTCACCAATCGGTGACAATTTTCGAATAAGAATTCGTAAGTTTCCTGCATTAGTCAGCTGTTGTACGATCGATTGGTTGCAACCTTGGCCGGAGGATGCACTCCTAGCTGTGGCTACTCAATTTTTAAACGAGATTGAAATGCCCATTGAAGAACGCGACGCTTGCATCGAAATGTGTCAATTCTTTCATACGTCAACGCAGGATCTATCGAAGGAATTTTTAAAAAAGGCCAAGAGACATAATTACGTCACTCCCACCTCTTATCTCGAATTAATTAACACGTTCAAAGATCTTTTGGGAAAGAAAAGGAAGGAAGTTATCGAAGGTAAGAGAAGATACGAAGCGGGTCTTGAAAAGTTGGATAGTACACATAGACAGGTAGAAAAGATGCAAGAGATATTGGTGGCCTTGCAACCAAAATTGATAATCGCTGCCAAAGATGTCGAAGCGATGTTTCGTGATGTTCAAAATGAGAGCGAAGAAGTTAGCGCGATGGAGAAAATTGTCAAAGAAGACGAACAAGCTGCTTTGGTAAATTCCTAATAATATATACGAATATTCGTGTTAATGTGGTTTTCCGCTCACACATATTGTTTCAAATAATGCAGGTGGTTGCGGGAGAGGCAGATGCTATACGCGCGGAATGCGATGCCGATTTACAAGAAGTTATGCCGATATTAAATGAAGCAAATGCCGCCTTGAACACCCTGACACCCCAAGATATTCAGATCGTTAAATCTATGAAGCGTCCTCCAGCTGGTGTTAAATTAGTCATGACGGCTGTTTGCATATTAAAGGTACGTGTAACTATTTTCTTTGATATTTTCGTAATTACGTCAATAATACTTCATTAGGCGATATTAAACGCGAATATATCTCACAGGACGTGAAGCCTGAAAAAGTTCAAACGCCAGAAGGAATGGTAGACGATTATTGGAAGGCCTCTCTTCGAATTCTCGGCGATATGAAATTCCTAGAATCCCTTTTACTTTTTGACAAAGATAATATCCCGGAAAGAATAATGACAAAGATACGTACGACTATATTGACAAATCCGGATTTCGATCCTGAAAGAATTAGACACGTTTCTACGGCTTGCGAGGGTCTATGCAGATGGGTTTTCGCGTTGTCCGAATACGACAAGGTCGCTAAAGTCGTTGCACCTAAAAAGGAAGCATTGGCTCAAGCGGAAGCTGACTATACGGAAGCCATGGATCAATTGAATCTAAAGAGGAACCAATTGCAAGAGGTGCAAGAAAGATTGAACAATTTGCAAACGCTTTTGGCTCAGAGAGAGGCCGAATACAAAGCTATGACCGATGAAGTTCACGATTGCGAGGAAAAACTCCGAAGAGCCAAAGAGTTGATCGGTGGTTTAGGGGGAGAATATACAAGATGGTCTGACACCGCTGAAGCCTTGGGAGAACGTTATTATACGTTGACCGGTGACGTTCTTATTGGATCTGGTATCGTAGCCTATTTGGGTGTATTTACGATGCAATATCGACAGAAACAAATTGAAAATTGGATACAAATTTGTACGGATCTCCGTGTTATTTGCACGCAAGATTATCAGTTGACTCAAGTCCTTGGCGATCCTGTCTTGATCAGATCGTGGAATATTTTTGGTCTTCCGAGCGATCTCTTCTCGATCGATAACGGTATAATTGTGACGAATGCTCGACGATGGCCGCTCATGATCGATCCTCAAAGTCAAGCGAACAAGTGGGTAAAGAATATGGAGAAGGCCTCTAACATTAACGTTATTAGATTGGACCAATTGGATTATATGAGAGTTCTCGAGAATGCTATAACGTTTGGTCAACCTGTCTTACTCGAAAACGTTGGCGAGGAATTGGATGCCGCTCTGGAACCTCTTTTATTGAAGCAGACTTTTAAATCTGGCGGTGCGATTTGCATTAAAGTCGGGGACTCCATTATCGAGTATTCCGATAACTTTCGGTACGTTTCTGCATCTACGTCCAAATTTACGATATTTCTTTAACGATAAAACTTTCGATTAGATTCTTCTATTTCGCGTTCTTCCGTCGCGTCGTAGATTTATCAAGTCTTTCGACATCATTTCGGCATATATTTTTCAGATTTTACATCACCACGAAATTACGCAATCCGCATTATTTACCCGAAGTAATCGTCAAAGTTACATTGTTGAATTTTATGATTACCCCAATTGGATTGGAGGATCAACTTTTGGGTATTGTCGTTGCGAAAGAGAGACCAGATTTGGAGTCGGAAAAAAATCAATTAATCATTCAGGGTGCCGCTAATAAAAAGTACGCGAAATTTAATATACTGCAATTGTTATATTAATCCTTTATACAAAATATATGATATTATTATTTTGCGTAGAATGCTGCAGGAAATAGAAGACAAAATATTGGAAGTGTTATCCGGATCTGAGGAGAATATTCTCGAAGATGAAACAGCGATTCACATTCTCAGCTCGTCGAAAATTCTTGCCGATGAAATTCAAGTTAAACAAGCAGCTGCCGAAGTTACCGAAAAGTCTATCGATGCTGCAAGATCGCAATACAATCCTATTGCCGTTCATAGCACCGTTCTCTTCTTTACAATTGGTAAGATTTCTACAAACAAACTATTTCTCACATATCGTCAAACTAACGATATCACACAAAACATTTGCGTTTCCAGCGATTTTGGCGAATATCGATCCGATGTATCAATATTCTCTGGTTTGGTTCGTCAATCTTTTTAAAAATACCATCGATAATACACCAGTAGTCGACGATATAGGACAACGATTGCAAGATCTTACCAAGTTTTTCACTCGTTCCCTTTATGTGAACATATGCCGGTCGTTGTTTGAGAAAGATAAGCTTCTTTTTTCTCTACTTTTGGTGGTAAATCTGTTGAACAAGAAAGGAGAGATATCGATGACACAATGGATGTTTCTGCTAACAGGCGGTGTCGGTCTTGAGAACCCTTTCGAAAATCCTACCCAATGGCTTCCTACAAAGTCCTGGGATGAACTGTGTCGTTTGAACGAAGTTACGGGTTTTTTGGTAAGAGAACAAGAATTCACTTTTTTTTTTTTTTCTTACTTCTTTTCCGATCAAAATAAGGCTAAAGTATGGAAACTTATCTTCAACTTTTTATTTTCAATATTGCTTCTAATCCAATGGTTTTTACATTGACAGGGAATCAAAGATGTTTTTGTAAAAAACATTGAAGCTTGGAAATCTATATTTGACGACAAGGAACCTGATAAATTAACTTTTCCCGAACCTTTTGATAAACTTTCTACGTTTGAAAGAATGCTAGTCTTGCGATGTATACGACCTGACAAAGTTGTGCCTGCTGTACAACATTTTGTCGAAGGTAAATAATACAAAATATAATTGAATCTTCATTGGATATTTATATTTCATTCTCTTTTGTAGAAACAATTGGACGAGAATTCATCGAACCACCGCCATTCGATTTGATATCTTCTTACGCGGATTCGCATTCTTGTATACCCCTTATATTTGTTCTAACACCGGGTGCCGATCCTATGGCAATTTTATTGAAATTTGCCGATGATCAAGGCTTTGGAACCAACAGACTTTTTTCCTTGTCCCTTGGTCAGGGACAAGGTGTTATCGCTGCAGAACTCATCGACGAGGGTACGAAAAATGGTACTTGGGTCGTTTTACAAAATTGTCACCTTGCTAAAAGTTTTATGCCACATCTGGAAAAGGTGAAAGATTCTACCAGTTGTCTGATGTTATCTTCATAAAAAGACAAATATAAAATGAAAAAATATCTTTTCAGATTTGCGAGAGTTTTACCAGCGAAACGGTGCATCCAGATTTTCGATTATGGCTGACTAGTTATCCGGTTGATCACTTTCCAGTTAGCATACTTCAAGATGGAATTAAGATGACCAATGAACCTCCCAAGGGATTACGTGCTAATATCACCAGATCTTACTTACAAGTAATACTGACGATGATATATATATATATATATAAATATTGTATAGACATAAAAATGTATTTTCCAACGATACGTAGGATCCCATGTCCGACGAAGAATTTTTCGAATCTTCGAAGCAGAAAGAAAATTTGAAGAAACTTTTATTTTGTCTGTGCTTTTTCCATGCGATTGTGCAAGAACGAAGAAAATTCGGTCCGATCGGTTGGAACAATCAATATGAATTTAACGAGACCGATCTTAGAATCAGTGCTTTGCAGTTGAAAATTTTCTTGGATCAATACGACGACGTTCAGTTCACTGCACTGAAATATTTGACAGGTACGAAACAATAATAATTATTCCGACGAATTGTTTTTAGATACGAACGAAAGATGATTATTTTCAGGTGAATGTAATTACGGTGGACGCGTAACCGACGAATGGGATCGAAGAACGTTAATAACGATTTTGAAGAAATTCTATTGCGTTGAATCCATAACTATAGAAAATTATTCCTTTGACGAAAGTGGTATTTATTATGTGCCGCAAGTAGATAAACACGAAGAATTTCTGGAATATGTTAGATCGTTTCCTATGACAACCGCTCCCAGCGTTTTTGGCATGAACGAGAATGCAGACATTATAAAGGATCAACAAGAAACGCATTTAATGTTCACGTCGCTCCTGACTACTCAGGTATATTTCAAAAACACAGCAAATGATTTCATTCAAATTTAATCTTCATTTACAATTCATTATAATTTTATTCTCTTTGATGTCGATTGCACAGGAACTGCAAGTGGTAAAGGTAAGTTACGTTTTATAAACAAAGTGAGATATAAGATGTACTAATTAGATTTTTTTTTGCGTTGCGTGGATTAGATCAAAAAATTAAGGAGTAAGGTAAAACCAAGTATTAATGTTCGATGTGGAAAATGACGAATTGATATTAATACGATATATTTTTTTTCTATGTAGGACACAGCTGAAACTGAAGTGGATACAGGAAAATCTCAAGACGATATTGTGTATGGTGTTGCCGAAGACATTTTGACAAAGTTACCGAATAATTTTGACCTCGCAGTTGCATTAGAAAAATATCCTACCCTTTATGAAGAAAGTATGAACACAGTATTGGTGCAAGAAATGGGAAGATTCAACAAGCTCCTGCAAACGATTAGGCGCAGTCTCGTGAACGTACAGAAAGCGATTAAAGGTAAACGATAAATCGGTATTCAAGCTTCAAAGACTTTTCACAGCATTGTAAAATTGACCTTAGGTTTGGTGATCATGAATCCGGATCTCGAAGAAGTATATACGTCGATAATGATAGGAAAGATATCACAAATATGGATGAGAAATTCCTATCCATCTTTGAAACCGCTAGGCAGTTATATCCTTGATTTCTTGAAAAGATTGGCTTTCCTCCAGGTGATCATTTAAATTCAATTTGTGTATATCACATAACTTACAACGATACAAATTGTTTCTTTCATTCTATCAACAGACGTGGTACGACGAAGGTGTACCAATAACATTCTGGATTTCTGGATTTTATTTTACTCAAGCTTTTCTAACCGGTGCACGACAAAATTATGCGAGAAAGTACCAGATACCAATAGATTTGTTAATATACGATTTCGAACCATTGCAAGAGACAACATTTTATTCACCACCCGAAGATGGAGTGTATGTTTATGGTTTATTTCTTGACGGGGCCCGTTTTAATAAGTCGACTATGCTATTAGACGAATCCTTGCCAAAAATTTTATACGAAAGGGTACCATACGTAAGTGTTCTCTCATTAATACTCTAACAATCTTATTAAGTTTTATCTCCTATTTTAGATATGGTTTATTCCAAAGAAGAAAGAAGAAATAAGGGAAAGAAATACTTACATTTGTCCAGTTTACAAGACGGCAGAAAGGAAGGGTATACTTTCAACAACCGGACATTCGACGAACTTTGTAATCGCGGTATGGCTCCCGACGGAACTTCCATCCGAGCATTGGATTCTCAGAGGCGTCGCCATGTTGTGTCAATTGTCGCATTAACGGAAACGAGAAAGGGGATCACTAGGCTTCTATAATCTTCCTTGTCTCTTCCTCTCTCTCTCTCTCTCTCTCTCTCTCTCTCTGTTTCAATACGCGCGCGCACTGCCATCATAGACCAAGAGAAAAAGAAAAAGAAAAAGAAAAAAAAAGGAAAAGGATTGAAGGCCTTGAAAGAAGCCTTCAATTTTGTTTACACTTCATTCATGCACAATCACGTAGACGTGTAACGTTGACCGGATCTAACAACGATGAGAATTGACGCGTAAGAACCCATACCCGAAGCGACGATATGGATTTTATCGGCAATTAAAAATAGCCTTTGCTGCTTCACACTTGACGTCCTTCGATCGAAACATCGACATTTTATTTTCTCCTTGCATTCAACAATTACTTAACATTTAATACGAGTATATATGTTCATTTATTTATCAGAAGAAATGATATAAATTTTCGTAAGGGTTTGCGTTAGGGGATGATTGCAAGTACACGTAATATTTATCGAGAATATCGGATAGGACTATTGGAAAATATCGGAGAAAATTCATATTTTTCGATACGCGCGGCTAGCTTTCGATGAAAATATTGCAAAAGGTAATGCGTCTCTCTCTCTCTCTCTCTTCCTCTCTTTTTCTATTTTTCTTTACATACGAAAGAGGATATTCGAGCTCTCGTTGCAACATCAAAGCCATCTTTGGAAGAAGGCTAGGCGAATCGAGCTTGCGAATCGAACGGCTTTCCATCGTATAAACTCAACATTTTCATGCAAGCTGCATCCAACTAAATCCAACGGTACACGTTCGACGAATAAACTCGCGCATACGAGCTTAACTTATCCCCGATGTATATGCTAGAACTCATCGTATTCCGCTCCACACAGTTAACGTTTCAAACAAAACGGAGCTTTTGTTCGATCAGTCGACATCATCGCGCGTTCGACTTATTCGCGTTTTTATAACCCAGGGTAAAACCTAGCATCGATATTGACTAAATATTTCACTCATTTCAATTCACACAATTCTAACTTTATTCTTGAACGAAGAAGAACGATGGACGTACGATTGATTGATTGATCAAAAGAAAAATCTCCATTCGATTTCATCCACAGACGTTAGTTCCTCCTATTCGATTAGTTTCAACCTTTAGGACTATACTTCTTTCATTCTCCCCTATCGTCAATCTTTGTAAGACGATTGATCTACGCGATCACGAGACTTTTACCTTGAAAAATCTCTATCGTGATCGTTCGTCTTCTCTTCTCTTCTCTCATGAACCATCGAAAGGATAGAAAATTTGAAGAAAAGGCTTTTGCTAAGAGAGAGTTTATCTTTACTCGAGAGAACTTTCGATATCGATCGCGATGAACTTATATTGTGAACATAGTTGTGCCAGATATTCTCTACTACTTTAAAATAACTCAAATTACACGTTTCGTTGGGATAGATACACGCAATAGTAGAGTATGGTATTTAACAAAGAGAAATGAATCGATAGGAATTATTCGTAGGACTCTCCTCCGGTAAGGATCTTTCGCGTTCGATTAATCGAAACGACGATCATCTTGGGTTCTTTTTTTCTCAAGTAAAATGTGAATTCTTATGCAAATCGTTATCGTAAATATTGCAAGGGGATATCAAGAGGGAGGGTGAAGGCAGGTGCGGGAGAGATTTCGAAGGCGAGGCAACGTGTATACGTTTGTACGGCTTTTGTGAGAGAAAGAGAGATAGAAGAGCCGCGGGCGTCGTGGTAGCATCGAGGTGGAGGAAAAGTGGGTGGCGATGTGTACGTGTGTGCGTTACCTCGGTGGCGGCACCCTGTCTACCCGGACCGAGATCGCCGGAGGCTCGTTGCCTAGCGACCCCGTATTGATCTCTCCCCGTATCTCGGATTTTCCCCTTTCTCCATCCTATCCCTCATACTCCAGCTTCCTCCCTCTTTCTCGTCCCCGTCTCGTTAATCTTCGTCCTTTCTCCTACGTCCCTTCTACAAAACGATATTCCATCATTCTTTCCTTTCGTCCCAACAACTCCCCCTTCCACATGATTTTTTCCTTTCCTTCTTTTCTCCTTCTCGATGAATTTTCGCATGGGCTTTCAAGTGCCCGGCTATCTATTAATATTACGATAAACGAGTAGTTGCGTTAACGGTCCATTCCAATAAGTTTGTAGAAGAAAAAAAAAACAACAAAATTTGACCGATTAATGGTCCTTTTTTTCCTTCATTATTGCGTACGAGTACAAAACGTGAGAGTACAAATGACTGTCTACTTTATTTTGAGGGATAATTTGATAACTAAAAATATCTACGTGATGAAAAAGTAGAGGAAGGAAGACCTTTTGTAGACCCTTATTCGTCAAGATTTTCTTCTTAGCAATCTCCATTTATTTTTAATACCCTATTAGAATTGGTCCATATATATATATATACATCCATGAGAACACACATTGATATAATTAGTAAACAAGCGAGTGAAATTTAAGATCGAGTGTCTTGGCGAAATTGCCATTGGAAGACGGTCTTTTATGTAAACGATGGGTTGGTTCCTTGTTCACCGATCGACTATATCGCATCTCGATCAAGTTTCTCCAATATTGGGAAGCCGAGAAGAGCAGATAATTTGCAATCAGTACGGATCGTAAACGGGGGCGTGTCAGTTTCTCGAATATATATAGCTCAAATAAAAGTTACTTTCTGATCTATCTGCTGATGCAAAAGGTGAGAGAGACTACGAGAGAAAAGAAGAAATTAAAGGAGCAAGGGTAGATAGAGCCTCGAAAACTCACATCCAGACCTTCTTTCCACCCTTCTTTCCACCCTTCTTTCCACCCTTCTTTCCACCCTTCTTTCCACCCTTCTTTCCACCCTTCTTTCCACCCTTCTTTCCACCCTTCTTCGAGCTAGCTCGTTCCAACCTGCACCTACCAACCTCGGTTCCTCTTTCTCTTCTTTGCTCTTCTTATTGGCAAAGTGACCTTCATCTGAATTTCTTTGTCGCACCTACATTCACCCCCTTTGAACCATCGCCAACGGACGAGAGGAGAAAAGGGAGAAAATGAGTGGGAAGGGATTAGAAACAACGAGCTTGGTATGATTTTACTTTTTCTGCCTTACATTCGACCAAATTGTTTGTTTGCTTCTGACAGGAGGATAACGTTCCGCTACTTCTTTCTCTTTCTACGATGTATTTTTTATCAAAGGCTTCATTTTCTTTCGATTTCCGGCTTGTTAGGACCATAATTATTTTACCTCGATGATGATGATGATGATTATTATGATGATTTCATTTGTCAGACTAAATTTTGTTCATTGTAGATATGAATAAATGACTTTTTTTAAACTAACCATAGAATGTACGTTGATCTTTTCGCGATAACAAGGAAATTAATATTAAATGTTCATTATATTTTTTCAATGTTTTTCTTTTCATTATAAAACGATCCGCAATTTTTTGGTTCGCATCAAGGAAAAAAAAATAACCGCAAAAAACATAGGTGCATTGCCCTTTCTTACGCAATTCAATTTATTATTTTATACGAGTACTTGCTTTTTGTAAAAGTAAACAAAATATTTCATTAAAAAGTCTAAATTTAGGACTCGAACTGTCGTAATAAAATTAGTCGAATGAACATTATTTTCTCAAAATATTGAAAAAAAAAATAGTAATGAAATTTGAATGAGATGGACCATTAATAATAAACGTTATTGTATGGATTAATTTTGGTAGGGATGATTGATCGTTCGAGTAATTGTTAATTATCAATATTATTAATCGTTTATTAAAAATAAGTTGATTTTTCTTTACAATATCACATTAATTTCGTGATTGTTTATACATTAATTAATTAATTTTATTTCAAGCAAAAGTATTTTTTGATATGCCGCAATAATATCAATTTATACATACGATTGTTAGTTAATCGAACAAAAATCCATTATTAATTCGTAGGGACAACAATATTTTTCTAGTAGAATTCTAAAGATTTTTGTATCAAAAAAAAAAACAAAAAACAAAATGGTAACAATCAGATACGAGATAAAACAACCAACGGAAGTACATTAGAGATAACGATTGTGGAAAAGCTCGAATGTGTAGTAGAATATAAAGGAAAAAATAATGGTTTGAGCATCTTCAGCGAATAATGGATGGAACTGCGCGAGATAAATTTAACGACGACGACGACGACGACGACGAAGAAGAAGAAGAAGAAGAAGAAGAAGAAGAAGAGGAGGAGGAAGTGGAGGCTAGAAACGTCGACGACCATGATCGTACAAAGTTGGTAGAGTTGGGCTGTGGCTGGCCGAGAATGTATGCGACACATCAATTGATATTGGTAGTGGTGATGTTGCTGGTGGTGGTACTGGTAATAGCAGCAACAGAGCTGGAAGTGGTGGTGGTGGTGGTGGTAGTAATAGTAATCGCAATTGTAGTAGTCATTGTAGTAATAGTAGTAGTAGTAGTAGTAGTAGTAATATGCTTGGTCCAGGATGGATGCTGCGAGTAAGGGTGGGTTGCCAAGCAACGTCCGTCCAACCCTAAGCTCTCCCCACTTCTCTCATTTCGTGCTCGACGACTCGGTCGATACAACCGGCCGTTTTCGTCGTACACCCGGGAATTCCCCAATTTCCATTACGGGGGTTCGTACTTTAAGTCCGACCTCCATCCCCTTTTTCTCTCTTCCATCCTACACTCGCGTCCGATGGGACACTTAAAACGATTGCGAGTTTCTTCCTCTCCCTCTCCTCCCTCTTCCTAATCTTCTGTTTCTCTTTTTTTTCTTTTTCCTTCTGGTAGTTTTCGTCGTTCTCCAATATCACCGATGACTCAGCCACCGATGGATGTAGTTCTAGCGGTTACTATCAAAGTGCCAGGAGATACGCATTATCCTTAAAACAAAATAATAGGGGAGACTGTTACTTTCTCTTTCTCTCTTGAGAGAGAGAGAGAGAGAGAGAGAGAGAGAAGAGATACAGGATTGAATCTCTTACACCGTCAGCTCGATTTTTTCTTTCATAAGAAAAACAGATAGTACATAATATTCTTTTCAATTTTTTTGTTCTCTCTCCTTCGCGATACGTAAACTCAATCGTTAATCGAGTAGTTAATGCATTTTCATATGATCGTTAAAAATACGCTAAACCGCGACAGAACGTTCTTACCTGCGATAAATGCTATATACAGAAGGTAAAATTGTAAATTTAAAATAGAATTGAGAGAATAAAGATAAAGAACTACATAAAAGAAGGAAAAAGAAACGATTGAAGATATACAAAAAGTGTGTTCACTCACCTTTCCAAGGAATGTCTTTAATGTTTTTCCTGTATAATTTGTACATCGGTAAGAAATGAGAAGAACGAAGAACGGATAGGGAGGAGAACTGACCTCGCTTAACGAGGAAAAAGGAGGAAAAGGACATGGCAATGAATAGGGCTTGTATTTTCGACGAGAACCTTGGAAGTTTTGTTCGAAGTCACTAAGAGAATTCGGGAAGGCTTCCTCGAGGCTACACACCAACTGGAACGGAGACATTGCTGAATTTGGTCCGCTCTTGGCATTCACCGCGTGCCTTATGAATTTTGAAAAGTTGGCACATGGAAGCCCGCAGTGAACGCAAGGAGCACAGAC